TACACAGTGTACATCCCATTCCTAACCAACACAAAGTTGCACATACACTACATACAAAACAACAGAAGAATTTACTGTACAGAGTTACAGTAAAAAAAATGGCACCCTGTAGACCTGCTTCATCCTGAGATGATTTCTGCGCAAGACACGGCCCAGTGTTGATAAGCTTACCCTATCAATATTACCCATTCTATTATTTTTTTGTATTTGCTGTAATGTTATGGCGTTGTTTTCTAGGACCATGTTTATGATTTCAGTTTCCTGTTCAGGAGACAAAACACGTTCCCGACCACCTTGTGTTGGTAATCTTTCAGTTCTGCCCAACAAATAGTAAAATACTGTAAATACAAAGTAGGTATACATTTCCTAAATACTTGAAAAATACTTTACAGTATTTTTACAGTCCTACAGAACAGTCCACAGGCAATACTACTGTACTCATTGAGTACTTTATTGATATGCAGTACTGCAATTTTCTAGTGAGAGTAGATTTCTTATACTCTCATTTCGGAAAGTCTGGATGATTTATGCAACAATGTACCTGCTCAGATTTGGCTGTACTCTTTGCCCAGCCTCCCTCAAGTGGCTCGGATCTCATCAGAGATTACGGTCTTTGGCGTCCTCGTCTTCGTCCTCCCCGTCCTCTTCCTCTTAGTTTCACTCCCCTGGCTCTGCCTCTGTTTCCAATGTTGGCATCCATTGCTCCATTGAAGAGCTCACCTGTTGCATTTTTATGCTAGAGCTCTGATTGCTAATTGTAAAACTGTGTGACGGGTGTTCGCCCTTGTGATGAGTCCGTGTGCATATTTGAATGGCAGTGTGTTCCTTGTGAAAACTAGATATTTTCTGCATGAAATTGTGCCAAAAGCAGAGAATTGTGTGTAGTGTTTTGAAAAAAGTGTGTTTTAGAACTGCAATTTGAGTGTAAATCCGGAATTGTGCTTGTAGTTTAGCAGAATTGGTTCAGGGGGTTAGTGAATGAGTTACATGTTGTGGTCATTGTGTCTCAAGTACCAGAATTTGTGTGTAAACAATTGAGAAAAACTGTAATAAAATCACTAAGTTAAGGCGGAGCCATACGTTTAAAAAAAACAGACACACATCAGTCAGTTCACTTTAAGTGGTCTGTTTGTCACTCACTCCCCTTCTGTTTGACACATGGAGTAATTCCTCTGCACAGCTCTCCGCTGTATGTCGCGCCACAAAGCTCTTTCCATCTTGAGCTACTGTCTTGCTTTCTCTGATGTAACTGCTGCTAGCGACCGTTTCGTTTCCGCAGTTAACTTCCCGTCTACTTCCGGAAGTAAACCGAAAATAAACCGGTATTTACGTTAAAATACTTTGTCACATTAATCTCGGCCACATTAATCGCATAGATTAACACGTTTATTTTGACAGCCCTAGTTTTTAGGGCTTGTTCATAGAGAGGGTGAATAGCTGGCTTGTGCCCAGCTGGTTAAGGCGTAGGTCAGATATGGGACAATCATCGCATTAAAATACAATTTTGTCGGCATGGTTAAACAGTGTCTGATGTACAGTATTAGGGCTGGGCGGTATACCATTTAAACCGCTACACTGGTATAAGATTTCCTTACAGTATAAATTCTATGTTGCTCTTCGGAAGGTAGCAGAATTTATTTTTACACGTCATCCCAGGGTGTGTAGCGATTGAGTCGTGGTTATAACCTTATAACAACAATGAATAACCCACAACAAACACTCTTTGAACTTTTTTTTTCAAATTTATGTTTTCACACCACCGTTTCCCCTCAAGAGTTTATAGTATGAATTTGGTGCAAAGTATTTTCATCTTGAATCCATCAACCAGGTTTTTAAGCAAATCAATGTTAATGAGGCCACAGGTCCAAATGGTGTATATGCTTATTTTTGTGCAGGAAAGTTTTTTGTAACAGAAGACACTGTGGGCCTCAATGCTTTTGTGCCCACTTCAGGCCTGTATGTTTTGCAACGTGTGCACCACTGCGAGGTATCTACAAAAATGCCGCGCGGAGGTGAAAACACTTTCCGTTTTATGCACATCCGTTATGGGGAAGGTCAAGGGGAAAGTGGGAGTTTCCTATAAAGAGATGGGAGGGGATGCGTAAAGTGCGCCTCATTGTGTTTTGCATCTCCGACCCAGCGTTCACATTCCATTCCAGCAGTTGTTAAACTCCTCGCTACATTACAACCATCGGCATCAGTATCATTTCAAACAGTCATAGCATCAGTTGTATGCTATGACGTAAACTGAAGTGTCACACATTGGCCATGGAGCTGAAAACGCTACGTTCGCAAATGTACGTACTATGAGGGCCTGAATGTTTCCAAGACAAATTTCCTTTGGGACAATAAAATCTATTGGTGCCAAACCAACCTTTTTTAAAAGCAAAATAATACATTTTCGTGTCTAAATCCTACTTTTTTTATCTCTCTAAACATTGCCGTTACCGAAGGAAAGAAGAAAAACATTGGTGTGATTCAAAACTTTTGTATTGGTAATAGTTGCATCTGTGTACTGTGTGTGTTAGTCCAATTAGTATGATGCAATATCCCAAACACACGGCTGATGTAAGGACACTGTAATGAGGGTCATTAGTGGGCCATCCCCCATGGGAGTGGCCTGACTGCAGCCAGTCCCTAAACAGCTAATTATGACCCAGTAGTCCCAGTATGAAGGCCTCTGGGGAAACTAAGTTTTCTGAAACAACAGGATGATGAGGTCAGTGTTTTCAGTATTAACTTTTGGTATCAGCTAACAAAGTTGTGTTAGTGCCTAAACCAAAACACACAAGAAGTTTTTCCTTTTTGTTTTCCACAAATACAGTTGTTTTAGCTTTTTATTTTAGCTTCTTACCTTCAATGAAGCCACCCATCCCATTTTATCCCTGACGTTCGCACTCATTGATTATCAACCTAACGTGGTTTGTATGAGTTTTTATTCCTCTCCCATTTTCATTGATTTTCTACAAAGACATTATTCAAACTAGCTTCTTCCAGCTGAGACTCCCTGCTAAAGTCAAGCGCTACCTGCTACGCAAAGACTTTGAGAGAGTCATACATGCATTTATTACGTGCCGCTTAGACTACTGCAACTCACTGTATGTTGGGTTGGATCAGTCATCCCTTCGTCACTTGCAGTTAGTCCAGAACGCAGCAGCTCGACTTTTGACCAGGACTAAAAAACGCGACCACATTACACCGGCTTTGGCCACCCTCCATTGGCTTCCTGTTTGTTTCAGGATTGAATTTAAAATTGTATTAATTGTTTTAAAAATTTTAAATGGGTTGTCGCCTTCCTACTTGTCGGAGCTCTTACATGTCCGCACACCTATCAAAGCACTGCGGTCGTCTAATCAGATGCTCCTCGATGTGCCTGGATCCAGGTTAAAAACCAGAGGTGACCGAGCCTTTTCAGTGGCTGCTCCAAACCTCTGGAATGGTTTACCTATCCATGTAAGAACAGCTTGGACCATTGCAACGTTCAAGTCCCTCCTTAAGACCCACTATTATTCATTGGCTTTTAATTCAAGTTGAGCTTTGATATTTTGACTTTATTCTTCTCTACTGTCAGATATTTTGTATTGTGCTCTGTCTGTGTTTTATTGTATCGCTGCTTTTCGAGCTTGTTAAGCACTTTGGTCAACAGAGGTTGTTTTTAAATGTGCCATATAAATAAAAATTGAACTTGAACTTGAGATTGAGAGATTCTTGCTTTTAGTTTTCCTTCGATCGTTTCGACACAGTTAGCAGATGTCACACAGGTCATGGAGCTGATTGAGAGACTTTAAAACACAGAGACGCTGCTGCCATTCGCGTCGTAGTTGCTCTCCACGCTCTCACTATAAAGTCAAAAAGAAATACATAAACATTTCAATTTTGTTTTGTTTACCTTGACCGCTGCTACCGTTGGGTCTGATGGCGGTGGGCCCTGCCTTGGTTTCACATCTGGTTGGGTTGATCCGGGCCCGTGTGCCACAGCTCGTCTCTGAGAGGGGGAGAGGGGTTAACAAGGCGCCGTTGGCCTTGTTCTTCGTCCTCCTCTTCGTCACTGACTCCAGACTGTCCAATTCCAGCCCAGCCACACAGCTGGCCTTCCTCACCGGCCCACAGTGAAGAGTGGTGGCTGCTTCTGACCGGGGAAAGACCACCACGGGCTTGTTGCACACAATACAATACAAACAGTCTCCATTAGACAAATCCGCTTTGTTCCTTCCTGAAGGGGTCGTCAGTGTTTGTATGAGGCCATTGATTACGCTTCTTCTACCTGGAGCTCCTCTTTTTGTTTACCATCTGTTCTTTAGTTCTGATGATGAGCCTCTGATGATTTGCAATCAATTAGATGATTCAGAACTTTATGATATAGATAATCAGGCATCTTAAATTATAAGAAACCTGAAACTCTAAAACTAGTGATGCCGGAGTAAACCTAGAGAACCAAGAAAAAGACACTATATATACTATATATATATATATGTAGAGTATAACTAACTTTATTTTTTAATTTTCCGGTTTCCACCTGCTCTCCCTTTAGCTTTAACAGAAAATATGAACATTAGTGAATTACTTTGTGTGTGTGTGTGTGTGTGTGTGTACGTGTTAGTCAAGTAGTTTACGATGATTTCTTTTTATCAGTGCAACGTTGTCATTTAGCAATAATGAGAAACGAAAATTACACTTTCAGCGTTTTCTAAACATATTTTTTTATTTCTTAAGCCACTATAATATTTTATGTAGTTTTACAAAAACACTTGTTTTTGTATCTGAGCAGTTATTTCAACGGGAGGAATTGTTCCTGCAATTGTTTGATATTTTGTTGAAAGACCTGCACAGGAACATGGATCCTTTTCCGGTGGTCATGGTTGTTTTTTTACGAGTCTGTGGCGTCTTTCACTCTGTCTCTGTTTCTTAAGGATCAGTGTTAATCCCCGAGGAGCTGACCCAGTGACCAACCTTCTGTGATAACCCCCAACACACACACACACACACACACACACACACACACACACACACACACACACATACGCAGTTGATAATGGATGACCTCTGGAAGAGATGTTGCAACAGGGTTTAATAAACCATATCTGCTATTGTTGCCCTCTTAACACTGTGTTGCCTGCTGTTGCTGAGCTTGTCTGACCTTCTGCATGTGTGTGTTTGTGTGTGCCCGTGTGTGTGTGTGCGCTGAAAGCAGCAAAGAGTTAAGAAGCTTAACCTGTTGTAGAAGTACTTAAAGCGAGTGAAAGAGCGAGTTAATGATAGAAAGACGGAACAACGCAATGAAAGAGTGAGGAGCGCATCGAAGACAAAGATGGAGTGAGTGAGTGGAGGTGTGAGGGAAAGAATACAATTAAACAAAATAACAGAAGGAAGCAAAGAGAAAGAGGGATAGAGACACAGAGATAGGTTTTTGGATTAGAGAGGATTAATGTCTGTAGTGGTTTGGTAGTAGAATTCACGTCAGTCACCACTGGCTGCTGATTCAGTTCAGCTCAGAATTCACACACTGAAACATCAGCGGACCAGAGGAAGGCGAGGACGAAGAGGAGGTGAGCTGGTCTCGTTTCAGAGACTTTCTTTGACTGGGTGGGTTAGATTGTTGATGACTGAAGTTGGGCCAGCAGCTCCGTGAGGCTAAAATGCTAATATCGGCATGCTAACAGGGAAATGTTTGTCTGGTATGATGTTTACCATCCGAGTTGTATGCCAGTCACATTTATAACTGGAAGAGTAAATTACGGCTGAGGCCTATTAGAATGTCATTAGTTTGGCTGGTCATGAATCACAGTACTGGAAATTCTCCTCTTACTATTTATATACAATATTTTGTCGATCGACCCAATAGGTGCAGTGAGAAAAAGAAAAATACTGTTTGTACCTTCGATAACATAATTTTCAACCAAGGATTTGGTTGAAAACCAAATTTCAGGATTTAATCCACTCTGCCACCTATAACATAAGCTTTTTTTCACCTTCACTTCACAAACATGTATTATTTTGTTCTGATTTAGGGACAAAATGAATGTCAGAGCTGAAACAACTGAAACTGAAACAAAATAGAGAACTTTCAAGGTTTCAGTTTATTAACTGTGGAGTTTGCTTTCTAACTTCGGAGACCTTTTTCAAAATAGCTGGATTTAACTTTTGCAGTGCTCAACAAATATGCATCAATAGTTTAGCATTTAGGAAAACGACAACTTTCTGTAATTGGCGAAACAGAATATTAAATAAAAGAGACAAATAATTATTTAAAATGTATGCAAAAGGCTGGTTTAAAACCACAAGCCGATACATCTTGATCTTAACAACAATGTTGTTTACGTGTATTATTTCTATGTATTAATTACTGCTGGATTCCAACGGGGTTGTGGATAGTGCTTCCTAAGTGAGTTGTTCCTTTTTACAAAAATAATTAGTTAAATATGTGTTTTCACTCATCTCATCCCTCTTACTTTAGGAAAAAGTCAGATACAAAAGTTTCAGACAACTTTATTGTTACATTACACTCATGTATTGCACTCAGTCAGAGTCGGTAATGTTGTATAACCAAAGGGAACGGTCCACGCTTATATAACTATGAGCTTCTGTGAGGTGCGCTCAGATGACGTTTGATGACTTTGGGATCCGGTTAAAGCATTTGCAGAGTAACTGGAAACGGAAGCTGCTCCAATGAAGAAGCTAAAGATAACAATAAGGAAGAACCAAAATAACACAAGTTGATCTTAAGAAGTTAGTTTTTGTCTCTGATCTGCTCTTCTGGGAAATGTTGAAGAAATCTGTTAAGAAAACAAATCGTCCTCACTCTGGAAGGAAAATCACGCGGCGGTTTTATGATGCTGAGAGCCAATCCTGATGACAGTAGTGGTGCATGCAATTTGCAATTAATAAAAAAAACGTAAATAACAACATTGATGTCACTTGTTCAATGTTTTAATGAATGACCCTGTTGCATTAGACAAGAGTAGGATTTTCACATTAATAGTTTTTTTACCTTATTTTTTCCAGTAAAAACAACAAGAGACAAGCAATGGAGGATGGTGAGAAACACACAAACTCACACTCACACACACTAAATATATATATATATGTATGTATATACATCTGACCTTTATGATATAATTTATTTATTGTATTTGTCTGACTTAATCCTTAACATGAGTCAAAATCAAAGGGGGGAGGAGGGGGTCAGCTTCTATTTAATTGTCACACAGAACCTAATTCAGTTGGTATTAGTGTTTCTCTCCAGGGTCACGACTCCTTGGGTGCAGTTAATCCGATATGGCCCAAACGTGTCTGTTTCTCACCCGTTGGGAGAAACTTTCGGCCCTTCGGATCTGCAGAGATGTTACAGAATGTTCTGTGATCTGTATCACTGTTCTGTGAGAATAACTTCCAAAAGGTCAGCGTTGTCTGCCCTCAAACAGCAGGTCTTCAATCATTTCTCTTTGTGTGTGTGTGTGCGTGTGTGTGTTTGTGCAGGGGTCACTGAGATGCTGTCCGATGTGGTGCAGGACGTCAGTCATGCGGTCTGCAGAAACATTTATGGTTCTCAGGTCCTCCATGAACTGCTGAGCGCACCGTGGCTGCACGCCCTGCTGAAGGTACGACCTGACCCAACGAACGCCGCACTAAAGCGCACGCACACACACACAAACACACACACACACACACCAGATGTGTCAAACAACGACCTCATTTCCTGTTTTGTTGCTCTAGATTTATGAGAGGCTGTTGCAGTTCGAGAGGTCGACCCCAACACCCGTTCTGCCTTATGCCTCAGGGCTCTCACTTGAGGTTGATACACACACACACACACACACACACAAGTACCTGGCGTCTTCTGGAGTGTTCGTACCTGTATTACTCTCTGACTTTCTTTCTCCCTGCCTGTCCATCAGATCCTGACTACATTACAGAATGTCCACGGTCCCTCCGCTGAGGCCAGAGAGCTCTACAGCCTCCTCAGCTCACCACACATCCAGGTGTGTATCGCCCACGCATGAGCTCCTGCAGAACTTGTACTGGGTGCTCGGTTCTAAAACACACCTTCCTCTCAGGCCCTCCTATCATCTCACGACAGTGTAGCCCAGTCAGACTATGGACCGGTTCTAGCGCCTCTGCCTGATGAGATGCCCGAGGGTGAGGAGGCCATGAGGATCGTTTGTCTGGTGAAAAACAACCAGCCGCTGGTGAGACATTCCAAGATGTTTTACTTAACTAAAAGTAGCATCAGTGTAAAAATGAAATGTAACAAGTACAAAGTCCTGCATCAAAACTCTTTCTCAAGTACAAATGTACTATTATCATGTGAACACATATAGAGGGTTTGTTGTACTAAGTTGAATATCACTGCCATGGTTTGTGGGAACCACACTAAGACCATACGGAAAGATTTAAGTAGAGGTGTGGATTTGAAACTGCCTCACAGATAATTAATACGATTTCAAGTTGTGAGAAGGGGTCTTTCATTGTCTTCTGTTCACAAAGAACAGAGGAAGTGTAGGAGACGGAGTACGAGGGATTCGTGGCGGTTGGAGCAGCCTCCACCGCCTCGTCCCCGGAAGGGGGGCTTGGTCGGGAGAGGAGCTTAAAGCGACTGAAAGCGAAGCCAGGCCCTTCTCCAGGGGTGGAAAGTCCCGTCCTTTTCTCCCCCGCTACGAGTCGACGGGAAGCTGCTGTTTGCGTCCACAAACCGCGGAGCTTTGGAAGAAAGGTCTCCACCAATCAGCTCCTTCTGTCTTTAGCCCGACCCCCTGCACTGGTAAGAGGAGGAGGCCTGTCAATTAATGCAATCATCAAGCATCCATTCTTTTTTGGATCTGTCTTTTAAGACGACCAATCGCCATATTGTGAATATAGCAGACGGCGTATTTATCAGGAATCACAGTAATATCACCAAATAACGACTGAATACCGCTGATGATGCTTGATAAATACAGGCTGAATGTTAATACCACACATCATCGGGTTCTATCCTTCATCTGTTTCTGCATTTGCAAAGACCATCTTTGGTTCATTCAGAAAAGGTTGAAAGGTGACAAGTTCATCATTCATTGAGCATCTTTTAACTTACAAACATGCTTATGATCATCAATCGTCATCTGATCACCATCCACCTTTTTCTTCTGACCCTCCTTCGGCTCCTTTTTTACCTGCTCCTGCGCTGCTATTCTCTTTCAATAAAGTATATTTCTGTTGCCGCTTTTTTCTTGTCATCTTCCGCCTGCCAACATGGAGGTCCATTTTTAGAGAAATCTAATCACAACCAGGGAGAAGGTGCCTCTACTGGAGGGAGCAGTGATGACTACGCCTACCCTCCTCCTCCAGTCCCGGTTCACAGTCTGAGCTTTCCCAATTCCCCCGTCTTTTACAAAAAGGGGACGGCAGGGGGACGCTCGAGGAACGTCCCGACACCCGGCAGGAGCCCCTCTTGTTCTGGGATGAACCCACTCATAGCGCACACAGCACCCTCCAGTCCTGCCTCCCGTCGCTCCGCTCCACCAACCGCTGGCATGCGACAGGGGTTTCAAACTCCATCTCATAACATTCTCCAAGGATGTCCTCCGAGTCATCCATCGACGGCACACCAACAATCCCAACCGGCACGGAACAGGCAGGAGCATCCAGAGCTCACCGCACAGCGCAGCATGGAGGAACTCAGGTCCGCCGTCCAGACGGTGGCCGCCAGCGCCAAGCACGGCGCTCGAGACGTCCGCCATCTCGGCCAGGAGATGGTGGCTGCGGCAGAGATGATCACCGACGGCGTGGGAGAGAACGCCCAGGCGCTGAACCTGCTGGCCGAGGTGGTGGACAAGCTGCAGGGCCTCATTGTGGCCGGCAAACACACGGAGGTGAGGCCTCCGCGAACGCCCAAACGGGGGACTCCTCCCCCACCTCCTCCAAGGGTCTCCTCGATGTCTCCGAAAGACGTCCGCAAACTTCCCACGCCTTACCAAACGCACCTCCCGTCCTCGTCCTCGTCTTCTTCTTGCTCTTCTTCGTCTTTGTCTGCGGGGGTCAGTTCCAAACCGGACGGCTTCGCAACATCGAAGAGACCCCAACGAACGAACGGAGGCTCCAAAAGAACGGTGGTGACCTTTGGTGCGACCCAAAGGGAAGGTCGGAGTGGTAGTAACGGACAGGTGAGGCTCAGCCACGGAACAGTCTCGAGAGCTCCCCTGGGGGAGCGACGAGATGGGAACGGCACAGGGGGCTTGACAAACAAGACCAAGAGAAAGAAGAAGTAGGGCTGAAAACGAACTCCTTGTCGGCTGAGGTGTTGGAGATGGACTCTGAAACTACATCAGAATTTGGACCCAACTATTAGTTTGAGGAAGAAAGTTCACACCAGAGGCCGACTGACTGCAACAACAAACACTTTTGAGAAACAGTGTTTTTTACATCGCTGGATTTATCACTGGAGGGGAAAAGCAAAATATTTGAAGGTACCAAAAAATGTACATCTCCTCTTCAATCCAGCTACACTTAAAACCATTATCGCCTGTCTTTTTTATTCTAGTTGTTCTTGTCACCGCATCCAATAGTTTGAGCCTTTCTTATCTTAATTTGCCTCTAAATAGTTGAGGGAAGTCCAGGCCTATCGTTTCATCGTTTCATTCACAATTCAATGGGAAAGTAGTGGCAGAGAAAAGTGCATCACCATCAGTCTTTAGTGGCAGTTGGGTGAATCTGATCAATGTCCTTACGTTATTATGAATGAGTCTTTGAGTCAAGTTTGAATATCCAAAGAATCCAGAGTGAGAAAGACGTGAGCTTACCAGACCTCTGTAGTTCATCTCCGCTGCAGGCCGGAGGCTTCAGGCTACTTTAGCCACTGTTAACTGTCAGAGGAGGATTTACAATGTGAGTAATTTATACACCAGGTTTAAACAACAAGAACATATGAAATAACAGAAAGCTGATATCTCTGTTTGTGCTTCTCAACTTTGTATTCCAAGTTGTTAAAGTAGGGCAACCGTAAGTGACATCAGTGACAATGTTAACTTACTAATGTTAGCATTTAGCTCCTACGAACAGCCTCATAACATTACATAATCCCTCTTAATAGTGACATCCTAGTTTAACTTTGCCAGTGCAAGTGTTCAGATACTTTACTAATACTATACTATGTTGCCTTCATCCCATCCTCCATTTGTATCCTTCACAAATTACACTCCTCTCTGTTTGTACAGAGCTGCACTAAGACTTGTTCATTGCTGCTTCTGTAGCCGTTAGAGGTTGTTCAATTTGGAACTATTGTCTGTATGTCAGGGGGCGACGATAAGGAGGGACGAGGACACGGGGGAGATCTACATCGCCAGGGTGATTCACGGAGGACTGGCTGACCGCAGCAGTAAGCTAAATATGTATATGTATATATAAATATAACACGCAATAACGCAGATAGAATAAGACCAGAATGTGCAAAATCATGGCCTAATCTGTACGTTTCCCAGGACTCCTCCATCCTGGTGATCTGTTAGTGGAGGTAAATGGAAACCCTGTGGTGGGTCTGGAGCCAGAACAGATCATCCAGATACTGGTAGGAAATCTGAGGGAAAAATAAATATAACAATATTGAACATTATAAAGCCCAAAAGTGGTAGCCCAATCGGTAGGTATTTTTCATTTTAATTTGTAGTAATGATGCAAAAACTATCCGTGCACGATGCTGAAAATGGCTCCTGAGTGGTTTTTGAAAGTGCTCCTACTTGTGCTCACCGTCTGATTATCAAAACAATCAGTTTTTGATCCGTTTTTGCTGTATTTGCAGATAAATTCCCAGGGAACGATCCTGTTCAAAGTCATTCCTGAAAAAGCTCAAAGCAACAGCGGACAGAAATCGGTGAGAAATCCTCAGATGGTGGAGGAAATACTTTTTCTAAAAGTACAAATAGATTAGTGTAAAAATACCATCTTTCAAGTTCTGCATTCAAAATCCTACGTGAGTAAGAGTACATAAGTATTATCAGCTGTGCAGTGTGACATGATATCCGATTCCATCTTACATTATGAGACATTCAATAATTTCCCCTCTTTTGGCCTCACGGCTTTATTTAAATGAAAATACCTGGGAGAAGTTTTCAGGCCGTCTCTTTGATGGAACCGCTAACACCTCATGTACACCTGGATTGAAAAGATGGTGAAAAGTGATGTTTGAACCTGGGAGATTTCTGTTAACCTCCCTCTCTTTGTGTGTGTCAGGTATATATGAGAGCACTGGTGGACTACTCCCCCTTGCAGGACTCCTCCATCCCCTGTCCCGATGCAGGGATGGCGTTCAGCCGAGGAGAGCTGCTGGAAGTCGTCGACCAGTCGGACGCACACTGGTGGCAGGCCAGGAAGCTCCCGTGCTCCACTTCCTGCGCTGGTCTGATTCCCTCTGCCGGCATGCTGAAGAGGTGACGCCTCACGCACCCTGAATGTGGACCCTACTCTGGTTTCATCATCCCCCAACAAATCTTTTTTTTAATATGCATTCAGCCTTCATGTAATTAATATGAAAATGAAATCCTGATTCAACTCCCTCCATACAACATACTGAACCGATTCAAACGTTTAAACAAATAAAACAAGAAAAAATAAATGGAACTTAGGATAAAATAAATTATCATTAGCATCACAAGGCAAAGTGACTGAGGGTTAAATATTGAAATGAATGAATCGATGCAGCTTTATCTAATATCAGGCAACTAAACTCTGTATTCTCTCATGAAACAAGTTGTTTGATGCTGTATCTGAAATGTATTGTGTATCATCCCTCTCTGCAGTAAACAGAGGGAACAGTGGTGGTGTCAGCCGTTACAGGTTCATACCTGCATCAGACCCTGTGAGCACTCACCATTATCATCTCTAACATTTGTGTGTAGCAGTAGTATCTGGGCTGGCTACGGTTTATTCCCCTAGTTATAACATTATTATTAATAACATTGTATTAATATTAGAAGATATAAATGTTTAAAAGCTATAGAGTAGTTTATTAAGTTTTGCACAAAAGCACAAAATACAAGATATGAGGGTAATATTAGCATTAATAGATGCATGCACCACATTGTTAAACAGGTGTTTGAACATACGACACAGAAGAACTACCTTTGAAAGCACAGCGTGTACATTGTGAACGTGACTTTAAAGCAACAAAGAAGTCTTTGACAAGGTTTCTTTTCCGTCTGTCCTCAGTGACTTACGATAATAACGGTGAGTGAGAGCGATGTTCGCTCAACGTCTCCGCTTTTCTTTCATTAAAACAGTTGATCCAATAGTTTAGCATCTGTTTGTGTGACTTAGGTTTGATTTAGTAGGTTTGTGACTATATTGAAAATCTGAGTATTACAGTAAGTCTGTCATGAATCATGAGTCAAGGGGCCGTACTGTGCAGGTGTTACAGCGTGTTTATATTTCTTTATCCGTCGAGGGGACACTAATTTATTAAAACTGACCTGAATTGACCCCTGCTGTACTGTACTGTAAAGTTAATATGTGTGGGCTTGATCATTATCACTAGTAAACCTCATACACATACAAATGTCTGTACCTGGGATGCATAGCAATGATTTGTGTAATATATATATACTATACTATAGACTGACAATATAATTTCAAAAGTATTGTTTTTTTAATATATTCCAGAGAAAGATCAAATTCAATCTGACGAGAAACGCACCGCTACAGGTAAGACACGTCTGACACCATGATGAAGACATCATACTTGGTTTATGAATGCTAAAAAGAACCATAATCCCGGGTTTTCTTCATCTCCACAGAACTGGAACAAATCTACTTTGGTAGGAGTTTATTTAGGCGTCACAGCAGAATGTTTGTTTGTGTTTGCAGTGAGTGAAGAGTTTTTCTGTTCTCTTCCTCCAGAGAAGGCTGACTCGGATATTTCGGATGGGATCTACCTAGGTAACAACCATTTACATATTTACCTAATACATTTTCCAATTTGATGAGACTTTATATGGAGTAAAGTTACACATTCATTTCTCCACCTAATTCCTGAGAGAGTTTAGTTCATAAAAAATGCTGTAACTGTGAATGAATTGTCTCCACCAGCTGGTTTCCGTCAGAGTTTCCGTCTCTGGAGGAGGACGTCCTACAGAAAGAGACGGCAGTCCTGCACCTCCTGCGCCCCCAACACCAGTGCCTACTCCACCCCCTACGAGGAGGTGGCGTTGTACCAGCGCCCCCCGCAGGAGGACCACCGCCTCATCGTCCTCCTCGGTGAGACAGGATTCTTTAAATTACAGTATTTCATTTTTACATTGTGCCACAATATTCACTGTGTAACAAATACATGTTTTGGGCGTTTAGGTGCTACAAGAGTTGGAGTGAATGAACTGAGGAAAAGACTCATCAAACTGAACCCTTCAACCTTCCAGGGACCCGTACCGCGTACGTGCCCTCCACCAATCTAATGCATTCATATATAAAGGGTTTTCATAAAGATGAATTACTGTTATACAGTGTGTGTGTGTGTGTGTGTGTGTGTGTGTGTGTGTGTGTGTGTGTGTGTGTGTGTATGTGTGTGTGTGTGTTATGGTGACAGGAGGGAACCTTGAATGAAGAAAAGACACAGCCGCAAAAATCATGTGTTTTCTTATTGTTCTTCATTCATAATGTCACATGGAATATGTGATATGTAAAAGAGCATGGAATCAAAGAAAAGAAGATACATGAGACTTAAAATACAAAAATAAAAAATAAACCAATTTTTAGATTCTATTGCAGCAAAATATGCGGTAGTTCCACATAAATGTTGGCAACGAAACTAAGTCCTTGGTTATGTTGTCAGTCAGGAAGCCAGCTATGTGTATGACTGAATATATATCTATAGTCAAGATTATGAACCAGTACTACCTCATGACCGTTCTGTCTCTTTGCGTATAAACCTGTGAGTCTTGATTGGCTGTCGCCCTGTTTTGCAGACACCACTCGCCCAATCAGAGCAGGGGAGGAGACAGGAAGGGAGTACCACTTTGTCACCAAAGAGCTGTTTGAGTACATGGTTTGTAACCACAGGTGGGCCTCTCCTGAATATTCTTTCATTATTATCGGGATATACCTTGGTTATTTGACTTCAGTGTAAATGCATGTTTGCTACACGGACAGCTGGATTTGAGACCGTGCCTCTGTCGTGTGCGTGTTGTCGTGTGCTCAGGTTTGTGGAGTATGGGGAGTATAAGGGGCACCTGTATGGGACCAGCACTGATGCTATCGATGAGGTCCTCAAACGAGGACGGATGTGCATCCTCGATGTCGAACCACACGTGAGTTCCACCAAGAAGGCCGTCACTAATAACTACGATTCGCTTATTCCCTTGACGCGTTGATAGTTTGATCATTGGACTAAATCAAGGTGATCAGCAGACGTGTTGATTTTTTTGTCGTCAGAGCATCCAGCCGCTGAGGACGGGTAAACTGAAGCCCTACGTGATCTTCATCAAAGCTCCCAGTCTGGACAGGCTGAGACAAACGCGGAGAAACGCCCGAATCATCACCAACTGCTCTGTCAACAGAGCGTTCACAGTAAGGCCTCCGACAACATCAATGCCAGACGGCACAAATATTACAGGTGACGGCGCCAGGTGGAGAAAGATAGAGGTGAAAATGTAGAGCCTGTGTTTCCATTCGTGCAGGAGGATGACTTTGTGGAGCTGGAGGAGTCGTCCCGGCTGATGGAGGCCAAGTACAAACAGTTTTTCGACGAGGTTCTGGTGAACGACGATCTGCAGCACGCCTGCGTGCAGCTCTGCTCCATCCTCCAACGAGCGCAGGACGAACCACAGTGGATACCCGTCAGCTGGAGCCGGGCGGAGGAGTGAAAGGGGAGACGACTGTGGGGCCGAAAAACTACGAGTGAGAATATGAAAAGAAAAGAGTGAGGGAGCATAAACTGGGGTGCAGATGAGCGGAAGAGGGGTGTGATGATGGGGAGCTTTTTTATTCATTTTTTTTGTGCTTTGGTATTTCCACCAAATCAATCAAATAGCATTGAAATGTTAGTTAATGCAAATCTTTCTCAAGTAGGAATTGTGATATGAAGCATGTTTTTCAGAGCACTGACGACCTCTACTGTCTCTTTTGATTCTTCCTCAGTGTTGGCAGGTCGCAGGCTCTGAGAGCAGCTACTAGCAGCTCGATTAATACTGAATAATAACAATTAAGGATGACTGTCACTCAGTTTTATGTCCTGTGCCAGCGTGAGGCCCTCCGAGAAAGATGTGTGACATCTGGATATACAGATTAAATTCAGTTGATTAAACAAGCTTCAATAACTGCTGAGGCACCTCACCTGCAAACTCTAAACCCTGACGTTTGCAAAGGATATGTAGGGTATTGTTTCGGAATAAAAGTGAACATGTACATACGTGAGGTTGTGTCCTAATAAAAGATCAAGATGCAATCATGCGGGTGCATTTATTCCCCCCCCCTCCCACGCCCTCTCGTCCTCTCTCCCTCTCTTTGTCTCTGTTGTAGAGTTAATCTTCTGCAGGACAGCTGTAGCTCAGCCGATTTAACGGAAGGATTAGAGTCTTCTCACTGAACCTTTCAGCTTTACTGTCATCTATACAAACGCACGGTGTTACCCACGGTAACAAATAACATGACGCGTGACCGGATAACACAGGAAATTTACTGGAAATACTCAAGTACCTCCACATTTGTACTTAGTTCTTTGATAAATGTTCTTGCTCTCGACCACTGATATTTTAGCTCTGTGCTTTTCAGACTATTTAATGTACCTGTGTTTGTAGACATAGGGGATGAACTCCAGTTGTTCTTGGAGGGAGTGATATGGTTTTATTAAACTGACCTAAACTAACCAATTTTGGGCAGTTCAGGACAGAGCAGATCCCAAGACGACACCAGTAAATTCTAAACCCGGACAGACTTCTTCCAAGTACTATGCTGCATTAACTACTAAAGAGATTAATCCTGGCATGTGTCATCCTATTGTATTGTATTTGTATTAATACATTCTCACAATTTAGCCAGTGAATTGTACCTTTTCTTTGCCACAACTAAAAAAAAAATCACCTTTTGGATGAAAATTGATATCTGAAATATTTGAAGGAAATCAGTCAATCAGAAAAACATCAGTCGAATAATCCTGCCAATGTGTGAGTGAGGAGCGGTTGTATTTGTTGACAGGAGAGCACAGCGAGGGATTATTAGCCTCCGTGGCCACTTCGGAGCTCCACCAGCAGGTGACCTCACGTCTGATGGACCAACCACAGAGGTCCCACAGGCGGCCACGGCTCAGCACATGACCCACCTGCCGCTCTAAGACCCGAGAGTCTTAAAGCTCGCCGTGCCATCGGCCTCGCTTCCCCCCCTTACTTTCGGATTCAGCCGTGCATGTCTAAAAGATTCTAAAGTGAACCGGCCCTCTTTGGTTCACCTCTTGGGATTTAACGAGAGCAGCTCGATAAGATCCGAGACCGAAGGGGGCGACGGCGATAGTCTGTTTCTTCTGAGCCGCAGAACAAGTCGGCTGCACAGGTGAGCACTGAAGCTAATTCAAGGGAAAACACCTCTAAATACCTTTTTAGAAAATATGCTTGGCATAGAGATTGTTCCCCTTTTGTGTCTAAATACCAAGGATTGCATTAGCATTTCATTTTACTTTATTTTATTACTTGTGCACTGCTGTCTTGTCTATTGTCACACTGTCTACTGTCGCGCACCAACCGCCAAGACAAATTTCTTGCATGTTTGGCATATTTTGGTAATAAATGTTTCCTGAGGATGTCCCACTGCATGGAGCCCGATTGTGCAGGTTTCAGGCAATTTTGCTTTTCTGGCTATTAGGACCCGCAATGCAAAAGGCAGCGGATACATGAGCGTGAGGGTCAAAGTTCAAGGTTCCATGTTAAGACGGGGTAGTGTGTCCAAATTACATTCTGTATGCAACAGTAAACACTTTGAAAGAGCAGCTATAATGAACAAGTTAAGGCCTTGAACCACATGGGGTTACTTTTCAAGGCAGAGACTGATATCGTAAAAGAAATACATACTTTATCCAAGGGTTCACCAAGACGAATGGAATAATTTAAAACAGAAAACAATTGTGTAGAACAACTGTATTGTTCGGCCGAGGCTGGGAATGTGTATTAGGCCCCTTCTCAAGAGAATTTAACTTTCCACCATTTTATCACTTTAGAAAATCATAGTTTCTGTGGTTTGATCCCCACCTCATCTTCCTCAATGTTAAATTGTCCCTGAGCCAGACACCGATGCCCAAATTTGGAGTTAAGTAAGCTTGAGATGAAAGTATCAAATGGCCAAATGTCACGTAATGTCACGATTCAGTTGAGTGTGAACAAGAACTGAGAAAACTACAGTTTAAACCCAGAATGCAGGTTACTTTGGTTCCAGAGTCGACGTGCCAACTGGCAGCCAGAAACGCTGACATAATGCACTGTCCGGTCTCCTGCTGGATTACAAAGCAGAACTCTCTTCAGGTGACATTTAAATTATTCTCTGCGGTTGGTTTCCTGGAGCCTCGTTCCACCGGCTGTCCGCAAAGCTCAGGCTAAATCCAATTATCTCAAACGGGCGTCAGACGCAGCCACCGGCAGATCCCGTTAAACGTCAATTACCCGACCTAAATACCCCAACCTCCGGACCTGGATAAAAGATCCGGCTGATGGATCTTATTCACGGGGGATGAACTGTTTGACGCCGTCACAGGGAAACCATGCCGACCGCCAAGAGCAAGAAGAAGAAGCCGAAGAAGGAGACCTTCGATGCGGAGGAGCCGGGGGAAGGTGAGAGGAGGCGCCTGCAGCTCCGCACCGTCTTCTGTTCTCTTCTGTTGGGTTTTAACGTAGTTTGTTCCTCAACAGTTGGTGTGGAGGTGGAGATGGAGGAAGTGACCAATAGAAGCCACTCTGTCAGCAGAGACCCGTTGACCCCGGAGCCGCACGATCCAGCACCACAGAAGAAGAAGAAAAAGAAGAGGGCGTTTACTATAGGTCAAAACAATGCATCATTACTATTATTAGTATTTTTACGGTATTTGACAGTTGTTACTGTTGGAATTAAATGTTCACATGATAAATTCAGAGGATCATAAATGTTACCACATCATCTTAGATCCACATTTCATCCATCCAGTAGTTTTTGAGATATTTTTGTTTTATTTTGTAGATAAAACTGATTTAAACAATAACGTTTACAGCAGACACATGATGCAGAAAAAAAGAATGATTGAGAAGGTTTAAGATATTAAATGTAGAGCTGACTTTCAGTAATGTGCATTGTTTAATTACAGCAATGGCTTTCTCGTTGTTCTGCTCTGCTTCGTTCAGATCAGGAAGCAGAGAACGCCGACGTGCCGAATGGTAACATGGCCGAGCCCGACATGGACGGAGAGGAAATGACATCTGCTGTAAGCAGGAGGACAAAAAGGAAGAAGTGAGCTTAATGAGTTATGAGGAATGTTGAACGGATGATGAAAAAGTTACTGAGTTATTCCGAGGGGAAGTTGTGTATATGTATGTTTGCTTTCCTTTGGAGAAAACTCCTCTGCCCTTAAACCCCGCGGCAGGAAGGCCAAGGCGGCGGAGCACCACAACAGTGACCTGGTGGTCGAGGACGACGACATCACCACAGACGCCCAGTCCCCGATCCCCCAGCATTCCCTGTTCTCCGCCCCGCACGGACACAGCCAGCCGGTCGGCAAAGTCTTTGTGGAGAGAAATAGTGAGTGTGAAAGAAAAAAAAAAAAGCAGGAAAGGTGAACTCATTAAGAGCCAGATGTGTCTGCTGGGATTCTGTAAATGCAACTAACAATTGGAGACAAGCTATATTATAGTTGGACCTTATTAAAAAATCATGGAAAAGCGTATTGGTGTGTGCCTGTGTGTGTGTGTGTGTGTGTGTGTGTGTGTGTGTGTGTGTGTGCAGGGCGTTTCCAAGCAGAGCGAGTCGAGCAGCACCGACACTCGGAGCTGATGGACGACTACCTGGACCCCAGGCAGATCTGGAACACCAGAGACGTCGCGTTGAGGGTCCACAGTGGCTTCAGGTGTGCACACGCACACATCTACACCATAAGACACCTCCTTACTTACATGTTGTGTGTGTGTGTGTGTGCGCGTGCGTTCCCCCTCTGCAGGGTGGTCGGACTGTTCTCTCACGGTTTCCTGGCCGGCTACGCGGTGTGGAACATCATAGTTGTGTACGTGCTGGCAGGCGAGCAGATGACCACGCTGCCCAACCTGCTGCAGCAGTATCACCTCCTGGCCTACCCGGCTCAGTCCCTGCTGTACCTGCTGCTGGCCATCAGCACCGTGTCGGCATTCGACAGGTCAGAGGATCTCTGCGTCTGTGTGTGTGTGTGTGTGCATAGACTTATAAACACCAAGAACAATTAAGTTGAATTTGTGATCGACAGCTCTATGTTTGTTCTCCCCCGCAGGGTGAACTTAGCCAAAGCCTCCATGGCGCTGAGAGGCTTCCTCACGCTGGATCCTGCCGCTCTGGCTTCTTTCCGTAAGTGACGCGAGACAAAGAGGACGACTTTGGACGAAGACGATGATGACATATTCCATTTCCAACAAAAAAACAAAAACTGTTTTTCTCTGTGCTCAGTGTACTTCATAGCCCTGATCCTGTCCCTCAGTCAGCAAATGACCAGCGATCGCATCAACCTCTACCCTACAGCCAACGAGACTCTGTGGTAGGAACCCGTAGTGTATTCCGTACTGCGCCCTATTCTACCGTATTCTAATGTTCAAGTAATGTTCTGCGTTGTACTTCCTCGCTCCTCCTCCAGGCCTCCGGGTTCAGAGCAGCAGATCCTGCGGCCGTGGATCGTCGTGAACTTGGTGGTGGCGATGCTGGTGGGCCTGTCCTGGGCTGTCGTCTCCACCCGGCCCGACGTAGACTACACAGAAGGTGGGTGGAGATACGGTGCTGTGCATTACTGACAATTTAAATCAAAGCAAATTCAAGATATGTATGATGACGTGCACACTAGAGGTATTAGAAGAGGAAACCCCACTGTGGTTAATGTTGTAGAATTAATTAATAGCTGTGCGATTATATCATCTCCCACATTATTGTGAATCCAAATTTTAATAGTATTCTTTAAGTCTAAAGCAAGACTTAATAGTGTAAATATTTTGTTAGACCAGCCCATCGCCAGGGTCAGGATGAAGATGCACACCATCATCTTTGTCATTCTAGATTGTTTTAAATTGATTGGATGTTTACTAATTTACCACTTTCATCTTATGATTACTAAAGTTGTTTAGTGTGGTTTACCAATGATTGATGTGACGGTTTGGTTTTTCTTTGCAGAGTTTTTGATGTCAATGGAAGTGGAGGCCTTCCCAAGAGGAGATGAGACGGTTGACATCCCCGTGTGAAAGCCCTGACTGTCCGTCCGCCTCAGTTACCCCGTTCATTTAATGTTTTTGTACAAAACGTCATCTAGCACTTTATTTTGCTGATTGTTATTTTGTAAATAAAGAAATCAGTCAATGTGTATCACAGTGTATGTACAGTATCACAGTCGGTTTTGTTCTTACAGCGTTTGACCACACGATGGCGCTGCTGCTCTAAGAAGCAAAGGAGGAGAATTATTTGAGTGATCGCAAGTCTCCAGCAGTCAGTCAACATAATTCAGCTAAAGAGTTTCATTTTTGAATGAAGCAATAATGAAATCCCCACCGTTTGTCGAAATAGAACTGAGGAACACGGTGAACCTGATAGCCTCTGTTGCATGGTAACCTCTTCCTAAATCTAGTCCACATAGCCTACCATTTACCTACTACTTCCACTAATGGAAATCGTCAAACTTGTCAATTAAGTACTCAAACTCATTTGCGTCCTTTGGTTTTCTTTTGACGAAGTTTGCCTGAACGCTCCATTGAAACCTTTGGAGTTAAAGATGCGTTATGGAGTGAGACTTGCATAATTTTCCGTTTCTATTATGAAATTAACGTAGCTATTTTGATTACTGACAATGTGTGTGACATTTCCTGATCCGCGTGCTCTCCTTCATTGGAAAGTCGCGACTCCTGAAAATTCCTAATTCGTCGGGTTACAGTCGGGAAATCGCCCACGTTCCCTGAAGGCAGCGGGATACATCCAGTCAGCGCGCGCCGCGGCCGTTAGTAGTAAAACCATGCAAAGATGGCGGAGCTACAAATGCTGCTGGAGGAGGAAATTCCTGCAGGACGGAGAGCTTTACTGGACAGTTTTACCAATCTGGAAAGAGTAGCGGAGTACTGCGAAAGCAACTATGTCCAGGTACACGCTAGCATTTAAACAGCAGATGTATGTGTCAAGTCAAAAGATGACAAATCGGTGGAATGTCAGCAGGGAGTGGGCGGTTCGGAGAGTGTAGTGATGGAATGACAGCTCCGAGATCTGGAATGTGACCGTTAGGTTTTACATAAAAGATAAAAAGTCACGCTGGATTCAATAAAAACAAGTATTGCCCATTATGCGGTTGAACAGATTGAATCTCAAACTCAATTCGGCTTCAAAATATCTCAACAACCACCGTTGCTTCTATGGGAATTCAACTTTTTTCAACAGGTTTTTCTCTGAAACGTGACTGTTTGAATGCAACGTTAATAACGTTAACTAATAAGGTTATTTAGTTTTGGAAGTAGATGTTTTACGTGATTTAGTTTTAATTGGTGTATTCCATGGATGCCGAATGAAAGAACGATTTTTAATTATTTAAAAATGACCTGACACATCTTCAACGAGGAGCAATGAATGCAGACGAGCAGCGAATCATCACACGGAGATGTTTCGAAGGGAGTCTGGTGTGGGGACGGATGCCTTGTTAAAACTTAACTATACTCTCAAAACCAATGGTGCGTTGGAATAAGGTTGTTGGTATTATTACTCAAAATGTTGTTTTCATTGTGGTGAGGAAATTATCTTCTTTTCCCAGTTCTGTGGATTTTGATGAACAATATCTTGTGTAATTGTTTGTGTGTGTGTGTGTGTGTGTGTGTGTGTGTGTGTGTGTGTGTGTGTGTGTGGGGGGGCAGCAAAGACTGTTTTGGACAACTGTTCTCCTCAGTTGGCTTTAAATGAACACCTGTTCGTCTTCATCTGCAGAAGTCCTTCAACGAGACAATCTGCCTTTTCTAAAGCTAAATGTCATTTGTTATAATTAGGGAATGATTTCTTCCCATTTTCTTTTTTCTTTCCTCATTTCACACTTTTCATTTTCCTTTGTCTGTATCTTCATTTGTTTCTTGTTACCGCCGCCCGAACTGGAATTTTCCTCATTTCTTCCATATTCTTTTCCTGTCACATAATTCCTCCCTTCAGTAAAATAACTTAATAACATAATTCTGTTCACTTTGTCCTCTCAGCATCTGTGCATGAAAATACATTTTCTAGTTCATTAGCCTGTTCATACTACGATGCCCAGTGGATGGCCTACATTCACGCTGCCAGCAGATGATGTGGGCTATTACATAATCCAGCAGTTTAGCTTTTGATCTTGTTTTATGGACTAAATATTTTGATTCAGTGTTAACCCACGTTAAGCCCTGTGTGGCCCCCTCTCGGGCTATCGGACGTGGTCGGGATTAGCTGTGTGTACATTTGGTTAATGCTGGGCAGCTGCTCATCATTATACTATTAGTGATTTATTAGAGCACTGAAGCATCACATGTTTGCACTCTATTGACATTTTACCCACATCTAAGATAAAAAAAAGAAGCAGCCCTACCTGACGTTGTCCATAACAAACAATGTGTTATTGCAAGAAACAGAAATAATACATAAGCAATAAATACATATAGCAGAACTGGGGGATCTGAGGCAGGAAAACAAGATGCAACTGCATCCATCAGCTTATCATCATTTTTTAAAAACGTTCAATTTGGATTTAGCCCCCCACTCACAAATCCCCTCTCTGGGCCCCCCACAGCTGGTACTAGTTAGCTGTCAGCAGAAGTAGTCATAATGTAACTTGACCTCTTACCGTTCATCGAAAACACATGGTAACACTGCAGGAGGCTGGACAGAGACACTGTGTGTGTGTGTGTGTGTGTGTGTGTGTGTGTGTGTGTGTGTGTGTGTGTGTGTGTGTGTGTGTGTTAACGTGGAAACCATGGCGATTGGTTTTCCAGTGGAGGGAGTATCAGCCTCCACCTTCAGTGTTGGTGCCAGGAACAGCTCCTACGGGGGCGTTTGGAAAGACGGGTTTGTTCTCGGATGCTTGGCAGTAGACCTGAGCGGATCCCATGATGCTTTTACATTTCATCACAGTTAAGAGAGCGACTATTTTTGAAGGTTCTTTCTTTGGTTCATGTTGGCTACAGAAATCGACCTAACTAGTTGACAGCCTGTCTGAAGGAGTTAAATTATAAGTCCAATTCAGCCGTTTAAGGTCGTGGTTTTCGTGTGTGGTTTAAGCTGCGGCTTGAGATCAGAACCGGATTGAATGCAAGAAATAACCAAAAACAAACAGCGAGGCTTGTCTCTGTGTTTCAGTGCACTGCTCAGAAGTGTGTATCGAGGCATTTTGTATTATTTAGAGAGTTAGCTGTTATATCCCATGATAATTATCTGATTCGATGTAGAGTGCGTCTGTTTCAAGATGAATGCTTCAGCATTGGGGACTTGGATGTATCTGGTTCAAAGCCAAGAGAATACCTCTTATGAAGAGTAATGAGGTGTATATTACTTACACACACACACACACACACACACACACACACACACACACACACACACACACATCCCCCTCTCTCAGCAACTGCCATGCATGGTCTCTACTTAGAGACTGTGTGACAGACATGGCTGTAATTTGCAGACATAGATTACATCAGGCACCAATATGTTTTTTTTGAAGGCCTCAATTTTTCAGTTCAACAGTTTTATATTAAAATACATAGAGGTTCTTTTATACGGTTGTATTTTGACAAAGATGTAGAAAAGGAAACACAAAAATGGCCCGTATCCAGCTGCTATGGGAAGAGTCCACCTTAAGAGCCTCCCTTTAAATCAGGAGTTGTAGCACGTATTGTCCTACAAATGGCTGGAACCAGATGCACGGATATACACGTATAATGTTATTGATAACTTCATATTCGCTCGCTCTCTCGCTCGCTTTGTGTCTCTCGATCGAACGCTTGCTACGGTTGTAATACACACACACACACACACACAAACAGAGCGAGTAGCGGTGGTAAGCTATGAAAGCGTCAGCTAAATGACATGTAATGTAACTTGGCTGATTTTGGCCACGGTTTTGGTAGATTGTCAATTTAATCATCAAAACTAAGACTCAGTTGCCATCTGTCTGAGCTCATCTGCCTGTTACACCGTGTAGAGACCTACCCCTGTGAACTCCAATCACTCAGCGTCATACGAAGGACGGCGCCGCCTGTATTTATGACAACATTGAAAAAATGAACAGCTGGAACTGTTAACTTGAGTTAATCTTCAAAGCGGTCAGAGGAATCAGAGCGCGCGTATGTGTACGTCCGGTCTTAGTCATGTATATGAACCCTACAGCTGGATTTGAGGGGAAAAAAACCCTGAAATTACGTGTGTGTGCTTCTGATGCTCTGCGTTGTCCTCGGGCCAGAGAGGCAGCAGCCCCTCCAACTAGGTCACGACTAATAGCGCATCAGACGGCTGATCGGAGGAGGAGACAGAAAATAAGAGATGTAATGAGGATGATTGGAGAGAAGACTGGACTGAGAGGAGTTGTACATTTTCAAGCGAGTGCTTGAGCGCGAGCCTGATTTAGACATCTCGTCTCCCCTGGATGCCAGACGTCCTCTACATCACCACCTTGTATAGTTGCTATGTATTAATATCATTTGTGATATTGGGCCGTACACAAAAAATATACTTTTGAGCAATGTCATCAAACCTGAAAGATTCTACTATTCTGTTTCATTCAGAAATCTGTCACATTGCACACTGTGACAAAAGGCTAATGTGAATTTAATACCCATCAGAATGGAGTATTTCCTTTTAGTCATTATTTAATTAAAGAACCTTGAGTCTGAGGTCTCACTGTGACTATGTGTGAATGTAAATGTGTGTGTGTGTGAGTATTAGAGACCGACACACATTGGTGTCAGTGTGTTTCTTGTCAACCTCGGGCATGAATGAGTTAGACCTGACCTACATCATGCTCCAGCACACACACACATATATCAGTGTGTGTCTTTTTTATTCTGTCCCTGCTGTATTATGTAGTCGTACAGTATACATGTTGCACACACACAAATGAACAACTCGCACATTTGTTACACATCCTGTATTGTGATGCTCATTTTCGTGGCTATCATTCTGTCCGTAGTCTTGATCATTTTTTGTCTCTTTTACTGTATTTTACAGTGTTTTCAAAAACGGATAGGAAAGTAAGAAACGAGGCATCAAAGCATAATTTTGCCGGAGAAAATACGATGCTTCAGCCGTCATTTTGAGCTGTTCCCCGGGGGTTAGGGTTAACCCTCAATGTCCAAAATTAAGCTGACGGAAAAACATAATTAGCATGTTGGGACTGGATTTCGCTCCTGCGAGGACTTCATCCCTCGTGTCGTATCCCTATGGATAAAATGGTGGCACCCCGTGGGATCCGGTCCTAAATCTGTCTCCCCTCTCTCTGCAGTCGGCAGACAAGGAGCGAGCCCTGGAGGAGACGAAGAGCTACACCACCCAGTCTCTGGCCAGCGTGGCGTACCTCATCAACACGCTGGCCAACAATGTGCTGCAGATGCTGGACATCCAGGCCTCGCAGCTCCGCCGCATGGAAAGCTCCGTCAACCACATTTCACAGGTCTGCTGGGAGCACAAGAGGACCCTGGGCCCCCAGTTGGCTTCACTATGTATTTATTTTTATTCCCGAAACTGCAGCCCGTAGTCCTCGGTCTAAAAATCAGTTACATTGCCTGCGTCTGCATGGACACAGCGTAGGTCTGTTATTCACAGGAAGAGCGCTCATGTGGTGAAAGCACACACAATATGTAATCATGTATGCATGCAGTCTCGCTGATGTTCTCCGCTCTGTGGACGATGCGCTCTTAACTGCGTCGTGCAGCAGGCCAGAATTCCTCTCAGGAGAATGTTGCACTTACAGAATCCCAAAGCACGCAAAAGCAATAAAGTGACGAAGTAAATTAACAATGATAAGTGGCTCAAGGGCAGAGATATGTATTTATAGTTTCTCACCCTGCATTTTACACACATGAGCGCTTTTGTATGTAAATATGTATGTACTCTGTTGGGGTTATGAACCATAGCTGATTACGTTGATGAATACATCAATGCAGGTGAGCGGTGTCATTATAGCCAGTGAAAGCAACAGTCACTGGTTTAAAACTCAAACAGCAGCTAGTTATGTAAATTAGACTTAAATTAACGGGATTTGCGATCTGAAAATTGTTAGAAGTACAACTTGGATACTTAGAATCATATTTACACACAGACGTAATCGGGTTTGTCAATGTTCCAAGTAAACATGAATCAGGTTGCTCTAAAGGAAACGGTTTACTTGAGTATTTACATTGATACCAACTAGCAAGAGAAAGAAAAAAAAAACGTCTTCTTCAGAGTCTTCTTCATGTTTGTCAGCTGCCCAGACAAATAAAGCCACCCGTGGGTGTGAAGCATCACCAGATGTCTGATCGGGCCTACGCAGCACTCTGCACCCACACATCTCACCACACTTTATATCGACCATAAACGGTTCGGTTTTATGCTGTCACATATTTTGTCATTGAGGCACTTAACACTGCATTCATATTCTTAGAAAGACAAACATCATAAATAAGAAGGACGCTGCACTCTGTGCTGGGATTCATTATTTAGAACCAACTGTAAGTAAAGAAGAATCTTTACTCATTAAACATTGAAATGCACATCCGTCCCTATTCGGAGTAGCAAGTGCTTAAAGGATAATAAAAAAAACTTTAGTTTTAGTGGTACAGAGGATCTGTTCTCCTTCTCAAACCTCTGCTTAGTCACTATAATGAGAATACGCTCTGCATGCAGACATAATGAGATGCTTCTCTCTGTTATGTTAGGCCAGGACTGTGATTACACGTCATAATTACTGCTTTCAGTTCAAGGAGACACAGTCACATCTGTTCTGTAGGCGAACGTTTAGCGCCATGGGGCTCCGTCTCATGAAGGCTAAAAGTGACAAGAGCTTATATAATCCATTGGCCATTTTATGTGGTAGAAATCAGCCAACAATGTGAAAGATGAGGAGTAAAGACGAACATATCTGTCTGAAGGATGTGTCTTTAAATGTTTAGTCTTGTACTTTGCCGTGTGTTATAATGTGGGCAACGGCATTTCATTATAAAAACTACCATATGGCTACCATCCAATGAAGATGTATTTGGAGCTGAGAACGCGTCGCCTCTCGGTGAGGACGACCGTCTCACTGTCACCTTTCCCATCGAGTATCCTAAATAGAGGTGTGACTCTTTCAGTATCTCACAAATCAATTGCCTTCATATCGTTGGAGTCCAGTTTGCTGTCTGCTGTAAAATGTGCTGTGGCAAAGTAGGGCGTGAAAACACGGAGGTTTTATATTTAGAAGAACATCTTGTCTACTGAACATGTAAATGCACAAAGATAAAGGTAACATTTATTTATAACATTTAAGAGGATAATAACTGTCCTTGAGTGGTAACGTTCTTAAAAATATTTATTCGGAAATCTCAGAAGAGAATAATGTACATTCTTCTATTTTGTTTGCCACCCCTAAGCTTTCCATGAATGTACTTATAATGCAGTGAAAGTGGCATTAACACTGGTTCTGACTTTAGAATTAAAAACAGGTTTTTATACATATTAAGCTGCACAACTCCAAAAATATCTTCAGCGTAGAAGCAGCGTGACGACATGAAGACACACTCCCCCTCTCTCGTTTCTCACAGTGAATACATTTCGAGCTTTGGACTGACGCCAAGTATGAATGTTTGGGCTCCTGAAACTTCAGACTTTGAGACAATATGAAACCGTAGGAAGCAATGTATTTATCATAATGAAGTTGATTCAGCCCATTTTGTAATTGTTTTCGTTTTTTCTAAAGGGAATCAGAGCTGTGTCAACAGAACTGTGGGGCACTTATAAAATCAATCCACACACAGAAAACCTCCAAAAAACATTCATTGGTTGTCATTTAGAAATCTGTTTTCAGCTGCAAAGTGTACTATTGACTAATGGGCCGCTTTAAAGATGTAACTGTCCAATAAAATGTCCCAGCTTACCTTCTACCTTCTATCAGTTGTGTTTGTGTCAACAAACAAGCAGAATTATCTAAGAACCATGTATATGTCAACGTTCTGATATTTATCATTGATATTTCAAACTTAATTCCTGACTCGATCAATACCAGCGGCAGTGAGTCTTCAACTTTAGTACAGAAACAGCATCTCAACATCTATCGGATGGATTACCAGATAATACGCTTTATGAAGACATTCATGTTCTCCAGAGGATAAACCTCACTGAATTGGACTTTTCCTCCACTGCCGCCATGTGGTTGACACCTGTTTTTTTTTTTTACTTTTACAGACCGTTGACATCCACAAAGAGAAGGTGGCGAGGCGGGAGATCGGCATCTTGACCACCAATAAGAACACGACCCGCTCGCATAAAATAGTTGCACCGGCCAATCCAGAGAGGCCGGTGCGCTTCATCAGGAAGGCCATCGACTACAACGTGCTGGACGACATTGGACATGGCGTGAAGGTGGGAATAACAGCGGAAATAAGGATGATGAAAGTAATAATTGTAGATATATAACCTTGAGTGGCGATAGATAGTTACATGTAGAGTTTAGATGCTTAGAGGCAGGAACTTCACAGGGTGGTCGGTGATATTAAAATATCACAAGAACTGATGGTTTAAGCAGGTGTGGCATTTTTAGTCATTCTGATTTGTTTTAAGTGCAACTTAACATTTGGAGCCGTTTGGTTTTGTTTTCCTCTTTAGTCTTTCTGCCGGTCTGCCTGTGTTTTATCTTTGTCTGTCCTCCTGGTATTTCTACCTCATGTTAATGTTTGAATGATGCGGTTGCACCGACATTAACCTCTAGAACAATTTATCTTCCCTCTTCTTCTCCCTGTTCTCATTGCTTTCATTGCTGCATTAAGTGGTTGTTGAGGTTCAAGGTAAGGATGAAAAAAACACATCTGTTCAATACCAGGACAGAGGATCTCATGTGGATATGAGCGAGGGGGAAATGGCTATAGGGAATGTCAGTTATAAACAAAGGGAGAAATTGGTCCAGTTGGTTGCTAGGTGAAAGCGTGTGATGCCTAGTAATGATTTTCTGTTTCTAAATCACAAATAAATAACCATCAGACCCTGATTATCTACTACTTCTGTCAGCGTTAATATTAATTTGTGCAATTGATGACCTGGAATTCAGGGCGGCCAATCACAGCACAGCGTGGGCCTTTGGTTTGGAGTGACCGCTAACCGGCTCTGCTCTGTAGACTCTAGTGCAATTATTAGTGCAATTATTTCAGATTTTCTTCATTATCCGTTTAGTTTACGTGGATTTTAAGTGTACGGTTGGAAAGAAATATACGTTCTTTTAAATGTCTGTTTCTTCATGAAAACATTAAGCTAATATTGGTGGAATAATTGAGTTCATCGTTTATTGGCGTTAGCAACTTTATTTCAGACAAGCTTGCACTGAATCAAATGTTCAATCTGCTCATTTATCTTAGATTAGTTCTCCGTGGCTCCTTTAGTTGCTGGAACATTTTTGTCGACACTGGGTGTTTGGTGTAATTTGTGTTAGCTGGGTGTCAATATAACTAAATCATTTCACAGTTACAACCCACACACTTAAAAAACAAGTCTGTTGTAGTTGAAAAGACATTGTGATCATGTTGATTCATCATGTATTTTCCTCAGGTCAATGGCCAGCAGAACATGAAACTAGGTTTGAGCCTGTCCCGGTCCAACCCCCCCACCCAGAAACCGCCCAGCCCTCCGAGGGCAGGAAAGGGCATCCTAGGGTATGTACCCAGCCTGTAGACACACTCACACACACATGTACACACACTCACACACATGTAGACACACTCATACACATGTACACACACTCACACACATGTACACACACATGTAGACACACACTCACACACATGTACACACACATGTAGACACACTCACACACATTGCTCCTCTCGTCTGACATCTGTTCTTCTTTGTTCATGGTTTTATTTCTAATGATTGAGATTTTCCGTTAATGTTTGTCCCGAATGCGTGAATCTGAATAATGATTCCTTTTGTATTAAATGTTAAATGTTTTGTTTTAAATGCAAATGGCAGATTATGTCGACACAAATCCTCTTTCGCAGAATCACAGATGTGTCGCTCTTTGAGCTGACGGCCGAAATAAGTGGTGTGCTGCACTTTGTGTGTGTGTGTGTGTGTGTGTGTGTGTCTGTGTGTCTGTGTGTGTGTTTGTGTGTGTGTGTATTCGTCCCTTGTGGGAGGACAGGGGTTCCTGCGGCGAGTTTATTACAGATTGGACCTGGCAGAGGGGGATGACATCACACTCACACACACACACACACACACACACACACACACACACACTCTGAAGCGCAGTGCTCAGAGGAAGAGAAGTAACGTCATGCGTTGTGAAAGCTTGTTGTGTTCTCAAAGATCTAGGTCACCCAGCTGTATCTCTTTCTCCTTCTCCCTACTTATCTTTATCTCCATTTTTCTTCCCTTCTCAATCTTTTAACTTCTGTTTAATTCAGTCTCATCCTCTCCCTCTTCTCACCCTGTGGCCCGTCAGCTTAGGTTACAAGGTGGATTTCTTGACATTGCACAACACAGAGTTGACCCAAAATTCAGACCCAAATTCTGTTTGTGGTCCCGTAGGATAAACACGTAAAACCCACAACTGCGTGACATAGTAAAGGGTGGGAGATGCGTTTCGAGGCTGAAAACGGGGGGAAATAACTCGCCCGGCATCAATGTCCAGAGGTAACAAAATCCACCCCTGCCTCTATTTTACATATGTACCACACTTCTTCATCAGTGACTTCTTCTTCTTGTCGTCACCGCGTGATTGGCGGGCAACCAGCAGAGAATTGTTTCGGAGGCCAGCTATTTCTCAAAGTGTGTGAGTGTGATTGTGTGTGCGTGTGCCTTTTGTGTGTGAGGCCAGGTAGCCAGCTGGTCTAGTGCCACCTCAACCCTTCTGTTGTTGTGTTCCTTCCTGTTCTCCGTCCGTTACCCGCTGATCAGTCGGCTGTTCTCTAGAATAATCCCTAATTAGGTGGCAGGAGCGTTGGGTGCTGAAACTGCCACAGTGAGACTCAACGAAACGTATGAATAAAAATGTAATTTAAAGAATACGTAGAGAAGTTGTTGGAGGGTGCTGAGGGGAGTCCCTCAAACACACAGCAGAGCGTTGGCATCTTGAAGCAACCCACGGCCCACGTCCTTCTGTCTCCACACACGCACTCGATAACACGCTAACGCATCATTTTGACACTATAACTGTTCTGGTCTTAGGTAATTCTTGTTTTTCTATTTGCATAGTGTTAAATAATTGAAGACGACAGCATATTTACCAAAATTCTTGTCATAAACTGAACACACCATATGCCAGACTAAATGCAGATGTTCACTAGTGAAGGTGTAACTGCTCATATTACAGTTCACCAGACTTGTGTTTTTTTCTGGGAGGCCTTCTAATCAAACTTCTTGATGACTGTCTTCAGTCTGTTTCTTATCCTGTGCTGATGCTCGGGGGTCCTTATTCTCTACAGTTTGTGAGGCTGGAGGATTCATACTTCTCTAAAAATACATCCTGACCTTTTAAACATGACCTTAACTGATATCCCCACTTCTCTGACAGCACGGAGGGATTATCCCAGCCTGTGCCTAACGTAGAGATATCTTTTCACCTCTTAGGGTTAATTAATGGAACATAATTATTCATGTTACCTTGAAAGCTATGAGCTTCTAATGTCATGTTCTAACTGACCGTTAATCCGAGAATATGCTGTCTTTGAGCTGGTGCTACGGCATGTTGGAGCTACAGAGCCTTCTTGTGTTGATAATCAGAATTATTCAGTAAAAAGTAGAAAAGTAGCATAAAATGAATTAACTCAGTACCCTGGTCGCTTATTTACCGCTACATTTCTGACCTCAGCGTCTCAAAACACACCTAATAATTCTGTTATCACTTAGTTTTAATAGTCTGTAACTCAAATTATTATTTTCTTCATCAGGACGGTGGCGTGTGGTTTGATCACATTAGACGCAAATAAACTGTCATCACCTTTTAATGAAATTGTTGCAGAGAAACGTGTGACATCACCTTTTTCTAGCCACCCCACTTTAAAACTAGTGAGAAAACCAAAAGGCGACCGAAGCAGAAGGTGTGTAAAATGGGTTGTCATTGTTATGTTTCCAATTTGAAAATACAAGTTGCTTAAAATCAAATCTCAGCTCACATGTTGGTTTAACATGAAATTACATTTTTTTTTTTCGTTTCCAGGCTCTCGAAAATGTTACACATCCGTGGTGCTGGAGTGGTGCTTGACCATGTCATCGTAAACCTCTCCCCCATTGACCCCCCCCCCCTCCCTCCCTTTCACCCCTCACATGCACAGGAAGAACTCCCCCTATAGGACACTGGAGCCGGTGCGCCCCCCAGTGGTGCCCAACGATTATGTCTCCAGTCCCACCAGAAACAATGTGGCCGTGGGACAGGCTCCGAGTCCGGCCCGCACTGCTACCCTGCACCATCGACCCCGAACATACAGGTAGCCGGGGCGCCGCGTGCAAACACGGCGGCCAGAACGGGTCCTCTGGCCTTTCCCTTCTGCTCTAATGCTTTCTCTATTTCCCGCTCTGATGTTGTTTTAATTGAATTTAGGAAAAGGCCGATGCCTTTTCCTAAATCAACTACAAAGAGGCCGTGTTTCCTCTGTGGTTATATTCAGCAGTGAGGCGTCATTGTGCTGCAGTGAACCCTGAATGTTTAGTTAAAATGTACAAATGCGTTGCCGTCTCCTGCGGTGACGGTCATCACTGCTGAGTGAACAATCACCGCAGCTTCAACTAACCGATTTCCTTCTTATTCATGGTTTCATTTTCAGTTCCTATTGTTTTATTTTCTCTCTTCTGCAGTTTATGTAACTGTGTGGGCTTGTTGGTGCTGTGGGTGGGAATAGACGTTATCGAATCTTTTCCATCTTATCTTCATCTTTTGTGTGTCCTGATCTGGAGCCTGTGTTTTTTATTGGTGTCTCATTGCTTCTGTGCTGACATCAACGCGACTCGCCGCTGCCTTTCTTCCAGCCATCGCTCTGCTTTCGTCCTCATTTATTCTCTACAGGCTACTGACGTCTTCTTTGCCTTTTTGTTTTTTGATTTTCTGCTTCTAACATCCTCTTTTCTCCTTTCTTATTCTTCCTTATTTGCTTGTGTGTCTTTAAACCCTTTTTAAAATGTGACTCAATAGAAATGAAAAGCCCCCCCCCCCCCCCTTTCCGGGGTCCCTTATGGGCCTTTTTTCAAATATATATGATATTCAACAGTGAGAGACAAATATTGTTCTAATCCTGTTTGTGCCATGAATTGCACATACAGTACAATGTTTGTCAATTTAGGAGATTACTCTGCAAAATAGACACTCCCACACACACTTCCACATGTAATTTAGCCATTTCCTCTCTGGAAGACGGGGTCCGTCCTCACCTGCTCTACACGTATTGTGTGTTTGTGTGCGTGAGCAGTGGTAGCAGTGGGGGCAGCCATCCCAGCAGCAGCAGTCGGAGCAGCAGCAGGGAGAACAGTGGCAGCGGCAGCGTGGGAATTCCCATCGCCGTGCCGACGCCGTCCCCGCCCTCCACATTCCCAGGTATCACACACACTGAATTGGTTTTGTTGCATGTCGGGAGTTTGGTTGCATGTTTTTTTCTGATTTGACACCAGGGCACCTGTTTTCATGAGGTCAAGTAAGATCTTCCTAAATACATATTTGTTTCCCTTCTTTACTTTCTGTTTTCACTCCTCCATATGAGTATAAATCTAATAAATGCGCGTATAGAAATTTCCCAGCAGGGTATTATTATTGAACTTCATGACCGGCTTATGTTTTGGACCTGGTGTTTGTAAATTTAGTTTAACCGCTACTTGAGATGATTCTCACCCCTGCCTGCTTGTCTCCTTCCTTCGTTTCCTTTCCTTCCTCCGTTCTTCTTTGAAGTTTCTCCAACTGCTGGACCCGCTAGCTCTTCCTCCACTGCTCCTAACTCCTCTCCCTCCGCGTCCCCTACTCCTTCCTCCTTCTCCTCTTCTTCCTCCACCACAACCTTAACGCAACCCAACGCACCCTTATTACCAAACTCATCTACGCAACACACCGACTCCCCTCCTCAACCGAACCCACAATGCAATGCACCCGCCGACACGTCGCCGGCCTCTGACCCCGCCCCCAGCACCTCTGATGTCCAATCAGTTGTTTTTCCTGGAGAGCTGTCCCCTCTCCTTCCTCCTGCCCCTCCTCCTCCACTCTCCTCCTCTTCCTCCGCCTCATCACCCACCGAAGGTGAGTTTCTCCAACGCCACCTCCACCTCCAGCGCCTGCTTGCTCCCAGCCTCCGATCTCCATTTTTCCTATGAAGAGACTCTTCGTGTTGAGCTTTCATTACAAGTTGTGATGAGTGTGTATTTGCATGTGTGGGGCAGATGTCTGGGGCAGAACTTTTTTTTTTCTTGTCATATCTTTTGTTTTGACCCGATCCATTATAGATCACGGCGTACATTTCATATCCTCTGCTGCTCATCTTATTTTCAGGTTTTAACTCCAGGCTGTTCATCTTTGCCATCCTGCATTGTGTGTGTGGATTTACTATTAAATACAGGTTGCCTCAATACTGTGGCAGTAAAACAGGTTAAATCATAATTTTTATATTTGGTTGGATCCAGAGTACTTAAACTTTTTGATTTCCAAATTTTGTTTACATGGTAATATACTTTTTTAAAGATTAATCATTTCAAGGTTGAAAGTTATTTAAAGTGATAACAGAGTTAGAGCAGTTATCAGAATTGTTGAGAGTTCAAAAAGCAAAGTGAAGTCCTCCAGTGAGCTCTGAGCTCTGTCTAACCTCGTCCTCGTGCTCCTGCAGGTCCCACCGTCCCTCAGTTCTTCAGCATGAACCGGCCTCAGCCCCGACTGCAGGCTCAGCAGGTGGGGGGGTCCCTGCCATACCGCCGCCCCCCCTCTGTGACAGGTCAGCCCATAGTAATGGAGAACCAGGTCAACGGCAATCCTTACTACAACCAAAGCCCAGGTATGTCCTGCGACACACGCCGGTCTGATGAAACACAATTCATTGAAAATATATCTCCATGTAGCCGGATTATTTGTGTATTTTAAATCTTTGGTCTGTGTGCGTTGGCAGCCTCCCCCCCGCCCCCCTCCCTTCTCCAGTTCAGTCCTCAGCTTCCGCTGATGGGTTTCGTTGCTCGAGTTCAGGAGTCCAGTGAGTAGTCAAGTTTCTTCAATCGGGCATCACAGAGACGTGTGCTTGTGTTTCTCTTCTTGTGAATCCGGCTGTTATTTACATCTGTGCGTCACATTGGTTTTTACATCTTTTCAGGTGGCCTTTGTGCTTTATTTCAGGATATGTAATCTGTTCTTCCCCTTCAGTCTCCGACGTCTGCCCTCACCCAGCGGCCGAGAGCAAATCTGGGGCCGAGGAGCCCCTCCTTTCTCCTCAGCCACTGGAGGACGGACAGCAAGAGGAGGACTCTGCAGTGGTGGAGTACTGCGACCCGTACGCCGAGGAAGACCCACCGTGGGCCCCCAGGAGCTACGATGAGAAAGGTGCACTGCGCAGCAGCTTGTATGCCCGTGAGAATGTGTGGCAGTCTACGCTGTATGGGTGGTGCATTGTGGGACGGGGATGGTGTGGGGGAAATGTATTATATTGTACTTAAGCAATGCAAGTTATATCAATTAAGTCTGAACATATGCACAGTGGGCCATCCAAACTCACCAAATGTTAGATGCAATTATTAGAAAGGTATTTTATTTTTACTGCTGTAGTACCTTCCTGTTCTGCCTCCACCCCTCCATCATGGAGACTATAACAAAGCTGGGATCTCCAGCAGTACAAAATACTGTAACTATATACTCTGTTTTTGCATCATTGCTATTTTACAGCTGAATCAATAGCATCACTCAAATAAATTCCAGGCACTCCACTTTCCTTTAAGCCATTCAATAGAACCAAAGAGAGCCCAGGGGTGTAAGAACCAATCGTTTTGTGTGATCTTTAATACATTACAATTTACAATTGCCATTTTCCAGGTTTACTGGTGCCCCCTCGCACAATATTTTATATAGTATATCTCTATCACTATTGAATAAAGGCAAAGTATCAACATAACACATCCATTATGATTAATAACGTCAGTGTTTTCCTCGCCTTCTAGTGGTGGCCATCTACGACTACGCAGCCGACAAGGAGGACGAGTTGTCGTTCCAGGAAGGAGCGATCATCTACGTCATCAAGAAGAACGAGGACGGCTGGTACGAAGGCGTGATGAACTCCACCACGGGCCTCTTCCCCGGAAACTATGTGGAGTCCATCATGCACTACGCCGACTGAGGACCCACAGCAGCGTCGTTGTGTCCTCGTCTGTTCAGTCTGTTGGCCTCCGCGTTGCCTCGCTCCAGTTCAGCTTCCCGGTTCGGAACGAGAAGGGAAAAGCTTTTATTTTATTGTGACTTATTCAGATGAGAATAATCAGAATCTGTGAGTGAGTATGAGTACACACGCATACAGTTCACAGTTCACAGTGTGAACTGTATGAGAAACAGTTCCCACTGTTTTGTTCTGATTTTCCGAGCAGCATCTGTCTGGTTTTTCCCAATTGGCCGGGCATTTAGGGCTTTCTTAATGCTGGTTCGATTTGTGTACTAATAAAGTATTAATAAGGTTGCTTGTTGGAGAACTGAGGGGCATTTCAGGCATGTTAATGTTGTTATTTGCCGTGAGTTTCACTCCAGATGTGTTTGATGTGAAGGATCCATTGTTGCTTTTCCTATTCAGACGGTCAGAAAAGTTTTCCTTTTGATCAACAATAATAAAAAGTTAGTTTTTTTGAAATCACAAAATCATTATTTAATCCTTAATCACAAGAGGCATAGCCTGACTGCAAATCTAAAATTACCAAAATATAGCACGTCTGGTTACATGAAGGTAACATGTAGCAATGATTATAAAGCGATTTAACAAATCAAGTGTTCAAAGGCGCTTTTAGAGTAAGACATTACAGTCTTCTCACTGTTTATTTATTCCACTGATGGAAGAAGCTCTGTAAACATTAGTTTACACAGAGAATTCAGAATTTCTGTCTCCTCAACACCTCAACATCACCTTTTTTCAATCATGGAATGATCATTTTTAGTTTACAGGAAAACAAATCATTTAATATTCAGCCAATATTTTTTTGTGATCAACAAAATGTGTTGATACTTTTGTTTGCGTGACTTCTCTGGGCTTCCGTAGTTTTGTCCTCCGCTACCCTCATTCTACTTTTAGCACTAACAGTGTTTTTAAGTTTCGCCCTAACAACTCTCCATCCTCCTTCCGCTTTTTAAAGTAAGCGATCTTCTCCCTTTTTACCATCATCATCATCCTCATTCACGTCGACCTGAACTGCTTCAGTCTTAATAGTTAAGAAGATCATTTAGACGCTGCTGTTGCAACGGACCGCTTCACCCACGTACCGCCACGTATTTTATTTATACTCCGCTTCCCTTTGAGCTTTGCCTTAACAATTTACTTTTTCAAGAGCCTTACCTCCGTTCTTATCTGTCAATGAATGATTAAACTTAACCTGTTATTGCTTGTATTCATATTGATCAACATGGAGAGGAGGAGGTTCGCTCCACAGAACAAATTGAATTTTGACTTATTTGAAGTGTGACTTCTGAGCTTTTTTCCCTCCTGGACCTGAACGACGCGCCTGCCGGAGATTCTGGACCTGAAGTTCACGGCGTGGTTGCCTGCATGCCTGATATATAACGGACATTTCTAATCACAATGACTTCATATTTGGATTACTTTTCACCAACTTGCTTTATTGTTTGATCAGCTGGAGGTTGTGACGTTTTTGTTCAGTAGTGTTTAAAAAGAGCTATTAAGTGTGTTTGGACTCCAGACTGACTCTCGAACAGAAGGTGGATGTTGTCGTGCCATAGGAGTGTGTGTGTGTGTGTGTGTGTGTGTGTGTGTGTGAGTGAGAGACAGAACCAAACCTTCCCTTGTGGACCGAAGTGACTATGGACCTGAAACCGTGTCTTCTTCTTGTTCGGTGTTATTATAAGAGGCACAACAAGCAGAGAAGGCCAATCTCTGAGAGCAAAGCAGATATTTTCAGCTACGTCTTATTTTCCTGAAGATGGAGTCTGTGTGCTCAGTATGAAAATGTTCACTACATTCACTACTTCCTGTTTCTGGTGAACTGACCGGCGGCATACAGCAGGAACACTAAGCAGCCATGAGTGCTTCACATTGAATTATTTAACTTTTTAGTGGTGTAAATAAGCTTCCTGGTTCTTCTATTTGTGTACATTTCAGCGTTGTTATCACACTGTAGACGTTAATGACACATTTCCTGCCAGACAGAAGTTTGTTGTTTTTCCATTCCGATTGATCCGAGTCAGGTAACATTCCGACATTCGTTCATAAGGTTTGGATCAGACTCATGACACTATACAACTGAACGTATTGGCATATTCTGATTTGTTGCATTTGGATAAGTTTGTGGATATATCCATTTAATATAGAACTTTTATTAATTGTTTTATCAGCAAAGAGCAGTTTATTAAGTGTTGAAGTTGTAATTAAACACTACATGTGAGACCTTTGTATCTTTTTTGATTTGAACTGATCGATTCCCCTTTAAAATCATTTCTTGAATCCCAATCTATTCAGCAGAAATAAATCCCCCATGTGAAAGTAAATTTAAGATCTCATTGATGAGCTGTGAGAAACGTTCTGCTTTCTAAACTGAATCTACTGAAAGCACATCACTTGCTTGCACAAGGGGGAAAAGTACATTTTTAACAGCATGCCTGAGTTACTGTTTTATTTCATCTTACACACAGATGCACTGTCAAAGCCTCTGTAAGTTAAGTTTTAAAAACGGAACCTGTAGATCAGTAGAATAGTGTCGCAGGAATATTAATTTTTTTGATCTACTTATTTTTCCAACATTTTGATTTTTTTTCCAAAACATTTTTTACCTTCTTTCCCATGACATTTTTTGACCTATAAATTAACTTAAGTCACTTCGTGCCGATGATTATTACAATAGTGCCAGAAAAAGACTGAAAACGGCCGGTAGGAGCTATTTTAAGGGGTGACAACTTTTACTGTTGCCACAGCGCAAACCCCGGAAGTATATCGCAAGGGCTTATGGGTAAAGAGTGTTGTTTGCTAGTCAAGCTAATGTCACTTTCTGGTCAGTTTTATATTTAAAAGTGTTAGTTTAGAGGTTACCGTCTCGTATACATTACAATAAATCAGGCTTTAATGTAATGTATTACCGTGAAGTTTTAACGAGATGTTGTCTTTTGGGGACAACAGTCCAAAACAGTATTTGTGCGGGAAGTCGAATCCTGGAACACGGAACTACGCTACCCACAACCCAATGCTCCTGCGGGGTCAAATCTGAATTTAAACGGCTAAGCAGCAGCGCTGTGTTTAACAGTTCTCTTAACACTTCAACGGAACAGAATAATTCGGCTCGATTTTTGCTCCCAAGTATCGTGTCGACGGTTATGTAGCCACCGAACCGATCAGTGTGGACTTTCTCGCGCCGACTCTTCCGTTTGTACCATGACTTTGCCGGTTTTTACCAGTTAGCGCTGCTAGGCTAAGCTAACTCGTTGCTAACGTGCGATGACTTTCAGTGCGTTTTTGTTTTCTGCCGCAAACATGAAGTGACGTCCCGTAGGCGATGACAGATCAACCGCATTAACTGTTAACGCAGATTCACACAAAACCGATCCCCGAAGAGCTGAGCTTGCGTCGCCGAGGCCGGGGAGACCATGACCCTCGCCCCGAAGGAGCTGTCCAACCTCCTGAGCATCATTTCGGAGGAGGCATGCACCAACACCTTCGAGAGCCTCTCCACCCACTTCCACCATTACTTCGGCAAGGCGGAGCACTTCCGGGTGGGTTCGGTGCTGGTCATGCTCCTCCAGCAGCCGGACCTGCTGCCCAGCTCCCCGCAGCGGCTCACCGCCCTCTACCTGCTGTGGGAGATGTACCGCACCGAGCCGCTGGCCGCCAACCCGTTCGCCGCCGTGTTCGCACACCTCCTGAACCCGTCGCCCCCCGGGGAGGAGCAGGAGAAGGTGCTCTCCGGTAGGTCACTCACCTGCGTCTGCAATTGACGCAGTTGTCCCCCGGTGCCGATCGCGTTCAAGAGTGCGGGATATGCGTTTCGCTGGCGGCAGATAACTCGCGAGGCTTCACGCACCGAAACGTCTCCAAGTGTATTCACTTATCTACTCTACTTCCGGACAGTATTTACCGAATCCAATGTTGTACTTTTTACTCCACTGGGCATCTTGATAACTTCAATCACGTTGTAGGTATAGATCAGATCTGTGTACAATGAACAAAATAAAATAGGAACTTTCTGTATCCCAGTTGAGAAATTCACAAACTACCAAATATAAGATCATTCAAATATAGTACATATATTATTTTGAAATCAATGTTCATGTTTTGAAACTGAAACAATTAGCTGAATTTGTATTGATATCCTATATACTGATACCTGACAAATTATTATATTATTATCCATCTCAGAAAGTTTTTCCCCCAATAATGCAAAACAATGTGAGAATTTACGGCCTTTTACAGTTGAACGTTATTGCAAACTGAATTTGTTTTTGTTTAGTATTCAAAGACTTTTACACGTGCGTCTATTCTGTGTCACGTGACCTCTGCAGGCTTCCTGCCCCCCATCACCCAGCCGGAGAAGTTCTTTCTGTCCCAGCTGATGTTGGCCCCGCCCAGGGACCTCTTCAAAAAGACGCCCAGACAGGTGTCCTGCATGGACGTGGGCAACATGCCCCAGTCCATAGACATCAGTGGTCTGCAGCTAGCGTTAGCAGGTCGGTGCACAGATACACAACCATTCATCTCCCGAAGAGACCAACACCGCTCGCGTTTAAAGGCTGGAACTGTTAGTGTTTTCAAAGATATGCAGTTGTTTTAGTCACGACATTCCATACACACACACAGAGGACGATGTGAATCTCTATACAGTTCCAATTTCTTTATTTTGGATAATCAAGGAGTTTCAAGCTTCTTTTCAGTCTAATATGAATTAATTGAGAAAAATTGCGCATTTCTCAAATCTGTGGAGCAAACATCATCAGCCTGCTCCTTGTTTACTTCATTTTCCACGCCATGTTTGTTTTGTTGTGCAGAGCGTCAATCCGAGCTGCCCACTCAAAGTAAAGCCAGCTTCCCCAGCATCCTGAATGACCCCGATCCAGATTCATCCAACTCGGGATTCGACAGCTCCGTGGCCAATCAGATCATCGAGTCTCTGGTCACAGGGCCCCGCCCTCCGCTGGAGAGTACGTGCTTTTGATGCTGATATTGTTGCAAAGTTTAAGAATTGGTCGTTGTATAGAAAACCGAACGAAGGTACAGGGTGTGTTCTCAGATGAGCTTCCCTTTACTGTGTTGGTGTTTGATGATTATAATTCATTGCTGTTCACATCCTGACTCATGGTGCTGACTCTATTTATATGAAGACGCCTTCCAATTTAGTGTAAATGTTCCCATGGTTACCAAATGGCAGGTAGATGTAACTAAAATGACAGTGCCTTAAAATGTGCACCCAAACAACCCAACAACCTCTCTCCGTCCACAGGTCACTTTCGCCCCGAGTTCATCCGGCCGCCACCCCCTCTGCACGTGTGCGAGGACGAGCTGGCGTGGCTGAACCCCACCGAGCCGGATCACAGCATCCAATGGGATCGCTCCATGTGTGTGAAGAACAGCACCGGCGTGGAGATCAAACGCATCATGTCAAAGGCCTTCAAGAGCCCGCTGTCCGCCCAGCAGCAGTCACAGGTGAGCGGTTGAAGCCGGCTGGTTTCTACTAAAAAAAAATATATATATATAGTTAGCTTACTCTTTTCCCAAAGTGGCACGTCACTTGTGTTTGTTTATATCAAACAGCGAGGAGGAGAGGGCGTTTACTGTGAACGATTACTTGCAGCAGCAGGACGCTGTATGTGGGATTGAATCAAATTCTATTCATTACTGTTGACAAAAGTTAAGGAACCTCTGTCACCCAGAGCAGCTGTTTTGAGTTCTACAACAAAGGCGAAGAATAATGGGTCTAATTTGATTCATTCAATATTGTTTTTCCTCATCAAATCTCTCTCTTTCCCTCTCCAGCTGCTGGCCGAGTTGGAGAAGGACCCAAAGTTGGTTTATCACATCGGCCTGTCCCCGGCGAAGCTCCCTGACCTGGTGGAGAACAACCCACTGGTGGCCATTGAGATGCTGCTGAAGCTGATGCAGAGCAGCCAGATCACCGAGTATTTCTCAGTGCTGGTTAACATGGACATGTCGCTGCACTCCATGGAGGTCGTCAACAGGTGAGCGCTAATCTGACAAAGTGAGAATAATGCACAAAACCGTAAAAGTCCTGCGTTCAAAGCGTGTGCGCATGCACGCGTGTGTGTGTGTGTGTGTGTGTGTGTAATATCTGCATTGTTGTGTAAAAGTAAAATCCGTCATAGTGCAGTAAAATATCCTGTGTTGTTCCTGATCCTAACTGAGATCATCATAGCATCGCTTCTATCAGCTTTCTGACATTGCACTTTTAAGCTTATCCGAGAGGATGTTTACTTGGTTCAACACATTAGGAAAGACTTTGTCCTTCAGTTACATTAAAAATCAACACACCCGGAGACACGTGTGAATCAGGATGAAAAACCTGTTTGTGCCGCAGCCGTTGTTACTAATTGGAAATGAAAACAAACTTGATGGACAAATTGAAGTTTCTTTTTGAAGGGGACATTTCTTCTTTAAATGATTTCATTCTGTTCTTAACTCCCTGCTTGAACTTCCTCAGGTTGACTACAGCCGTGGACTTGCCCTCAGAGTTCATCCACCTCTACATCTCCAACTGCATCTCCACTTGTGAGCAAATCAAAGACAAGTACATGCAGGTAAAGTACCACCCTTTACTCATAATAAGGTTGAAATGCTTTGTTTTATCAGGTCTTCCGTTCATTGTGCAATATTCCTAATAATTTCATCCAAGAGACAAAACGGTCCACGCTGAATACTCTGTCCTCCGCAGTGCTGAACTAAATGAATGTTCCTTTGTAGGTTGGAGGTCTATTTGGCGCTGCTGTTTAAATGTTTAGTTTAGCTTCATAAAGTGATACGTTGTCTTCCAGAACCGCCTGGTCCGTTTAGTGTGCGTCTTCCTCCAGTCGCTGATCCGAAACAAAATCATCAACGTTCAGGACCTCTTCATTGAGGTTCAGGCCTTCTGCATCGAGTTCAGCCGCATCCGAGAAGCCGCCGGCCTGTTCCGCCTCCTGAAGACCCTGGACACCGGAGAGAACCCGGCCGAGCCCAAAGCCGCCAAATAACGACCCCCCAAGAGACACTGCACGGACGGTACCGGTGGCCCGAGTGACTGAAATAAGGCCACGTTTATCTCGAATATCAAAGGGATGACCTTCATTTCAGCCTTCTTCGTGTCTTTGTGCGTCCCAGGAGCAGAAACTAAAGCAGCCGGCTCGAGTTAATATTGTAAATATGTAGTGACGTTTAAAATCGCCATTTTCCCCTTTTCCAGAAGTAGAAGGAAAAAAAAGGATGAACTCAGTTCAACATTTCATTTTTTTTACCAGGGCTCTTTCCTTTGGAAATCTTGCGATGTTTTCTCAAATTAAACTGTGTTTAATTCAGTCTTGTGTTTTGGTTCTTTCATTGATGTCATATGGGAGACATGCAGGCAAGATGACATCACTTTGCTTTCAGCGCTACTTAAATATTCTGTTAGCACGTGTGGTCCGTTGCACCTGTAACCAAACCCACCAATGATGTCACAGGTGCTGGAGCACACCTGTACGTCACTGCACCTGTCAATCACATGAATCGGCAGCAACCTTAATTGACATCCGCCCCCCCAGACTCAATAACGACACAGTTGTTAATACAAAAATCTGTTTATTTGTTGCGTACATTTGTTGTAAAGTCTGTAATCAAGTTGAGTTTAGAGCCTGGATTTAAGTATGTACTGAAATAAGCTTTCCAGTTCCACAGGGTTTAACCGCGCGCCCTCAGACCGGGTGGACGTGGTCGTTAGGCTCTCTTCATGGCGCGGGCCATGAGGCAGGCAAACACCGTCATCACCATCTTAGGTTTGACCTCCACTAGGTCCTCGGGCAGCGCGTACACCCGGGCGCCAATTTTCCGGGCCATTGAGATGGCGTACCTGGGAACACGAGGACGAGAAGAACGATTTTAAGTCTCTCTAAATCTTCTTACAATAATTAAAATGATAAAGAAGTGAGTGAATACTTTGCATTGTTGAGTTTTTCCTCTTCAGTCAGATCTTCTGTCTTCAGCAGGTCGTATCTGATTGATCCGGGCTGAATGGCATCGATCAAGTCCAGAACCGGCATGCTGGTGCTGATAGACCCATCCTACACACACACACACACACACACACACACACACACACACACACACACACACACACACACACACACACACACACACACACACACACACACAATGCAACTATAAATACAACAGTAATAGGAAAGGAAGCCATCAATATCAATAAAAGGTCATAGTATATGATCTAGTACATAATGTGAATGTTAAAACGATGTCATAAAAATCCTGCAATTAAAAAGTCATGAGATAGTATGTCAATAAAAGGCACAATATGGTATGACATAACAATATTGTAGATTAGTATATCTCATAAAAAGGGATATATTGTAAATAAAAAAACACCAAAATGAAAAAAAATCAATTAAATACTAGCTGAATTACAGAATAAATGTCTGTTTTGTTTGCTGGCTTCATTACATGCCAGCTGACGTGTGTTTATGTGTCTCAGTACCTTGAAACTTGAGATTTTGGGTTTTCCGGCCTGTGTGAGCATGTCGTTGACCCAGGTCACGATGGTGTCATCCACCACCTTCTGGCCGTCGCCCAGGTCCTCCAGGATGTTCAAGGTGTACCTGAGGGAAAACTCGGCGGTCAGTTCAGCCCCACAACACCTGCTTTCAAAATAAAAGCTTCACCTGCCAGGGTCAATAACTTTTTTTTTAAGGTATTATTTTATATCTGAAGGATCTGCATAAAATGCTTTTTAATACTTTCTAAGATATTAAGATATTTTGAATGCAACTTTTTTTTTTTCCCATTACATCTTTTGGTCCAACGTGTTTTGACTTTTTGGAGAACATATTTTTTTTTTGTATTCAGGCTTAATAAATCAAAGTGTTGCTACCTCCTCATAAGCTGCCAGAGCAAAGCAAGGGTGAGGGTTCGATTCCCAGCGTTCAGGTCCTGACCTGCGATTCCCACCAGGGAGAATTTGGCCTCCTTCTTTCCCAACTCCACTGCGTAGTTACAGTTCTCCAGCTGCAACGGACAGATGTGTGTTACACTTATTCTAGTTACATTCGAGTTGTATTTCATGCTACACTTTCTTTCTGCCTTTCTCAGTGCGTCCCAAACTTTTATTTTGAAGTTTTATGTGTGAAAGTGTGAAAGTCCCAGTTTGATTTAGGACATTAATCTTCCACAATGCAATGCAAAAAGGTCACAGAGGAGCTGTGAACAAAATTACTATCACTTGCAGGAGGTGCGACAGCTCCAGAAATATCTGAAAAAGCTCAAATACAGCACACACATCGTGTAATTTCCTGTGAAAAGCGTGTTTTCTATAATAACAATTCTTTGGTGTGTGACCTGTTTGTGTCCGACCATCACACACACACTTGAACTCAGCTGCCGTACCTTCTTCATGTTGCTGCCCAGTTTGGAGTAAGGAGGCTTGTTGACTTTGTCCCAGTCCACCGGCACCTTGATCTTCTCGTACAGCTGGAAGATCACCAGGGCGTCATCGATGTCCCTGTAACAAACGCGTACGTCACATGTGGCTGTTCATCATCTGCTGCGTCGCCCCGGGCCGAGGAGAAGAGTGAGTGTCCTCACGCGTAGAGGTGGTTGACTCGAGGGTTCACCCCCAGGGAGTTCATCCAGTTCCTGAAGGTCCGCTCCTCCCTGGTTTCACCTGAAAGAACATCAGCTAGTTATGAATGAAGCCCAAACTGAGACATACAAAAGATATACAAAACAGAACAGGGTTGCATTGTTGTGTTTAGAGTTAAAAACACCATAAAAATGGAGGTTGTGTATATTTTGGCACAAGGTGAGCGATGAATAGATAAATTTCTCAAGATGACGTTTGTAGAAAAAGAGGTTTGCAAGTCGAAAATGGCCTCATATGGATCAACTCACCTTCGATGGAGCTCCAGTCGATGTCCTGGTTCTCTGGTTTCTTCAGAGCCGGGTACTTATTGAACAGATTGGCCACAAAAGCCAAGTTCAGTTTGGGGTTGCCCCGGACGACGTCTGTCGGCATGACGAACTGCCGGCATCCGAGCCGGTCGGCTTCATCCAGCATGCACTCGGCCCGCTTCAGGTCCTCTTTCTCCTGCAGAGACGGACGACCACGTTCATCTCCCGCTCAGATAGATCAGATCAGATCCCAACATCTTTTTATTATTAGCATTTCTGTTTTAATCTTTGTTTTTTCGTTATAATTAAATGAGTTCCACATCCACCTTGAAATGTTTCCGGTTGAAAAGCATGAAACAATTTGAGTTTGTAGTGATAATATTAAATTTAGGCCTTTATAATTACTGTAACATTATTATAGTTCTAATAATAGCTGGGCAGAAAGAGTGTCTCACCCTGACTCCCGACATGTCGATGGCGATGGGGGGGATTCCGTCCTCGTCTCCTTTGGGTGCCACCTGGTTCAGGAGGTTGTAGTACGCCTTGGAGTCCTGAGACACACAGTGTGGGAGGAAAAATGATCGAATCCGTCTTGTTCTTTTAGCGTTTTAGTGTTTCATTTATTTAGTGAATCTGACTGACTGGTTGTCATCTGATGTTTGAGATTTAATTCATATTTTAAACAGATTAATCCTCTTGTTGACTGTGGAAAGTGACACTAAGCTGGACAGTGACATGCAACAGTCTCCTATCATGTCATTATTTGTGTCAGCGTGTGTGATGAGAACCTTGATGTCGGAGCTGAAGTTATTGATTTTGCCGCAGCCGGCCTCCTCCAGGTGATAGTTGGCCCAACGCAGCAGCAGTTCCTCGGGGGAAAGTTTCATCAGATCCTCCAGACTTTCTCCGTCCCGCAGCAGAGCGATGAGTGCTGAACACACAGAGTGTTCATCAGGGAGCTTCAGAGGTGCCGCTAAAACGGATTCTGTTACCTTTGGACAGAGCCAGGCTGTCCGTTTCCTTCCTTTATGCTAAGCTAAGCTAACTGTACAGACATGGGAGGGGAATCAGTCTAAATATCTAACTCTCAGCAAGAAGGCATCGAAGTGTAGTTGACATCTGTAATTCTGTTTTGGTTGTTCAAGGTTGAATCAAGATGAACTCCCACACACACACACACACACACACCTTCATTCCTGCTGAGCTCGATGTCGGCAAACAGCCCGATCTTGATGACCTGCCACAGCAGACCCAGGACCAGGTGCTGCCGGCCCTCCTTCAGGTCCTCGGCCCCGATGTTGACCACGTGGCAGCCGATGGCCGACGACGAGTTGAGAGCCAGGTTGAGGTTCTCCTGTTGGAGCGAAGGACACGAGGCCGGACGTTAACGCACGCGCAGGGCGGAGCAGCGGTACGTGCGCTGCGTGACCGAGCTGAGTCCGACATGTCCTCTCTCACCTGGATGGTGAAAGGTGTGAGCTTCTTCTTGTTGATGGTTCTCTCGTCGATGGTGTCAGGGACCGAGAGGTTGATCATCTTACTATCAGGTGAGAACATTTTAACAAGATATTTATCAAATCCCACCGTTTACAGGTTGACAATTTGGGAATTACAGAGTTCTTGTTCCAACATCTTTACTCTTTGCAATGAATATGAAGCTATAGTCAGCAGACGGTGAGCTTAGCTTAGCACAATGACTGGAACCGGAGGGGAACAGCTAGCATAGATCTGTCCAAACGTAAAGACCAGACAGCAAAAAAAGGCAACCTCCAAAATGTTCAAAAAGTCCCACAGGAGATTTTCCTACAGTGAACGTACCAGAGAACGATCCCGTCTCCCATGGCGGTGAACAGGGCGTCGCTGTTGGCGTCCATCGGCAGAACGTGATTGCAGTCGGCATCCTTCTCCAGAGCTTTGTTGATCCAGTTTACAAAGGCCACTTTCTCCTCCTCTGCAGACAAAGGAAATACAGCAGCGGGTCACAGACAGACGGCAAAATAGTTTTTTCTAGTGTAACTTGAGGCCGTGCGTGTGTGAGACCTGAGTACGAGTGCTGGGTGCCCGACTGCTCCGAGGTTCCCGCCACGTTGCAGATTCCCTCCTTTTTATTGATGGCCTTCCTGAAGGTCTTCGCCACCTCCGTGCTCTTCAGCCCTTTGACGATCTGTCGGCAGGCACACAGGAATAAAGAGTAATGATGGTTCTGTGTTCATGCTCTATCTGTATCCCTTGTGACCTTTGACCTCCCGCCGGACTGACCTGGGTGAAATCGTCGAAGGTGAGCTGGTCGCTGGTCTTGGTCAGCTCTTGGACGATCTCTCGGACCCGGTAGCCCGGCAGCGCCAGGTTGGCGGCCCTGAAAAGCTCGGTGAGCTCGGCCTTGCTGATGAAGCCATTGTTGTCCACATCTGGAGAAAGGATGGAAAGGTCAGAGGTCGAACAATGGAAGCAGACAGCGGTACACGTTTTTGTTTTGTTTTTTTAGATTTTTTAGATGTAGGAATAGTCAACATAAAGTTACAGCTGAAGGGTTAAAAATGGGATTACTTTATTTAAAAAGATACATTATTGTGTGCAAATAAAACAATTGAAAAACACTAAAAACAAAAACAAATGGACACAGTGCCAGAAGTGTTAACAGGTTAACAATGTGGTGCAAACCCTTAAAACCCACAATGCAGCCTGTTTGCAGCCCATTTCTGAAACACCATTTGTTTGGTGGTTACATCGCTTACCGATCTTGGCGAAAGCTTCTCTAAGATCCTCCTGTTCCTCCGGAGAGATCGGCACTGGCGTCGTCATGTTGGAAACCTGAACCGGACACAGAACAAAGCAAGTCAGAAAAGGAGGAACTTGTTGTCTCCTAAAGTTGTGATGAAAACGGTTTCTAGTTCTCACTTCTGCACGCCTCGGACTTCCTGCTCGCGGCTGCGCTTCCTGCCTGATGGAGAAGTGTTTCTTTGTCTGTTACCGCTGCTTGTAATGAGATCTGCTCTCCCTCAGGTAATCTGCACTGTGTGACGTTGAGTCCACCACTCACCACTTTGTAGAACACTCACGCCTAAATAATTGATCCCCAGCAGAACCACTGCTTTCCAAATTGTATACTTTTTCTTTTTTAGGTTATGCAATGAATTGGGACATAATAGAACTCGAACTAGAAAAGCTGGCTGGAAAACCAAATCCTTTTCTGACACACTAAATGCTGAAGCAGTAGAGGCATTGCTTCGGATGGTCTTGCTTTTCCTTACCCAGAATGCATCACTCAAACATGCAAGATATAACGTGCTAATCGGTGGACGTTGGGGTGCTGGTAACTGGATTAGTATACCTTTGTACAGAGCGAGGCTAGCAGTTTCCCTCTGTTTACAGTTTTTATGCTAAGCTAAGCTAACCGGCTGCTGGTTGTAAGGTTGTGTGTTGTCACAATTTTATGATCCCCACAATAACTATTACTTAATGCGACAACTTTATGTCTTTGTTCAGGAACATGAGGTTTCCACATCAGTGAATTTGGGGGTTTTAAATAAACTGAAGCAACTGTGAGTTTTAACATCAACTTTTTGTGTCTGATGAAAGGAAAACGCTGCATATGAGGAAGAGTGAAGCAATTCTGAGAAGTAGGTAATCACATGACACGCGGGGCATTTTATTTCAGCCTGTGGTGATTCACTCAGCGCGTGTGGGGCTGTACATCCTTTTTAGGAAAAGACAAATGTGATGGAGGAGGCCCTTAAACTACGCCTGAGACCACAAGGAAGAATGACTTCAACCTTCGACACGGAATGAAACCCTGACGGTGACACGTGAGGACAAATTAAGAAGTGATGGTATGTTGCAATATACCGAGAGATCTGTTCCGCTGATGAAAATGTGAGCAAAATATGCCGATGTGAGGAAACCCTCAGAAATGGGATTTATTTGAACTTAATCAACGGGATAAGACTCAAACAGCACGACGCTCTCAGTGGAAAATGACAGCAGCACAAATCGTTTCTCCTTCACTTCACTGTGAAGTGAACCGCGACCCGAAACCGTCGGATCTGTGAGCCAATGAGAAGAGAGCAGTCCGCATACATGAGACGTGTCACTTCCTCTTCTGCCACCAAAGTATAAACAGCAAACAGGGGGCGGCCTGTACTGTTTTCACACTCTTTTAGAATGTTACAGGGGGATCTAAAATAGGACTGATGTAAAAATGTCATCATGAAGGTCTGCTTGCTCTTCTGAAACAACAACCTGTAGCTTTAGTTCGTATTCTCCATTCGAAATTATTCTGAATTTAAGAAGCAGAGAGGAAAACAGATCACTGGTTGCTGCTCAGAACACAGTGAATATCTACATTTGAGTCATGCAGTGACACATTGGTACCTTTATCCCCATTTATTTTTATATTTTATGGCTTTGTTTTTTCTAAAGTTGATTTATTAAGACGCTGCTGGATCATTCTTACTGTTGGTTGGTTTATGTTGGCTTAAAAGTTGGTTGGTTGATTGAATGTTACATTAAACTAAATTCACTGCAATTTAAGATTATTTTGACTATTCCTTTTTTATAATGTATATGAAATGTCATATGTCCTTGTTATTACTAATAACTTACTATTTTCCCAAAATCCAGATGTTCAGTTCATTGCCAAATAGGACGCAAACTGGGAATAAAAAAAAAAGTTTAACTGAAATAAATTCAACAGTTGGAGCTAACTTTCAGCACGTGTGCTAAACAAAATCTAACACCTTTTTGCAGCATGTCGTCGGCTGGCTTGCAATACAGCAAAGTGTGAATGACTGCATCAAAGTACAGATGATCACAAGTCGATTGTTTGGTTTCAGATGAAACCGACATTTCCAGATAAAATATATGGGACTTAAAACTTATTACACAAAATGTTTTTTCACGCATCACTGAAAGATCGAATCAACTTCCTTCAAAATGTCCCCAAAATCAGTCTAATCAGATCATTATCGTTATTCTCTTCCGTGCATGAGGACAAGAGTCTATTTTTTATTAATTTAACATAAACATGGATGTTAAAATGCGCTTTCCCTCTTGCATCCTGATCGGCTTCAGTTTGAGATTGATTGAAAGTGTCTCTGTTGTCAGTAAAACAACAATAGCGGTTACTTGCAAACTTTGTTACATAATATATTTATTCTTTCTGTTTGGGGACGACGTTCATTCCTTCATGTTAAATGTTCATATTTGCACACGTGGCTTCCTGAACGTTACTTCGGCTCTGCTCTTACTTTCATCAGGACATTTAAATGCTCGGTTTAGGCTTTAAAAGTAAGAGACGACATTGAGGCTCTTTTTTAATTATGTTTAAGGAACAAATGTTCCTTCTCTGCAGTGTAAATGTAGAGCGATGTAGCACCTTTCTCGTCTGTCCGCCGTGGAGATGCAGAAATGAAACTCGGCAGCTGAAATCAACCAGTAAACACCTTTAAACATCCACTTCTCATCGGCTCTGTTTGTGCCGATTTTAGTCAGATGACTCAGATTGACATTTAAAAAGGTGCAAAACTGGAGAAGCTCGGCTCGTTTACTTTACATTCGCGTCCATGGCAACAAGCTTCCCTTCTTTGCAGCCATTTGTTTTATTCAATTATCTACTATCGTTCTATTGTTTTAATTGAATACTTTTGCATAGTAGCACCGTAGAATTCATGAATTCTTAGGATGGTTACGCTCTTAACTGTACCAGCGTTGTTGTACTTTTTCGTTATCCTCCATCACACCGGTTGTCTTATTCTCGATTACCGTTCTTTAATGGTTGTATTCATGCATTTTATGGAGATTTTCTAGTGTGGACCCTGGGAATGAATGATGTAATGTAATGTAGAGCGAGGCAGTGTCCCTGAGAGGTTTAGTGGTTTGTGAATCCGCCTGGTCCTGAAACAACTAATCCATTAAATCCGATTCGTCAAATGAATTAACAGTTTTGATAATTGTTTCATTAATTAAGGGGAAACGGTTGTTGGGTTACAGGAGGATTTGTTGCTTTTCTCTGTTGTTTTTTCTACTGAGGATATTTCGGTTTAAGACAAAACTCTAAAAGTCGCTGAATGACATTGAAACAGGATTGTCTCGGAGCAGCGCGGCTTCTCTCCGCGGCAGTACGTGTACACGTCCTGAACCTCTCCAGCGGGCCTCAGTCCGGCTCGAGTTTGATTAACTTCATTCACAGGCGTCGAGGTACAAAGGACCAACGCAACGCAGTCCTGAGCTCGTGTTGGAGTCTCTGGAAGGATTTTGTAGCAGTTGAAATGAAGCTAACCGCAAACTTCCCGTTCAGCCCGCTGCAGTGGTTTAACTTCTTCTTCTCCCCTGGAGGCCTCACCGCCTCCAACTGCTCTTATCTTCTTTTTTTTTCGTTGTGCAAGCGTGACATGATTTCAAACGAGCACAAAGATGTCTAACGTATGTTTGACACCTTTTTAGTGTTTAGCACAAAGCGGTCATGATTTGGTATTATAGAAATGTAGATTTAATGCAGATGATATAAAGATTGCAAACGCACTCGGTCTTCCTCTCTCGTTCTTTTCTGCCGTCCCTCATTCGTAAAAACAAAAACAGCCTCTCAGTTGTGTCTCGCCGATGCCTTCGGGAAACAGCTGTGGGTACCACAGGCCCTCTGGCCTCACGCTTAGTTACCTGAGAGGTGCGTCGAAGAGGCTGGTTGTCTCAGGGCGGGGAGGACTGTCAGTCTCGCTCTGTCTCTCTTCCTCCTCGGGTCCGTCTGGCTGCTGAGCGGCTCGCTGCTTGACAGGCGTCGCACTGAGTCGCCACTGAGGGCAGTTCCACGACGCTTCTATTGAAATCTGCAAGGAAGGAAGTGACACGCAACCCATCAGAAACAGGAATGAAAGAGGTTATGTCTTTATATGGCAATGCACGCTGTCTGCTATCGGAGGTGACCACCGAGTGGAGGATGGAGACGTGTTTTACCGTTTCAGATTAGTCATCTGGGGTACGTTTAGATGTGACAAGATCTAAAAGACTCTCGGATCACATGAGGTGGGGATAGAGATTAGATCCATAATTCTGATCAACTCACTGTGGCAATTATTTATTTACTATCTAAGTACAAAACGGTTTGCCGGTGAGGGAGTTACTCCTTCTTGTGGCCTTGTGAGCAAGTAGTTTTACATGCCAATGGAAAGGTGGACTGAAAAGACATGTAGAGGACTGTAGATAGAGGACAAGTTGGACACGTAGGTGTGAAAGGTCATCAGAGACGAGGAGGTGAATAGGGGTGTCAGACAGGTTGTATTGAGGGAATGCTGGTAAAAAAGACAAGAAAGGAAGTCAGTTAAGGGAAAGAATGAGTGAGGCAGGAGGGTGAGGCTGGATGGATAAGAGACGCGAACGGGTGATTTCACACAACCTTTGCCAATATATTTGTGTATATTAGTGTATACAGTATGTATTAGTTCCTTTATGGGATATTTAATTATAATGTTACAAGACATCCTTTATTCTCATCCAACAAGCTTCCATTTAAATTAAGAGAGACGGTTTTAGAGTTGACGGTTGCTATGACGGTTGCTAAGGAGTCCGTTGAACCGGAACCCACAAGGTAAAGGTCTCCGCATTGAGACATTGTTAATTGTTATACCGTCAATTAATTCTAATAATTTGACATTAATTAATAAAATATCAATTTGCATTAGCTAAACAGTAGTTTCAACTACCGTTGCCAAGTTGCTGAGTCAGGTTTGCAAGTAAGCGTAACAGCGTTGGTTACTAACAGGCTGCAGTTTATGCTTTCTATATCATTATGTGGAGTATTCTGTGTTGTGGTATTATGAAACATAGATCTACTTTAAGTAACGTATAACTTTGGGGCTTGGTTTCGGTCAGCATTAGCACCAAAATCAGCATCAGCTTCAGAGGTTGAGTAAATACACTCAATAGAGTTTAAATAGGTGGTTAAAAACACGGAGAATGCAGTTGAATAAAGCAAGACATCCTTTATTCTCATCCAACAAGCGTTGGATGGTGTATTGTAGTGTATTTATATATACTACAATACACATTTTACTAATATGTACATAAATAAATACATCAGCTTGAAACACATTGGGAGAAACATTTTTATTCAGCTGTAGGTACCATCGTGTATCTATAAAATAGAAAAACGTCAAGTGTCGATGACGTAGTGGTAAACAAACGCTGAGCCAATCGCAGAGAGGCAGCGCGGTCAGCTGACGGAAGCTTCCGGGTTTTCAACGTCAAGTGTTTTGTTGTCAAAATGGCTGGACACGAACGCCATCTCTTCTCTCCGTGTATCTGCGATTCAATGAGGTGAACCTCCGCTCACGCAATATCTCTCTTCGTTTCTCTTGTTTTTAAATACTAAGAATCCCACAGAGAAAAAAAACGTAACTAGCTAACGCTAAGGCGGCTAATCGCAAAGCAATACGTTAGCTTACGTCTTTCGGCAAAATTCGGTTGTTTACGGTGGTGTCACGTCTACTCACAGCCCGTTAACAGTCCTCCTCCTCCTCCTCCTCAGGCTGCTGCGGTCCCTGTTTGTGCCATGCGTCTGCCTCAGCCTGGTCCTGACCCTCGTCCTGCTGCTGCTCCTGCTGGGGATCCGAATGTGGATGCAGGGCCGCCGCAGAGCCCGCCGGGCCCGGAACGGCAGGCCCGCGGTGGCTTTCTTCCACCCGTACTGCAACGCCGGGGGAGGCGGGGAGCGGGTCCTCTGGAGCTCCCTGAGGGCCCTCATGAACCGGTACACGTTATGTCGTTATGGCCACCGGTGATGAACAATAAAGATACTATTTTCTTGGTCAGATACACATTGTGGTTGTCATCATAAACACAATGAAAGATCAGGTCTTGAGTCTTGATACCGGTGGAAAATATTCTTTTTACACCACAAATTAAATATTTTAATGCTTTAACTAAAAAATAAATCACTGGAACTCGTCCCTCGTCTCCCCAGATACCCTAGCGTCTCCTTTGCGGTCTACACCGGAGACCAGGGGGTGACCGGCGAGCAGATTCTGCAGAGGGCCCGACAGCGCTTCAACATCACGCTGCCTCGACCGATCACCTTCATCTTCCTGCGCCACCGCTCACTGGTGGAGGCCGCCTATTACCCGCACTTCACCCTGCTGGGTCAGAGCGCCGGCTCCATGTTCCTCGGTAAGGCCGCCCCCGAACGCACGCGCGGCTTGTAGCGACTTTGTTTTGATTGACTTACATTGACGCTGTGTGAGTGTTTCAGGCTGCGAGGCGCTGATGACCTTTGTCCCCGATCTGTACGTGGACTCGATGGGCTACGCCTTCACACTGCCCATCTTCCGTTACCTGGGAGGCTGCAAGGTGGCGAGCTACGTTCACTACCCCACCGTCAGCACCGACATGCTGTCGCTGGTCAGAGAGAGGATCCCCAGGTTCAACAACGCTGACTTCATCTCCAGAAACACCCTGCTGAGCGCAGTCAAGGTGGTTTACTACGGCTGCTTCGGCCTGCTGTACGGCCTGGCCGGCTCCTGCAGCGACGTCATCATGGTGAACTCCACCTGGACGCTGCGACACATTCTGTCTCTGTGGCGCTCCCCCAGCCGCACCAGCATCGTCTACCCTCCCTGCGATGTCAAGGCCTTCCTGGACGTCCCGCTGGAGAAGAAGAAGGAGGAGGAAGTGGAGGAGGGCTGGGAGGAGCTCGGACGGGAGCTGACTGGTGAAGAGGAAGGAGCCGGGGACAGGAAGTGCCACGCCATCGTGTCGGTGGGTCAGTTCCGCCCAGAGAAGAACCACCGGCTGCAGATCCGGGCCTTCAGCAAGCTGCTGGACAGGAAGAAGGAGGAGACCGGGGGGCGGGAGTCTCTGCGGCTGGTGCTGATCGGCGGATGCAGGAACCAGGAGGACGAGAAGCGGGTGCTGATGCTGCGGAGGCTCTGCCAGGAGCTGGATGTGGCCGACCGTGTCGACTTCAAACTCAACGTGCCCTTTGAGGAGTTGAAGAGAGAGCTGGAGGAGGCCACCATTGGTCTGCACACCATGTGGAACGAACACTTTGGTATAGGTGAGCACTTAAAAAAACCCAGCAGAATTTGACCCACCTAGACTACCAAGATACTTTATTACTCAGTTGCTTTAGTGCAGAGGATTTGTGGCGGTGAATCTCTCTCTTTCTCTTTCTCCTTCCTTCCTCCCCTCCCCTCCTCCCCCCTCTCTCCCCCCCCCCCAGGTGTGGTGGAGTGCATGGCTGCAGGCACCATTGTCCTGGCTCATAAGTCTGGCGGTCCAAAGATGGACATCGTGATTCCGTTCGAAGGCGGACCGACGGGCTTCCTGGCCAACAGCGAGGACAGCTACGCCGCCGCCATGGAAACCATCCTGGCGCTGTCTCCGGCGGCCAGACTGAAGATCCGACAAAACGCCCGGCGCTCCGTGGAGCGATTCTCCGACCAAGTGTTTGACGCTTGTTTCCTTGCTGCCATGGAGACCCTGATGCTCGGACTGGAGCGCTGTTTCTAAGGGGTGACATCGTGTGTCGTTCCTCATTGTTGAGTTCCTGGTGGAACGTCCAGAGACAAACCCCCCCCAAAAAAAAACGCCCAACGGCCGCTCACTAAAACATGGAGAAGCAACAAAGATGAAGCTTTGCTGTGTCAGCAGACCTCTGTAATGTTTGCAGTTACATTATTCACATTATTCCAAGGGGGCAGTTACATTCGCTTGTGGAAATTGATTTCGAGAGTGATTTATTTTTCCTTAGCCATCGTAATTGATGTGATATCACTGTGGTATTTTGTCCAGGCTGAAGGCAGAAGGAAACTGTCAGTCTGCGTACAATAAGAAATAGTCTGTTTGACATCTGTTTTTAAATTGCCTTATTCACACATTTTATCTGGTTAGCTGATGATTACGCTAAGCTTGCAGCTTCTCCCATTCTCCAGCCTTTGAGATGAGCCAAGACAAACACAGGCTGGATGCACAGATCTTAAAGCTACATGAATCTTCTCAGCTGGGTGGCGTTTATTTAAAACGAGAGTAGTTACATTGCAAACTGCTTTTTAGTGAAGGTCATTTGTGTTTGCTAGCGTGAAAATGAGTTGTATCAAGTTAGTACTGGTGTCACGTTAATGATCATTCATCTGTTTTCCAGTTACTGATGGCTTGTTAAATAGATGTAAAGGGGTTCGCAATGAGGGGTTTTTGTGACTAAGTTAACGAAACAAAGACTTTTCCGTTTCTGTGCACATCGACAAAGCACTTAAAAGGGTTTTTGGTTCATGACGATGACCAAGTCTCTCTCCTTGACATTTTGATTCACTTCCTACATTCCTGCTTGTAATGAGTTCAAAAAAATATAAGGTGTGAAATATTAAAATCTTTATTTAAAGAGGCATTATTGAATATTTAAGTGGAATTTCATCTTCTGTACATGGAAATACTTAATCAATACTGAAATAAAAGCAAGCACCAAACTCTTTGTAGAAACTGCTTGTTTGTGCTGCCGACTTGTGGCAGGAGACAGTTAAAGCACATCAGAGGTACAAACATCAGAAATCATGAGTTACATTACATTTTTTATTCTGCACCACGCTGAAGAAAAATGATAAATCCAGGAAAGACCAAGAAAAACAAATCGCGCACAATTTCTTCATTTGATGACTGAGCCTTTCTATTTTTTTCTAAAAAAAGAAAATTGTTTGTGTATTTGTACTTTCATCTTGAGTAGGAACCAATTGATGGACTAACACATTGCTACTTTTGGTCTTTTCGTTGAAAATAAGAGATCTAGAACAACAGCAAACGTATTATAAAATGCAGACGTTCAGATGTGTTCGTCCCGCTGAACTTCTCCTTCCTTTTGTTATTCTACGTAAAACAGACCAAATAGTGTGACAGGCGTAAACTTCACATTTGTATGGAGCGTTAATACATGATACATCATTTGAGCTTTGGCAAGCTTTTAATTACCAACCTCATCTCATGTTCTTCAACGTTAAATTGCTTAAATTAATAATTATTTCAACCAGCTGCCAGTCAGTTAACAGCAGTAGATGGAAATGCTAATTCACTTTACTGGAAATTTGGTAAGAATGTAAACTAAATTTGGATGCCTTGACCTTTTACCATCCAAGTGGGGTTGTTCAGAAGAGCTTTTGACACTTTTGGACCCAGTTGGAAGGTTCAACTAGTTTGTTTCATGCAAACTGAGGTCTTAGGATCTGAATTAAGACGGGAAAGGCTGGTTAAATGTGCCCTCCAGAGAACAAATGCATCTCCTCCCTCATAAGATATTTGCAGTTTAACGTGTTTTAGTAACTGCTGTCTTGTTTTGACTGATAACTCGTAGGCTGCTGCTCGTTTAACGCTGCGTATTCGCCTGAGCGCTCAGACTCACCGCCACGTTCTTCGGCTGCAGGCCCGACAACGTCCGCACCAGCAGCTTTAACGTCCTGCTGGTTCCTTTGAGGTTCTGCAGCGCTCCCTTCTTCTACAACAGCCTCGTTCTTCCCATCATCCACCGCTGCCCTGTTCCCCGTCTGCTTCGCCTCCACCCAGCTTCCCTCCTCCATCACGAACAGGTTCTTCATGGAGTCTGCCACCGCTTCCCTCAGCTCGTCCTCCGACTCCTCAAAGTTGCTGAGGAGCAAAAGTAAAAAGTCAGAGGCTTTAGATCGATGACTAAAACACGTGAAGTAAGACGAGGTTCGATCTGCTCTCCGGTTAGAGTTACAGATACAAACACTGCAGATTGTCTGCCATCATGTGGCCAGTGAACAGAAAGCGCTGTTACTTACGTGTCGTCATCGTCTGACCTCGGCTCCAGACGATCTTCATCCATCTCCACATCGGAGTCGTCCTCCTCTTCCTCCTCCTCCTTCCGCTCCTCTTCTGCTCTGTCCTCCTCCGGCTCTAAATGAGAGTGAACACAGTTCCGTAAATCAGATTTTTCATGTGGTTGTAATACAGACTCAGGTTTTCTGGCCATGTTGTAAGATAAATCGTTTAACTGATTTTTCACTAATGTGACTGTGCTGCTGGGTTCTCTACAGTGACATGCAGTCCCTGACCTGCATCCACTGAGTCCAGAGTTGACGATGTGAGTTCAGCCTGAGCGAGAGCACTCAGCAGGGTGTCGGGGGGGTCGTCGGCCCACAGTCTGCGACCGGCCGCCTCCTCATCTGAGGATCAAAATGTCAAACTATTAAAACTGCATTACAACCAAGAGAAGACTCATAATTACTACATAACAACTAAAAGTTAGGTGTACGGCACCTTGTTCAGCCTCGGCAGTGGTTCTGTGGGCAGAGTTCACCTCCATGTTGGCAAGTGCCTCCATCAAAGTCTGTGGAGTCCTCTGACTCCACCCCCTCCTCTCCGCTGACCAATCTCTGAGCTTTAGCTCCTCCCCCTCCTGGAAGCTCAGAGTCTGGTTCAGAGGGTCCACTTCCTGACCGGTAATCAGGGACAGAATGAGGAAGAGTCAAAGTGATGAAGAGGAACGAGAGAGATGCCACTTACCTCCGCCTTTGTTTGACTTCCATCGCCCTCTTTCTCCGCTTTGTCCTTGCTTCCCTCCTCTTTCTCCTTCTCAGCGTCCTCGTTCGTACTTTCCTCATCCAACCGGATCTCAAACATGATTCCTTTCTGCAGTAAAGTTATAAAATAAACAAGCAAACCACAATGAAACTTCTTGGCTGCTTCGTTCTGTTTTCACAAGCAATAACACACACAATAGTTCACCTATAAATTACCTGATTCAAGGTCTTTTGGGCCTTTTGTGCATTTTAATTACAGAATACACACATCACATGAGGAATGTTGATAAAATTGCAGGGATGAAAAGGATATCAGCGGCACACTCAGTCCAACTGACACCAGCTCAAAAAGATGTCACGTAGTGCTGTTAAATCTAAAGGGATCATCCTCTGAGAGCAGCAATGTCCACATCTGCACCTCACGTCATTTTGGCATCTGTCGAGTCATTGCTGCTGCTAAACAAAGATTTTGAAACAACAACTTTGGTGATTCTAGAAGGATATTTGATGTTAAATACTAAACGATTTTGGATTTGGGTAGTTGCTTGTGATTAGAAGCTTTAAATTCAGAGACAGGTTAAACTCTCGCTTTAAGACTTGAGTGTCTGGAATGAATATTGAGTCACCTTGTCTCCGTGCTTTCTCTCCAGCTCTCTCTTCTGATCTCTGTTGTCCTCTCTGATCTCTCTGAGAGCTTCTTCCACGTCGTGCAGGAGAACACCAGGCTATGGGACGAACATAACTTGTGTAGTTTATTCTGGAATAAATTGTTCTTATTTTTACCACTGAAGAAGCAGGACAATAAACTCAAATCTGTGTTTTTTTTCTTTGCTGTTATTTATTGAGTTTGAATGCTGCTTACCAACATGTTCACTAACTGGAGAATAAAAACTGCAAAGGCTCATGGGTAATTTACCTGTGCAGGGGGAGCTCTCTGCTTCTGTTTCTCCACCACAAAGGTTCCATGCTGACACACAAGACAATGAAAATATACTAATGTTTTAGTTTAGCTCATTAGTAATGTTGGAACAAATGACACAGTTACTGACGGGAGGCGTTGATGTTGTCACGTTATTGACTGAATTACAAATTTCAGGTTTTTGTGTACCTCCACTTCAGCTCTCAGCCTCATGTGTCTCATCTCCTGGTGATACTCCTGTCTGATCAGATGCAGCTGTCGCAGGTACTCCTTCAAAAACGCACACACAAACACACAAAGGGACGTAAACTCGGGATGTGGTTCAAAACGCCGCAGAAGAAGTTGAATATTTTCATAATACTCTATTATGTGGGCTTCATTCAGTCTTCACTAAACTATCTAAACTAAAACAAGTCACAACTCCAGAGCCGTAGAGTCGTCCCTCGACTGACAACTGTGCGTCCCACCTGCTGTCCCTGCTGCTGTCCCTCCTGCTGTCCCTCCTGCCTCTTCTCCCGAGGTGCAGGTAGATATTCAGGTTGCACTTCCTGCTCCTGACCGCCGGGCTTCCTGTTTTTGCTCTCAGCTGTACACGGACGCAGACCCTGACGCTCAGAGAGTAGAAGTCAGTTAGAGCCGTTTTTCGTTTTAAATTCTCAACATAGGGACATTAAAAGGTCTCTTTTCCATACTAACGCCGGCATGTGTGAGTGACAGAAGAGACAGCTTTGTCCTACCAGCTGTTTCTCTGCTCTCAGCTTGTACTGGTTGGCCTCGTGTCTCCTCTGCAGGTATTCGTTACGAGCTGCAGCCACACTGACGGACGGGAGAACGGTTTGGACACAGACATCCACGAGAATAAAATGAGTCTGATGTGGAATGTTTCATAATGAGACACACACATCGCAAATGAATTATGTCATAAACACAAAATCTGCTCCTTAAAACAAGCTTAAATTAGGTTACAACATGTTGGGAATGAATGTGCGGTAAATAAGTATCTACATATTTAGCTTAGCATAGCGTAAAGAAAAAGGAAACAAATGCTCCGTAGCCTGGCTCTGGATCTATTTGTGTGATATTCTGTTGTAAATTGATTGACAGAACAGATGTCCTTTTTGGTATTTGAGGTCATTTTTTCATGAAGTATCTGATTCAAACTTCTCAGATGTGAAGACTCCCTGCTGTTTTTTCTCTTCATTGAATATATTTGAGTCTCAGACTGTTGATCTAACAAACCAAGCAGTCTGAACACATCTGCTCAGAGGAAAATCCTCTGGGAAAATAATCCACAGACTAATCGATGATGAATATAGTAGTTAGCTGCAGCTCTGGGTGCATGAACACTCACAGCTGGTAGGGTTCCACAGTGTGTTCTTCACATCGTTCCTTCTCTCTCTCCTGAGGCGGTGGAGGAGGAGGAGGAGGAGGAGGAAGAAGGGCGTCTTCCTGGTTCCTCCTCTTGAAGGCGTCCAGCTGGGCGTAGTGGTGCTGGTAATGGCCGACCGGCTGCAGCCCATTAAACCTGCATCAGTAATAGTTTCAGGTCAGAGCTCATTCAGGAGTCACAACACGACTGACGGCTGAGGAAGATTTCCGTTCATGGAAGAAATAGCTTCATTTTCACATGCAGTCGCCAAAGTTCACCTTTGGTCGGGCTGCCCTGCATCTGCCTGGTCTGCAGCTCCTTGATGAAAAGGCTGCAATCACAATTAAATGAAGTATTAGGCAAAAATAGAAAGAAGAAGAAAATATAGAAGAGTCCATTTATAAGCGAAAGTTGAATGAACATTTCTAACTCTAGTTCCCCACAGTGATCATTAGAACAAAGAGGTTTTAGAGGGATCATTTACAGGCGGTGGTTTGCTGCTCTGATATCTGAGACATATAAATACTTTCACATAGTTAGTCGAGCTCACTTTGTAGTGAGAAGGAGAGTCGACTCTGAGAGGGACGTTCCAGTCGGGCTTAGTGAGCTGCTTCTTCACTCCGGGCCGCTCTGCTGCTCTGGACTTCTGGTTCTTCTCTGTTTTATGACAGTAAAACATCTTAAGTTAGGACCCCAAACCCTTACTTACGTACAAATTCAAGTTACATGTATTTTTTGTGTGTATGCATGTATGTTAAACAACACCACACGACCGCTGTACTCATATTTCACATGTGCACCCATAGGTGGCATGAACTACTCTTCCTGCTCTTGTTTGAAGTGTTGAAAAATGCTGAATGACACTATTAAGTTGACAAAAACACATGCAGAATGTGTGATGAAATAGTATGAGCTGCCAGTTCAGAGAGGCAAGTACAAACAGGCACTCCCTCAAGGATTGAAGAATTTAATATCTGATGTTACTAAAACACAAAGCCCGCCAAGGTGGGACGCGATCACAATCGGTCTAATCAGGAGGCTGCCCAGCAGGGATGAGGAGGAGGAGAGAATTGTGTTTTCTTTTAATTTATCAGACGTGTTGAAGGAAGGCGGTTCCAGCCGAGCCAACAGAAACAAAACCGGATCGCACTGAACTTGTGCCGGTGTTGGACCACTCGGTGGCGCCGGAATCCAGATCTTATGAGAACTGAAGCAACTTCACGAGAGACGTGCTCGGTTTCTGTCACTTCTGTTGTGATGTTGCTTCTTGTGATCTGCGACCTTACCTGCTGCTCCTGCTCTTGTTTTAATAGCCTGAGACGCTGCTGCTCTGTTTTGATGCAACACCGTGTGGCTGAACTCCTCCTGCAGCACCTGCACGCACAAGAAACCGCACACACACACACACACACCTCGGTGTTATTTTTACTTCGATACTTCTGAGGACCCTCCTTCATGGAAATAAACAATGGCCACCTACACATATTAATTCGTTACCTGTGGATCCAGGTGTTTGCTGATGTGCTTCTTCAGGAAGGGACGCTTGAGGACGGAGGTGACCGAGGGACGGTCCCGGGGGTTCACCTGATAAACGATATGAGTGTGTTCATATGTGTGAAGATGAACACTGAAGAGCGGCACTTTTCTAATTATCCATTAAATTCATTGGTATTTTTTCATCCAATAACAAAACATACATTTGCAACAGTATCACTTACACTTTCCCTATAAAACACACAATCATGAATAACAAACCACTTAATAATGACTATCACAACAAGTAAACATGTAGCAAACTCAAATATTCGACACATTCTATATTAAGAGCTTTCTTTACATTATAAGTTTACTATACTATGTGTGTTTACAGTGTCTGCATACAATTGAAGCTTCCTTTTGTGCAACCCAGGAGGATTTTCTGAACTGCTGCTCGTGCAGTTTCCTCATTCTGATAAACACACTCCAAACAAACTTTTTTTACAGGCTGAACTCGGAGAACTTAGCAGGTGGTTAAAGGAGAGCATGTCCTTTAAAATGAAATGGGTATTCTCAGACGACGCTTCAGGTAAACTAGCTCTCCAAAATATCACACTCCCACGCTGTGAACTCTATATCAGGACTCTAGGGAGTTTGAATTTCTGCCACAGTCCTCACAGTTTAAGTCGGAGTCATCAGGGAGAAAGCCGGAGTCGGCAGTGTGTGAAATCACTGACACAGGTGTTCGCCTCACAATTTAATTGAGTTACAAGTTGCGTCATCAATGTTAAAGTCCAGGTTTAGCTACAGCTGCTGATCCGCCGCTCATGCTAACCTAAGGATTGATGTGACTCATATCCACACACTGCAAAGGTGAAGCACATATTACGAGTGTCGTGACCTTGAAGAGTTGGGTGACCAGCAGGCGGAGGTCATGGGAGTAGTGGCTTGGTGCTGGATTATAGCTCCCTCTGCAAATTCTTCCGACCAGCTGCCGCAGACTGCTGCCCTCGAACTGCAGAATACAAACACGCAGTTGAATTATGGATTTATGATGCGGTCATGAGGCCAGTCCCTCATACGTATACAAAGAGTAGAGCGGTGCAGCGGAGGTGCCCAGCTATGTTGTTGTTTATAGTCAGCGTCTTAAGCACTACACGCCGTTCTGGCCATTTTACACTACTTTCTTGTCCTAATCAATAATCAAGAAAATAATATGTTGATTCAAATATAATATATATCATTGTTTATTGCAGCATTATTTTTGTTTCTGTGTAAGAGCCCAGCTGTTTGTGTGGGTGTGCTGGTTGTGGTGCAACTCACTGGATGCCTCAGGGTGCAGAGTTCATACAGGACGCATCCCAGAGACCAGACGTCCCTGCAGAGAGGACACACACACGCATTAGGAAGGATAGTAAATGCAATCTGATGTCTACTTATCTGTAATCATTTCTGAACTCTTTTCTTTGTTGTATCACCCCCCAGATGTGTTCCTCATGTTTTGAAGCTCGAGAGGATCAGGAATGGTATTTATGAAGTAAACACGAAGCACCATTACTGCTTCTTGTGTAACATTTTTCATGTTGAAACAGGATGTCACAAACGCCAGGAACAAAACCATTATGGGAAAATCCAGAACAGAGAAGTCTCTAATCAGAGCGAAGCAGACTTTCTGCAGTCACTCAGCTTTTCTATTTCTTTTTTGGCGAGAAAGAAAGAATGGGCATGTGTTTGTGTGCACTTTTATCTTTCCTCCTCCTGAGGTCAGGAACTAGGTTCTCTTTGTCCTTCGGGTTTAGAATTAAGTTTAGGTGAAGGTTGAGTTCAGTGGCTAAGGCGTGGATCATGTGAATACGCGTCACACGAGTGTAGCAACCCAGACCAAACCCATGTGAGGGTGGTAAACAGGAAGTCGCTTTGACCTCTGTTTCAAAAACAGATTTCAGAGAAGAACAGTGAGCCATTCTATCTGAACACGCAGAAGAGAGGGTTGAGAACGATAATCATCACGCGTGTGTCTGCTAGCTGCACTTCTTTCCTCTTAGTGAGTGTGTGTGTTTGTACTCCATTAGAAATATACTGTGATTATATATAATATAATCACAGTATATTTTATATATATAATGTGAATTGTGTACAAACCACAGTGTACTATGTAGGCACTTAGGGTGTTAGAATGAAAGAGATGTCAAATAAAACCTGGTTCCATCCAAACCTACGTCTTGTTGTTGTAGGGTCGACTCTCGCAGATCTCCGGAGAGAGGTAGTACGGTGTGCCAACACAGGTCCGGGCCAGCTCCATGGTGCTGCACGGCCACAGGTCCAAACACAGCACAGACACGCCATAAAGTCCCACAGAAATGTAGAATCACTCCTTATATTCATAAGTATGAGGTGACCCCTTCCTTGCATGTATGTTAAAAATCAGGCCTCCAAACAAAAACCTCAACCTGCAGCCCACAGAAACAGCTGACAGGTAAGATACAGACAAGCAAACAGGAATACGCCTGTTGCTCTGCATTTGAACAGAACAGAACAGAATCTGAACCTGATTCCTGCTGGATGGCAACGTTTCCTTCATCAGCGTGAATACAAACTGTCTGTCCACACCAAACTGGGAATGCAATCTGTTTAAGCCAACAGGAAAGAAAGCACGATACGAAGCTCGAAGAACACCACTGTCAAAAATAAATGTGTTTGCTGGAACGTAAAAGAATAGGAAATCTCCCACTGTGCCACTTTTTCCCCTGGATGACAAAGGCACACCCAGTCCTACTCTCTGATTGGCAAGAAGTCGTTGTCAGCTTTGTTGGGCTGGTTAGGTAAGAATATCACGGTGAGCCGATGAGAAGCAGAGTAGAGCGGCTCGTGTCTTCGTTGTACAGGGAAAACAAATAGCGCTCCCGGTGTTGCTGCTTGTAGTGTCGTCTGCGGTCCTGATTCAATGTGACATAAAGAGATACTGGTGCATCGAGGCCAGAGCAACATTTAACGGTTACGGCTGGTCGAGGTCGGGCTAGTTTCAACTGCTTTATACAGTTCTATAGTTCAGGCCAGTGGTTCCCAACCAAGGGGGCGGATACCTCCAAATGTTCAACACACAAATCTGAGGGGCGTGAGTGGATTAGTGGGAAAGCGGGAAACAGAACAAATCTGTTTCCAGTTTCTTGACTTTTCTCTCCGTTTTTGTTTCTTTGTGTGTAATATTCTCAGAACCTCTTTTGTGGAACTGACAACAACTCAGTAACATCTGAAACATAGCAAGGGGACCAAACATGTCCTGGTTGACAGTTTGTGGAATGATAATGACTTGTTTGAAGGTCTTCCATGTGTTACTGAGCGCTCAGGGATAAACAGCTGCACTGTGTGTGTGTGTGTGTGTGTGTGTGTGTGTGTGTGTGTGTGTGTGTGTGTGTGTGTGTGTGTGTGCGCGCTTGGCTGCGTGCTGGTGAGGATGACACTGACTTACTTATTCAACATTCTTGCAATTCCAAAGTCCCCGAGCTTTGCTTTCATCCCCCGGTTGGTTAGGAAGATATTCTGTAGCAAAGGGAGAGCAGGAATGAAAGCATGTCCGTGTTCCAGTAGAGGAACAGTGACTGTGCATGTATCGTGTGTGGGTGTGTGTGGGTGTGTGTGTGAGAAAACAGATACAATTGATGAAAGATAGTGATGGTTGTGAACAGAGTCTGTGGTCAGTTATTTTTGGAGTTGGCAAACAGCGAGTTCTTTGTTCAGGACAAAGCTGAGTTCAGCTTCACAATCCTCCGAACTGTGTGATGATACTACTCGTTGATTAAAAGAGTATTAGTCCACCCCAAATTAGTGAAGTTAGTATCAAACCCCGTAGGCCTGGAAGGTCAAACATCAGCTGAGATCAGTAAGGATTCGTGTCTGTTATTATCATTTTAAAACTTTATTTATACAGCAGACAAAAACGCGTGAAAGAGAAAACAATGAATCTGTGAGCATTATTTTTATTCCTATGTGTTTCAAGTTAGATTAACCAACTTTCAGAAACGCACAAATTGTGTCAATTAGATAAAAGTCTCAGTCAGATCAGCTGAGCTGGGTCTATTTCAACCAGACCTTCACTTGAAAGTGTGCGAGTAGTGAAGTTTCTACCCGTCAACCTTCTGCTCACTGTGAACGTGCTGCTTTTGAACGTAAATGGTCGCGTGCAGTCAGATACCTGCGCTTTGATGTCTCTGTGAAGGATCTTCCTGTCGTGGATGTGTTTGAGGCCGAGGCAGATCTGAACAAACCAGTCCACGACCTAAAGACCATGCGGCTCAGTGTTAACACCAATTAGCATATTTTTAAGAGCAAATGAGTTCCAACAGAAACATGGAGATTCCCCTCAGCCCTCCAGAGGCCAGAGGTCACCTGCTGCTCAGAGAAGAAGACTCCCCTCTGCATGTTTATCTTCTTCATCAGGTCTCCTCCGTCACAGTACTCCATCACTATAAATAGGCTGCCTCTCTCTAAACACACACACACAGCAAACAGTGCATCGAGTACATTTTGAGCACAAAGACATGGCTACATTTTCTCTACAGAGTTGCACTCACCTTGAAATGAACTGAGGAAGCCCACGATGTTCGGGTGTTTCATCTTCGACAGCAACGTCACTTCCTTCTTGGACGATTCCTTTTCCCTCGCTGACATCTGAGCAGAGAACGCACTCTTGATCCAAAACTTAAACCCGTTACACATGTGAACTAACACTAACGTCAATCAGCAGGGCTAACAACTGGTTTTAAATAGCAAACCCTCACATTTGTCAGGACTTTGGATTTCTTTAATATTTTGGGATGCCGATATAAACTCCTCAGTTTCTATGAAACAAATATTTACTTGCTTTGAAGGAATCACTGCTCGTTGACATTGTGGTGGCTGGGAGTAAATTGCAATTTCATCAATTTGAAAACATTGGATTCACTATACAGTCTTGTTTTTTCAACCGTAGATTCTAAAACTAGTCTAATTCTTCAGCGTCTGGGATCCGCTGTGGTTTTAAATCCTCAGTGTGCTGCAGGTTGTTGGTAAGAAACCATCTTTTACCTTTCTGAGGTTGATCTGTTTGACAACACGCGGCCTGCCTCCACCTCCCCCTTTGTCTCTGACGAGGAAGGCTTTACCAAACGCACCCTCTCCAATCTGACGGATGACCTCATAGTTATTCATGACAGATAGAAGACCTGCAACAAGAAACACGTCTTCCTTTTCATACATGTCAAATGCTTTGGTTGCTTTCAATTTACTTTCAATTTATTATTATTATTATTATAATATTATATTTATTATTAGCGTCAATCTATATAAATTGATTACTGATTAGTTTAACAGTAGAACATGATCATTTAACAAGATAATTATTTATTTTGTATTCAAAATATAAATTCCAAATACAGCAGCTAGCGTGAAGGTATGGCTAACTTACAGCTGTTAGATAAATGCAGTGTTATAATAAATATTTAATACCGTTAAAGTGTAAAGTTCTATATCCAGTCACTTTCCATCCATGTGATGTATGCGCACCTACAGTTTGTGTTATCTAGTAAATTCTAGACAACTCAATTCAACGACTAAATGCCCCCGTAGTGTTCGCAGTGTCAAGGGCCGGCGGAAAGACACCGTTGCCATGGAGACGGACACAGGCTACTAACTTAGCTTCCGTGCTAACACAAGTTGAGTTTCGGCAATAGAAAAAAAACGTTTTTCACATTTAGGGGCACATAATGACAGATATTCTTACCCTCTACAGAGTTGTGTTGTTCAAGTCACATAGTGAGATAAAAATCGGTAGCAACGAGTTTAAACTACTGAGACGTTCTAGTCTGCAGTCTGAATAGTGTCAAAAAACACACGGCGTAAAATAGAGCAAGTGCTAGGGGGAAACGCAAGGCATGCTGGGAGTTGTAGTCACGGTAGTTCTTTGCGCGTTGATTTTGATCAACTAGTCCCTCGAATTCGGATTCATTTTTCTATTTTTTAGAGTCGGTTTATATGTTTACATCGAATTACATGAACTATAACTTAATTTGAAAGCCCAAAGAGTCATTATTGATCATTTTGATAAATTCTGAAAATAAAGTTTTACTGCTGTCCATATATTGATGTAAAGTATATTTTGAATCAAACTGTCAATCAATTCACAAAATGAAGTGCTCTCTATGGCGGCCTTAAACAGTGATGAGATGCAGTGACCCAAAGGCCTGCATGCTAGAACTCTTTCTGCAGTCTGGTACCCGCTCTTGTGCCCAACAGTTCTTGATTGGACACAATCTGCAGTGATGTCTCTCCGGTCCGCTCTGTAATCAGAACCAGAGGCTCAGCTGCTACTGCAGAGACACAATCCCTTAAATCCCTATTTTGACGGCAGATGTTTGGCGATTTATTCAGTTACAGATCATGTTGCCGTCACATTTTAGCCATCACACCCCCGAGTGATATGCCAGGAATCCATCATGTGTGTGTGTGTGTTTGTGCGTTATTCATGGTGCACTGCGTGTCACTCTATCTAAAAGAGAGGTGGAAATTTTAGCGTCAGCGCATTCCACTGGATATTTTCCTTATCAATACATTAATACATGTTTAGTGTTGATAAGCCAGGCTAACTACATCTTGGAACTATTTCTGCACTGAACACACAGACATGAAACCAATATTCCTCTCACCTTAGTGGAGGACGGAGGCTTAACCAAGTCTGTCTTTAGCACACAGTTCTTACCTTTCCAATTATCAGCTTCATCCACACTCCCGCTGATAAAACACACACAGAATCAAAAAGCCACACACACAAAAAGAGGCATAGCAAAAAGTTGTTTAGAGCTTATTTTATTTATTCATAATGCAACGCACATTTTTCTCTGGTGAATTGAGACAGTGGGTAAATTAATAGTTGCCCTCAGTAGTACATCATTTAATGATATTTTGGGCCAAATTATTTCATTTGATAACTCAAGTTTTTGGAGTTTGTCCAACTGGTCTTGTTTTTCTTCTTCGGGTCTCTTCTTTTGACTTATTTTGCATTCTGATCCACCACTTTCTAATAAACACAAAGTTGTGTTTGAATAAATACTATTGCAATCACATAAGCCAAAAGTAATTTGTAAACTTGTCTTTTTGAAGTGCATCCTTCGTTTACTTAGTGAACAAAGTGAGATTTGTTGTACGTAAGCAATGTTGTGTGCCAGTGTTTTGTTATTTTTATATATATATATATATATATATATATATATACACATATACATACACATACATATATATACATATATGAGCATATTAAAATGCAAAAACAAATGCCGGTTATGCTTCAAGCAAAGTCTGAGCTTCACCCCAATCATTAGGATTCATCTCCTGGAACAAAGAACAACATTATGAAGATCCATTCAATACTAGTAGAGATGTTTTAGAAGAATATTGATTAATGCAACTCAGCTAGAAAACAATTTCAAAATGCTTCATTACAAGTACAAGCGTCAACAACAAATCTGTGCAATGCAATGCTCTTTATTCTTTAAAATGAACATGTTTGGATGATGTGCAAAGGAACCAGGAACTAAACAGCAATCAGATTAATGTACACGTATCACTACGTTTAAATACTACAAGTGCAAATACAGTAAATGTCCAGCACGGATTCGTTTTTTACATTGTCTTGTCCAAATCAAATTTCTGTCAAGATTCATAGTGGACACAATAAAACACTCAACGTAATTCTATATATTTTTTATTAAAGAGCCGACCATGTGTCAGGCTGTCGGGTTGCAGCGGTTATGAACTTCTGCAGACCGGTTTGAACAACCTTCTCTCTGATCCCTGAAGGTGCACACCACCGCTAACCACCTGGCTCATTTCCCATGATCCCCCTGGACGAGGCCCCTCTGATTAGTGCTTTAATCAAGGACAAATTTCCACCGCGATCAAATGACATGCAGGCTGAGCGTCCGCTGTGACAGCTGATCAGGGGTCAGTCCTCCAGGTGACGGAGGCAGACTCACAATCACACGATGACACTGCGGAATCACAGAGTGCAAATACACAAATCCACTACTACAGTGCCGTCACAGTCATCCTTTATAATACTGTAAACTGTGTACTACTCAGTACTTAAGACTTTGCGCCTGATGGGAGCGTTGCATGAAAAGTAAGAGGGGAACATGAATGTCTGAAACTTTCTCAGCAAACACTGGCAGCGTACCGAGGACTCTGATATAAAAAATGAATAAATAAAAAACGCAAAAGCTTCGCGTACGTTTTTCCAATTCGTTTTATTCATTTATTGTGTTGGTCTGCTCATAACTTTAAAGAGATTATATACACAATTTAGTACAAGAGAAGTTATCCATGAGAACTACATTCAAAGAGACAACCCTTGAGAAAAAAAGCTTTTAACACAAGTGTGTGTCTGAACCCCCCCCCGCTGTGAATTATATTCAGTTTCGATTCAATGCAAAGATATAATTAAATCCAGGAAAGAGAAGCACGTACTAACACTCTCATTTTAAGATCAATTTCCAGTTAATAGCTACAAACAGCAGACAAATTACAAAAACAAAAAAACAAAGTCTCCCCGGACTGGTATAAAAGTCACCCTTTCTCCCGAAACTTAATGTGTCCTTGTCTACTGAAATACGTGCTCATGCTAATAATTGCATTTATATTGAATATAATTTATCATTTTATAATTAGCTGAGTTTTTCCATGAAAACATTCCAAGAGGATCCCGTACAGAAAAGTGGAAAAATACACAACTCTTTGCCCTTTTTGTTGTTGTTCTTTTTTTTTTTTTTTTATCACAAAGAATGTTTTTTTTTTACCAAACAGCGTCACATTTCATTCTTCAACCACTCAAACTACCTGAAGTAAAGGACAGAAGAAAAGACAGGTGGGTTTTAAAACAAACAAAAAAAAAAAAAAAGATCTCACTGCACACCAGTGACGACGACTCACTGCTCACAGATCAGAGTTTCCACCACAAACTTGTTCGCGAAGTGACGGATCTTGTGGCAGTTCAGAGCTTCACGCTTCTGCATACCTGCAAGTCACAGAGAGGGATTCAATGCACCGCCGGAGGTCCCCGGTTAGATTCCCTGTGGCGCCACGCATCCATTAACCTAAATTACTTGCTACGCTTACCCAGAATCCTGTCTCTGCGCTGCAGCTTGAAGGTGTCTTTGCCTTGGCAGAGGTTGTTAATGAAGAAGCCGAGCTGGTCGACTTGCTCCAGGCGCTCCGTCACAATCATCTCCTCGTGGAGCAGGTAAGACTGAGGCAGGTAGGTGCCGGCCTGCGCGGGGGTCACACACAATTACATAATCACCACTAACAGACGCATTCCTCGGATTAAGTGTGGAGCTACAGGCAGCAAACTGGTTAGCCTAGCTTAACATAACGACTAGAAACCGGGAGGATGGCTCCGTCCATATTTATTTCTCATTTAACTGAAACTAAATAAACTCCTTTCTAAAAGTGGTGAATAATTCCGTTGAACAGGAGCTTGTGAATTACCTTCACGTTGATGAGCAGCTCCATAAAGTCTCTGGGCGGCATGACGATGGAGGTGTTGAGCGGGATGACATAGCACTTGTTCAGACTCAGATCAAGGTAGGCGGTCAACCTCTGAAACAGGAAGCAAACATTTATAGATAATAAAGACTAGTTTTCACATTGAAGATTAACACAAGAAGAACCAGTTAATTCCACCACTTTTCCAATTCTCAATACAAAAGCAACTTGCTTTTTCACAATAAAAGTCCCCCAGCCTGCTTGTTATTGGTGGGTTTTGTAATGTGAAAAAATAAAGTGTTGACCGTCATTGACAGCCGGCATTATGTCATTACACTGACTTAGAAGAAGTCTTAAGAACTCACCCTCTGGAAGTCGTGGACGATGTCGGCCGGGTCTCCCTCACCGAACTCTGGGACGGGGACGCTGATGAGCTCCACCTGCTCCCTCTCCAGCACCCGGATCCTCTCCTCCATCTGCCGCAGGGGGAACTGGTTCGGCAGCTCCACCTGAAAATCAACGAAACTAGTTCAGCCCGTTGATTAACGGGACCAGTCGCGCGGGCGGTTAATTGGTGAGTATCGCTATAGTTTGCCTTCCGAAGGAGCAGATTACGACTTCAATCACGTGTCACGTTAAAGTAAAAAGAGAGTCACTGACTAACAAAGTAAACACGATGTGAAGGTGGACTTAAACGAGTGAGACCGCTGCCGGCGGAAAATCTATTAGTCAGTAACTCGAGGTCGCGAATCAATAAGTGGCTCAGTTTGTAATAATTACTTCACTTCAGGTCACTCTGAACACAAACATCAACACGTGATGAGCAGCAGGAAGTGTCCTGCAGCACAGCGCCATACCTGCTCTTCGTCCGGGATCATGAAGTCTTCCTCGCGGTAGTCCACGCCGCACACAAACACGCGGTCGTCCTGCGCCGACAAGAGGAGGAGGAAGAAAAAGAAAAGAATATGAGAAAGGAGACAGAAATATACACTTATGTTTGTAGTTGGAGATGCAAGCACGTAAAGCACATTGAGGGTTTTACAAGAACAACAAAAAAGAGGCGAGTCGGGCTTTCTGCTTCTTCACCAAATTAAAAAGGGGTTTTTTCTTAGTTTACGCAAATGTAATCCATAACACATAACTATAAATCCTTTTTAAGACTCAACAGCTGACACCATGTTTGACCTTTACGACTGACATTTGTTTACATACAAAAAGGAAAAAATGTACCCGTATTTTAATCCCATGCAGGTTCACAGCTGTAGTTCCTGTTCATTTTCTGTTTTGACTCATAACACCTGGAATCTGTTCATCATTCACGGTGATGAAAACCTGCCCAAGTAGTTCACGCTCGACCTAAAAACAGCTTTGTGCAATTCTACGTGCTTCAACCCGTCAAACAGTCTGTTCACATTCGTTTCTCTGTTGGTTTGTGGACTTCAACCTAATCGGAAACGTTATCATGTTTTATTTTATGGGGATTTACGTCATACATGATTTTAATGCGAGGCTCCTTGTTGTGAAACTAAAATTTTAAAGCCGCGAGTCCCAACCTGCCATTAGGGTCCTTAGCAGAAACCTCGATAATGGATTATGGTTTAATTTACCTCGTCTTCCCACCCTCCATGGTGCTGGTAGCTCACCTCCGGGTTGTAGTAGTGGTGGTACAGGTAGGCACCTCCGACCACCACTCCGGACAGCATGAGCGCCAGACCCAGGCACATCAACCAGCACCAGGCCCGGGACTGGTGACGCAGCGGCGGCGGCACTGCCTCCACATCCTGCGGGAGAGAAGAAGAGGACGAAGAAGGGCGGTGAGCTCATGACGTTTCAATGCGTTTGCCGTATTCATATATTCAGACATTACACAGTAGCTATAAGAGTGCAACCAATAAAGCCCACCAACCGGACCTGCTTTCTACCCAGTCACCTCCATGAGGCCTTTAATTCATTTGAATAACATTTGTTTAACTTTTATTGACTCCCGTAAAAAGAAGAAACACAAAACGGATCAGTGTGCTGCGTTGAAGTACGTAGGAGAAACCCTGAGATTTTGACCGGGCATCTAAGGATTCTGGGTAAATATGCCACGGTGCAGACTGCAGAAGCAACCGGGGCTCATCGCCATCGGACCGACGTCAGCAGATGAAGAACGAGCCCCCGACTCATCTCCTGCTGCCACCGAGCGACACACACACACACACACACACACACACACACACTTTTAAAGTCATGTTACATGTTGATTTATTATTCCCTAGTATTCTCTTTAAATGTTAATGTTGGCTTATGCAAGCTCATTTCAAAGGACACATTCTGCTATTTCTTTGAAAAAAAAAAAAAAAAACACCTTTTAAATGTCTGTTTTTGTTGGACTCCAAAACCAAAAAATTATGAATGGATTCTGATGTCAAACAGAGACATGCAATAAAACTTCACATTTGAAAAAAACAAACCAAACACTTTTGTACAACGATAAAAATCAATTACTGTCAATAAAAAGGCGGAGTGTTAAATACTGTATAACAACCCATATAATGGACATCAGATCATTATTTTATTAGAAGTACTGACATGAGAAGACAATCCTTCAATGTACTGTTCAAATTAGAAGTATTCATTAGCATCCGCATTTCATGAAACACCAAAACCCACAAAAAACAGCAGTTGTTAAAACGGACGCCACCTTCAGACCGTCACCGGAAAACAAAAGGAGAAACGTTTCTCCTGACGGGCAATGAGCGAAAAAAACGTTAACAAAGAAAGAGGAAGAACGTTAACAACAACAAAAAAATAGGGGAAGCGGAGAATGACTGTTTGAGGACAGGAAGTGCAGGCGAAGCATTTAAAGAGCGACTCGGCGCTTCGTGTTGGACGAAGAGGCTCCGGCGAGCTGACAGAGACACTAAAGGCTGTGACGTCTCTGCTGAGTGAACGTTTGTTGGAGTCACTCTCGCTCCCTTTGACCCAGAGGGAGACAAAGAGGAGAGGGAACCAATTCTAAACAAGGCAGAAGGCAGAGGACGGCGTTTCCCTTCACGGGACGTCCTCTCAGGAAAGAGCCGAGTGCCCAGCGGTCGCGTTTAGAGGCTTTCTGGCTCGAGTTTCCAGCAAACACATTTATTAATAGTTTAAGAGGTAAAACGGTGTTTAGACAGGAGGGAAACCAATGCAGAAAACAGTTCTGCATATTACAAAACAAAATAAAAACACAAACATATGTGTATATGGTTAGTTAAAAAAAATGTAAATATGAGCCACAATTGAAAAGACAGAATAATTCGACTCGGACCAAAGCTGCTGCTGCGCCTTCGCCCGGCCGACATTCCTCCCTGTATCAGTCGTACCGTGTGTCGTAACTCTTCACGCTCAGTAACCTGCTCCCCAGTCTGGACTTTGTCGCTCTGTATTTTGTCATCACGTGGCGGCTCAGTTCAGCGATATTACAGGTCAAGCTGATGAATTCTAAGAGGCAACCTGCTTCGAACACACAGAAAGTAAAATGCTACGTCAGTTCAGAAATTCAACTGCTTCCCCTGTTTGTGTCCCCGATGCTCTTCCTGTTTCACAGACTCTAAAGCGCCACCGACAAGAACCGACAGGCCTCCAGGCCGCCATTTCATAACTCCAGCACAGACGTGTACACGCACACGCCCTCATTAACGCGATCACGTGTCAACGCAGTGAAGTACGCCAACTTTACACACAGCAGGGACAAAGCGTCCAGTTAGAAACACCCTCACTGAGGAGTGGACGATGAGGCTGCTGCTGAAGGAAACCGCCGTTTCAGAGGAAAAAGAGAATACAATTATTTAGTATAGTATTGGCATTTTATATAATTTCACTATTTGGAATTTGCCTTTTAACCACAGCGTTATAGTTGTAATGACTATATGGTTATTATGCTCGTCTTGCTGGATTAAAACCATTTATTCTACAGTCGTTTTTTTTTTTTAACGGCATTATCACGACTAAAGTCCCTGATCCTTTACATCGTCCAGTCCTCTGTAAACATGTTAAGCGGATAAGTCTGCTGCTCTGAGCATCGTCTCACCTGAGAGCGGCTTTTGTTTCCGTCTCCGTGGAGACGGGTGGGTATCAGTGTGCAGGACGCGGGCTCAGTTTCCCTGAAACTCCATCCTCTGACTCCACAGACGGCCTCGACACGCGCCGAAAAGCTGTGCTGGAATCCCGACCAGAACAACCCTCTGAGGTTTAGAGAGGACGAGAAGCCCCCACGATTATCTTATTCAGATCTCTGCAACAAACTCCTCCTCAAAACCTCTGGTGGTGCCGGCTGCCTGGACGAGGGCACGTTTCGTACCGCCGGCCGGGAACCAAGCGAAGGAACCGCGCACACATCCGGTTATCGAGAGTCCACCAGCACATGGGAACTAAAACAAAGTGGAACTATGAGTTCAAAACCAACTGGAATATTTCAAACATCCAACTAAGGACCAGGAAAGAAATGCAACTTCCTCGTGTTTGGTTATTTACACAAAAGCTCTTCAATCTGATTGCGCTGAAAACGCAGAAGCATAAACTAGGCTTTAACTAGAGCGGTCGGCGCCCCCCGTAGGAGGCCGCTAAGTCTCTCCGACTGAATAGCTCTGACCGATTAAACCATAATCTGTTTCAAGCAGTCTGCGACCCTCCGACCACAATGGAGTTGGTGGGGCAGGACGGGGGTGGGGGCAGTAGCTCAGGAAGAAACTCGGGCTGTAATCCTGTAATGTAGCCGCGGAATCTCTTACCAAATGAGCAGCCGCAGATGGAGAGAGATGGAAATCCTGTTTATGAATGCATCACCTGCTGACTGCAACACAAACACCGAGGTCTGCAAGCAACTAATAACTATTATTGTTATTCATTCACCACTAAACAGGGAATCTCAATTACTTCCTCAATCCAAACGAGAAAGGCCGATCCGACCAGAGGTTTCGTTATTTGACCGTTGTGCAAGAAAAGGAAACGAAAACGATTCCTCGTGATTTAGAAAGCGGACCCTGTGAATGTTTAGCGTTATTGATTGATTAAGCGATGGTGTGCAGTGCACCAGTTACCTGAAGCAAGGAAACACAGCTCAGGTGAAAAGGAAATCTGTGAATAACAACATTTCTCTAATAAATATTTATCTCAGTGTTTTTTTTCCACCAGCTGCAGGAATATAAAGAAGAAAAAAAAAAAAGCATCACGTGCTCTTCACCCGCACAAAAAAAAAAAAAAAAGGGACGTAGTGAAACACGTTATCAGCGAGGTCGGCAGCAGCCAACACGTCTTAATAAAGCTTCCTTCCTGCAGTCGCCGCCCGCCGACTACAACTGCATTCGCCGCCAAGCAAGGCAGCGTCTACGAAACCACACGTACAGTTCCCCTTCACGTCAAGAGCAAACAAAACTACGTTTGCTCAGCTGGGTCCATGGCGGATAATTAATAAACCCAATTTGTGACAACCGTCGGGTTGCGAAGGAGGAAAAACCGGAACAAGCGTCAAGTACAGCGTTCAAACACTAAAAAAGAAATGAAGCGTTTCTGTTTGAAGATCTTAAGATGAAAGCGGGCGACGTGTGGCGGGAAGTCGCTTAACCTGGATTCACACGCCGCCTCGGCTCACGCGTTAATGTGCAGGGAGATAATCTCAGCTGCGTGGAGGTTATTTTCAGCTCATCGCAAACTGAGAACCAGTGGAACACAGTTTCTTCTACAATTAGGTGTTGAAAAAAAGATAAACTTCAATAATGCATCCGTTACAAGTAATAGATTTTCAGATGAGTATTTTTTTTCCTCAATCAGTTATTCTGTCGATTGAGAGGGTTTTAATGCTTCCGGGTGCAGACTGTAAATGGCTGACCAGTCTATCTGGTTTCTAATTGAGCCGAACGCGTAGCGACTTGACGTCCTAACGAGCAGAATCAGCAAAGACACAGCAGGACATGAATTGTTTATTTGCATAAAGTCGAGCCAATAAAGTGCCGATTGGCTCCAACGATGCTCGGATTAATTAAGAGTGGCCACGAACCCACCAGCACCTCCGTCTAAGTTCAGACACGAGCATTTATTTAAGACTTTAAGAACTTGACGACAACCTTTAAGTGATCAAATTGAAAAAATGGCTGAAAAAGTACAATTTTATGGAAATTTGCTTGGAGTACATACTTGTAAGTTTACTCTATTTAAATCAATGCAAACCAGTTGCTAACAAAAACCTGTGTTAGCAACCTTAAATACTAATAGCTCTTAAGACATTGTTCCCAAGCAGGGAATTCATATGCCAACCAAATGCATATAAAAGTAATATATGTATATCGACACACACAGATATATTATTTTAATGTTGCATCCGTCACCTAACAAAATGTTAGACAGGAGTGCCAGAGAATCATTCAAGCAGCATTGCGTCACGGTGCCGCTGCGCTTATTTACTGTAACCAAACCCATTTATCCCACGCATATCGCCCTGCAATACAAGAGTCTTTATCGCGTCAGCAGAGTTCCATCTGATGCTTTTCCGAGACAAGCATGAATATGTATTAACAGTACGTTTTCAAAGCATGGAGATCCTTATCAAGACAAGAGTGAGTCATACCGAAAACGGACCCAGACCACCGCAGAACCCTCAATAACCGAGATATGCAGAACAGCAGCTCCTCGTGAAACACAATGAGAAGTCTGCAGCTGCATGAGATTGTCGTTCCACAACAGGGTGGAGACAAAACGAGGTCACAGGAAAGCTTTCAGCTAGACTTTATGCCCACGGAGAAAGAGACAATCAGCTTCAGTAGTCAGCCGTTTTCAACCTCGACTCAACAGGATTGTTCGTCCAAGTCGTCTGTCCAAGTGTGCACACTTTATCATTAAACAGGAACATTCAACTAAGCAGCTTGACAGCAACGGGTTTTTCTTTTTTCAAAGTAATCAAAACCTAGAATGATTATTAAACCTGCAAATCATTATTGGTATTTCTCCTTGGTTTACTGACCCCCCCCCAAGAAATACAAGCCTGGAGAACAACTTTCGACAACCACCCCCCCCCCCGGGACTTGTAACAGGAAGTGAACTCTTTGCATCGAATAGACTTGTCCGTCTAATTTAAAGACCAAACTCTTCGTTTTCCAGAGCACGTGCACGTTTGTTTGGTGCAGATCAAATGCTGTTACCTGTTGGGGCCGAAATATTGATTTCGCTTGGTGCTCATGTTGGCTAATAATCTGCTTGCGTTTCGTAATAGTGACGCACTTTGGCGCAACAAGACAAAGGGTCGTTTTTATTGTTACTAAAGAGCACAGATGGAACAAATAACGTCTTTAAACATCAACATGGGAGAAAAATGGACAAAGACAACGTAAAACACAAGCTGGCCCACCTGAGAAAATTATTGATTACTGTGAATTCATTTATCGAGTAATAAAACTAAATAAAACAACACACGTTGAGTTCGATGAGTTTTCTGGATTGCAAAATCATGTGTAGAAAAAAAGGGGAAGAAAATAACTAGCTACCCTTTATGTAACGTTACGTCGAAGTTTTAATCACAAACCCGGAAGAATGGTTTGGTAATTTGAGTAACCAATTTAAATATAAAAACTAGGTTTAAAATTTGGCATAAAAACCCGACAGAAATTGACGGAATTGATTGTTTTAAAATAGGAGTAGACACAAAAACTGCACAATATTAAATATATTATTAGATTACGTTTTTCAAAGAATAAAACATAAAATTCAGCATGAGACGGTTTCATAAGTCAAACACTAACTCAACGCCATATAACGTTAGCATAATACTTTTTACTAGAAATAAGAGTTCGAAATGTAAATGGAGAACGTGTCAAAACGAAACCACCGTGTTTCATAAAAACTGCGCTTGTTGGAAGCTAACGTATCGTTAGCTCCGTTAGCCATTTTCTACTCACTTTGTCCTCCTCGGGGATCAGAGTTTCGGCGTCCTTTTTCACATCTTTCTGAGCCAAAGCGGAGCTGAAAGACACCTTCACCATCGTGGAAGTAACCCTGAACAACTCCGGCGAGAAAAACGAACTTTGAACAAGACTTGAGGGGAACTAAACAGAGGCAACTGCTCCGAAGTAAAGAAGTCACTCTTCTCTCCGGCCAAGTATGATCTGTTGTGATAACGGAGGGCGTCTAACTGGGCAGAAACATAGAACCAACATCCGGTTTGGTTTCAAAATAATAACATAATGCCGAGACCTGGCAATCTTCTCCTGTGATCTCCAGCAAATGATGCGGAACTAATAATACATTTATTAGTTATTTAGTACATTTACTTAATTAAGTAAAGCACTTTGCTAGAATGTTGAGGTGTGTTTGAACAGTGTTAGATTATATACATATATTTTTGGTTGATAAAAATTCTGAACCATTACTCTCAAATTTGAATTACTTTTGTCATGTTAGGAATCAGGAATCAGGAAACGTTTATTGCCATAATATGTCAGACATACAAGGAATTTGACTTGGCGGTTGGTGCGTAACAGCAGACAGTACCACAATGGACAACAAGACAATGCAGGATGAATAAAATAAAATATAATGCTAGTTAAAAAACAAAAAAGGTTAATAAAAGTTAAAGTTAAAAATATTTAAAAATTAGGAATAAAGTGCACCAGCGAATAGAAAGTGAGCGTGTGCAGTGAGAAAGAAAGTGACCGGTGGAATGTCAGAGTCAGTCAGTGGGGGACCGGGCTCTGTTGATGAGCCTGACTGCCGACAGGAAGAAACTTGTGTGGCGGGAGGTCTTACTCCAGATGGAAAGGGGCACAAACAGGTTTTGTCCGGGGTGAGAGGGGTCGGCTACAATCTTTTTATCTTGCTTCAGGATTCTAAAAGCGAACAAGTTCTGCAGGGACGACAGATTGCAGCCGATCCGCCTCTCTGCAGAGCGGATGACACGCTGCAGCCTGCCCTTGTCCTTGGCTGTGGCTGCAGCGTACCAGACGGTGATGGAGAAGCAGAGGATGGACTCCATGATGGCCGTGTAGAAGTGGACCATCATCGTCTTTGGCAGGTTGAATTTCTTCAGCTGCCTCAGGAAGAACAACCTCTGCTGCGCCTTCTTGGTGATGGAGCTGATGTTCAGCTCCCACTTGAGGTCCTGGGTGATGATGGAGCCCAGGAAACGGAAGGAATCCACAGGAGTCGCCTAGGGTGATCGGGGAGGGTGGGGCTCTGTTCTTCCTGAAATCTACAACCATCTCCACTGTCTTTAGAGCGTTGAGCTCCAGGTTGTTCTGGCTGCACCACGACACCAGATGGTCAGACTCCCACCTGTAGGCGGACTATACATAAATAAATAAATAAATGGCACACAGTCAGCTGCCATTAAAAGCGTTTGACCAACGTCACTTCCTGTCCTGCGCAGAAGGGACGCGAGCCAAACATGGCGACGGTGTTAGAGAAATCAACGAAAGAACGGCTGCTGTCTGTCGTGGATGATTTGGAGGTTTTATCCCGGTAAACTTACACTGTCGCAGTTGTGGCCCGGTGTCGCTTTCACCCGGTTACTTCCGGGCGTGTTGTTTAATGTGTAGAGAGTTTATTGGGCCCGTCTCAGCGCCTGCATCCTCAGCGGTGCTCGTAGCGTTAGCTAACAGCAGCGTTAGCCGTTACTTGAATCTTCCTTCTGCGTGTGTTTGCATTTCAGGGAGTTGATAGAGATGTTGGCTCTGTCCAGGAGCCAGAAGCTGCCCCAGCCAGGAGAGGACACCCAGGTACCACGCTGCGCAGTCGTAAGGGTTAAACCAGCTGATTTCTCTTTGGTTTCCTTCATATCAATGAAGTGGTGCAGGAAGGATTCAGCTAAATGTCCCACAGTTACGAGGGAAAGATGCTGCGTGATCCAATCATATTATTAACATTAAAAAAGTGAAAAATGATCAGGAACATGTATTTTATGTATGCTAAGTATGAAAATATCCCCTCTCCTGTTTATTAAATTATCTCATAGCATTAATATTATCTTACTGTTGTAGTTGGTGGAAGTGGAGCGTAAGTTAAGATTCGATTTATGTCATCATTTTAATTATGGAATAACCTGATATGATTATTGTATCCAGTAATTGGTTGTTTGGTTTAATACAACTAGTGTAAATAACAATGTTACACCATCACAATGTGCGTTTCAGCGATACAAACCTTGTTTTCAGCTTCAGGCAGAATTATTTTACCATGCATTTCTGTTGCATTTGTGACATAAAATTAAAGCACGGTTCAAAAGAAAGTTATTTTAATAAAGCCGCAGTCAGACTGGATATAATCCGTTCCAATACAAACGATGCGTGTGGACTGAACATGTTTGTGTGCGTGGTCCTCAGATCCTGGAGCTGCTAGTGCAGCGGGACCGGGAGTTTCTGCAGCTGATGGAGGTCGCGCAGCAGCAGGGGAAAGTTCACCAGGAGATGCAGCTGCTGGAGAAGGAGGTGGAGAAGAGAGACAGCGACATCCAGCAGCTCCAGAAGCAGCTGAAGGAGGCGGAACACATCTTGGTGGGTGGTGCTCTTTTCTTTTTCCATCCACTTTAGTGTATACGTTTATAGTTTAGGTAGATTTCCGAAATGCTGTCAAATTGAAATACTTCAAAAAAATACCTTTAAATGAATCCAGATAGGTTATAGGATTCATGATCATTGTTGGATTCAAATAATGTTTGGAAGCCAACATCTCTGCTAAAAAAAAGGGAAGAAAATCTGCTACAAAATAATTGTCCTTCACGGTATCATCAGTGATACCACTAGAAAACATAGAAAAGACGCCGGGCAACAAAGCAATAAAGTTTGTTTGTCTGACTAACTAGAGAACCTCAAATACATTCTTATAATCTGTTCATGTTTCTCAAATTGCTTCTTAATGAATCCTCACTGGTCTACCTTTAGTTTGTACAAATGTATCAGATGTTAGTCAACTTGGTAATAAGTGCATTTCAAACACAAAAACCTCACGGTGCATTTCACACAAACTATTGCAGAATCTTCTGTTTTTCTAAATCAAGTCCCCCTTTTCTTTTCATTTTTTCAAAGGCCACGGCTGTTTACCAGGCAAAAGAGAAACTCAAATCCATTGACAAAGCCAGGAAAGGTGAGCGACAACACCTGTCCATCGCTCTCTGAATGTTGCTGCGGTCGTTAACTGTGTTTTTTGTGCCGGATGTTTGTTGACTTGTTGTTTTGCAGGAAGCATCTCATCAGAGGAAATCATCAAGTACGCTCACAGGATCAGTGCCAGTAACGCTGTGTGCGCGCCACTCAACTGGGTTCCAGGTAGGAACCACAGAACCGCGTCCCTCTGCGCCTGTTGTCGTGTTTCACTTTGCTGCTTACACTCTGCTCGGTTACAGGGGATCCACGCAGACCCTATCCCACAGACCTGGAGATGCGTAGTGGAATGCTTGGTCACATGGCCAACCTGCCGACCAATGGCGTGAATGGTCATCTGCCAGGTGACGCTCTGGCTGCTGGGAGGTTGCCAGGTAAGTCCCTGAAGAGGATTAGAGTGTTGCGCCACCATCGTGGAACTGATAAGAATGCGTTGGTCAAAGTCACCCTGTCAACTCTGGCTGTAAGTTATATTCTTATTTAAATCGACTTGCCTTGGCTGAGACACACAACCAGGAGGTGGGTAATCCTGTTTATATTTAGAACAATGTGTTTCTAATGTGTAATGATGCAGATGTTACACCACTCTCTTAGCTTCTTCTTTACTAAAGTGGTACAAACCTACATTGGCGCTTTTTTTCCAATCTTACATCAGTTAATTAAACAGTTACATGATGAATGAGTTTGAGTCCTAAGTATAGTTCTTATTTCATGTAGTTATCATATTGATTGGTGTCATTCTAACCTGTTTTTATCTGCTGCTGGAGCAATTTGAGAGGTCAGACGAGAGCTTTGAGTAGATTTCTCCACTTATTCTCTCAGACGTCTTGACGCCTCACTACCCCTGGCAGTCCTCCGACGTCTCAGTGGGGATGCTGCCTCCTCACCACGGCAACGACTTTGGCCTGGAGCCCCCGGGTCACAACAAGGAGAACGAGGACGACGTGGAGGCCATGTCGACCGATTCCTCCAGCAGCAGCAGCGATTCCGACTGAAAGTTGTGCGTGTGTGTGTGTGTGTGAAAGAGGGGTCACGACTGAGCAACACCTCATCAAATATCTTTGGTTTAAATCATAGTCTACATGAGGTAATTGTAAAAGCTTGCATGTAGCAAATGTCCAGAGTAGGAGCTAATTCCTTACATGGAAAGAGATAAAACGCTGTATGTAGAGGCTTCACTCTCTTTGGACTATTCACTATCATTATTCTCAGCTGACGTTTTCTCCTAAATTTCCCTGCTAGTTTTTACTAAATAATCTCTTATGCACATTTTGTAGAATGAGCCAGTTTATAAGGGTAGCATTTAATTCTTTTTTTTAATTATTTGTGTTTTAACTCCTGCACTTCTCATAACTGGTACATTGTGGCAAAGCAGTTGACGGTTTCAAGAAATCATGTAATTCTAATATCCCCACATACATATTGCAGCTGAGAGAGAAACCAAAATTATTTTGACCTCTTTGGTGACCGGTTGTGTGTTTTTAAGTGCACAACTCATTTTTGTCAGTTTTCCCATGAATGTTCCTCGTGAAGCTTTGTTTGTTGAACAACAATATGGATTATTGCTGTTGGTTTACCTCTGTGTAAATAAGATTGTACATACTGAGCCTTGTAAATAAATACTTTTTGAATAGAATGTGCGTTTCTGTTGTCTGGTTGTGTTCCTTGTTTGTTTAGGAAGTGTAATCGCAAACATTTATAAAGGTGAAAAACAAATTCCGATATTGATTACTTCACATCCATTATAGATGCACACTAGCAAGTCCAAAATATTCAGAACAAAGCAGAATTGGATTTCCCTTGACTTTTATTGTTTTGGGTAACTTTAAACTTTACCCCACTTCATTTGTCTCTAAGCTTTCATAACTCCTCAGATTTCTCTTTTCATACAAATGCTTCCATTGTAAAAAATGTGAATGATTGTGACAACGTGAACAATTAAGTGTTTTTTTTCTCTGTTGATACAATTCAGGCACAAACACCAATAAAATACTAAATGGCTATTCTTTCAAATATGAGTTTATTCTGTTACGTATGATTACGTCTAATAATTTCCATATTTATCACCGTAGTCATTGATTACATGTAGGTGAAAGGCCAGAATGAGGCTATATTTACACTGCCAATGCCATGACCCTGCGGCCCTCCCGTGTCCTCTGTATTGTGTATTTTGCTTAAAGAGTACAATGGCTTAGTAAATGTTGAGTTTCTAAAATCGTGTGTCATAGCTAATTTTCGAGATGGCATGAAGACAATAAGATAATACAATAATAAGAGGTCAAGCTCATCAGGCCCATATTTCAACTAAATCGTTGGCCCCAAAATGTTGTGTTTTTATTTCACCATCAACTATCGGTTATCGATTTCCATCTCCTCTTCGCCTTAAACAAACTTTAGTCACCTGAATATTTTCCCAGTCGTGTTTGCTGGGATCCATTTTTAGACGACTGAATACTTTCCAGCAGCTTCAGGAGGCGACACTGTTGCGGAGCCGTTTTAGCGGTTCACCGCGCATGCGCGTCAGTTACTCCACTGAAGAGGGAGACATGGCGACGTCCCTGATCTGCGGCCGTCTGACGGCTAGCCTGAGAAACTCAGGGGCCAGAAACACTCTCAGCTCCGCTTCCAAGGTGAGTGTGTGTCCGCGTTGAAGTGAAGGCCTCCGGCTTCCCGGGCAGGTAACCGTGGAGGCGAAGCGCAACCATTAAAGGCTACAGTTCCCCCCCCCTAAAACTGACAGGGTCAAATCTGACGTTAGCACCATCCTCATTGGGGCTCCCGTTGTTTCGGCTAGCATGCTAGCTAGCGCGCCGCTAGCGTTAGCGCCCCGACGGCTGTCACCGTGAAGTGACCCAGCTAGAAGACGTCAGCTGCCGCACTCGAACGTTTGATTTCATCCCCGCTTTTTCGGTCACGTGTGTGTGTGTGTGTGTGTGTGTGCGCGCGCGCGCGCGATGCGTGTTTGAACGGCGTCCCCGGAGGCGCGTGTGAGCAGCGGACGGAGGCGCAGTTAGTCGCCCGGTGACCTCCAGCTGCGCCATCGCATCGGTCCGCGATGCGTCCGATTGGGGAAAGTTTAGCTGCGCGAATCCGCTCATCCTCCGACGAGAGCTTCCGAGAATCAATGACGATCAAGAGAAATGGGAGATCTGTCTGTCATTGATGCCTTTTTGTTTGTTTCTCATTAAGGTTTTCACACTGTCTGAATGCACTGTTCCGTGTACATGTAAATACATATCTGGGATTTGGGTTAATGTTTATTATTCGGTATTGTAGCTTAAATGTATGTTTTCTTTCTTGGACGTGTGAGGCTGCTTTGCTCAGAAGGCGCTATGTTTTACATACAGGAATGTCTGTCAGCTTCGTCTTAACCTGTGATCTACATTCAAGTCCCTTTTCATATTGTATCGTGTTCCCCTCCTCGAGTGGCTTTCATAAACCGGGCTTGGTGTTGATGTTTCACAGTTTTATTTAAATATTGCAAATGCATCCCGGTTAATTTCCTGTTGCATTTCAAGGATTGCGTGAATTACTGCGTTTTTTTTGTTTTCCCAGGTTTTGGTATTTTTCTCAGTTTGAGTCAAGAACCAATTTAACACACTGTCTTGTTTCATTTCCTTAATCACGTTTCCAGTGTTGCGTGTGTTTTCCTGCTGAATACAAATACTTCATCTCTGTTCTTAGAAACCAACTCAGTTGTTGCTGTAGAGGTTTTTCTTTTATGTGGACGGACAGATATTTAAAAACTGATCAACATAATCCAGATAATAGTTTATCTTCTGTCTTTTCTTTGTCAGTTTAAATGTCTGTAATGTTTAATATTTCATATTTTTGTCATATTAAATGTTTTTAAATAGGTCCCAATACTGACCTTGGCCCTGATAAGAATTCCAAATACATATGTTATAATGGCAGATATGTTATAATGGTTGGGGAAACACTGCAAAATATACAGTTAGTTTTTAAACCAATGAACAACCGATTTGATACGGTTCACAATTGTAATGCCTGTTAATTGTGAATAACTAATTGTAGTTTTTTGATCGGCCGATACCCAAAGCCCATATCGGTGATTCTACATTCCTATCCTTCGTCTCAGCCAGCTGCAACCCTCCAATGTTTAGACATTCAGTAATCAACACGCTACATTGTAGATGAAGGTTTTTATCGACGGTGAAGAAGTCCATTATTCCCGTGCAGGTTCTCGGTGGATCCTCGGGTCTTTTCGGAGGCCATGTGTCCCAGCTCCTGCAGCAGCAGCAGCAGAGGAACCTCTCCCTGCACGAGTACATGAGCATCGGGTTGCTGAAGGAGGCCGGCATCGCTGTGCCGCACGGCATGGTGGCCAGCTCCCCGGAGGAGGCCTACTCTGTGGCCAAGCAGATCGGTAAGCCGCACGGAGCCTGCAAGGAAATGACTGTTAATCAAATCCAAATAATAATGGCGTCACATTCATCTGTACAGACGAGCAAAGGAGAGGTGGATTGGGAGTCGTCTGTGTGGAACTCAAAGCGTCATATGTATTGAGGGAGAACAGTTTGTGAGACTTTCAAAATGTGTATTTTTAAATGAGTAACCATCTGATTCAATAAAAATGAAGATATAGATATCAAATCTGACCAGGTATTTCATGCTGACTTAAAAGAAAAAGCCCGCTTAAGTAGCTACCACATAAATATTGAGGCTCCACACTGAGTCCGGTTCTTCTACATAAACTCAGTTTTCCTCTTCTGACGTGACCTTTTTACGAAGGGTTTTTAAATAGCTCTCTCGCCTGTGTACGGACACACACTCTAAACATAGCAGCCTCCTGCTTCAGTGGTATCAGGTGACACCCGGCTGACATAATTGCAGGAATGAAATATCCAATATCTCTCCAAATCCCAATTTGTCACTACCACAGTTAATAGGATGTGTGTGTGTGTGTGTCAGCTTCAAAGGACCTGGTGGTGAAAGCTCAGGTGTTGGCTGGTGGCAGAGGAAAGGGGACGTTTGAGGGCGGACTGAAGGGAGGAGTGAGGATCGTCTACTCGTGAGTAAAACCTGTGTTTTCTGAGTAATTAAGCACAGAACCGGTGCCGACAAATAAGCATTTAAAAAGACGACACTTTTCCTTCGAGAGCGTTGGGTGCTCATTCTTCCTCTTCCTCCCGTCCAGGCCAGAAGAGGCCCGGGACATCTCCTCCCAGATGATCGGTCAAAAGCTGTACACCAAGCAGACCGGCGAGGCCGGTCGGATCTGCAACCAGGTGTTCATCTGCGAACGCAGGTACCCGCGCAGAGAGTACTACTTTGCCATCACCATGGAGAGGTCCTACCAGGTGAGGCAACATACATACATACTTTAAGGCTCCAAAGGTGGATTTAAACCGATTCAAACCTGTTGAGGTGTTTTCCTCTCACTCTCAGCTGTAAATTTAAAATCCATCTAAATGAATACTTCCTGCATAGTCCAGTAGCCTGAGGAAGGTACTGATAGTTGCTTTTTCCAAAGGCCCCATTTGAATTTTCCTCTTTTCTTGAAGTGTCTTGCTCAAATGGCTGTTAGTGGACAATAATATACACAAGGTAGAAAACTCATGAAGAGCAGAAGGAGAGAGGGATTTAAAAAAAAAAGTAAACCATCTTGTTATGGTTGTGCTGTATTGCACCACTAGATGGCAGCACAGTACTTGAGATCATGGTGAAGGTCTTCTGCAGCAGAGACTAGATGATCAGGTCACAGTTTAATGTTAATAAGTTAAATGAGCTTTTTAAAAAAAAATGTAGACATTGTAACCGTTAGTGGTTTTGATCCCTTTTAACATCCAGTGAATGTGAAGTGTCATCGTTCAGCTGAATACAGAATGGCTCTAATACAAAGATATTATGTACATACATAATGAGATCATTACCATACATAATGGATGATAATGATGATGGGATTCATCAGAGAAGTGTCTTTTTCTCTTAATCTTCACTCCCACACCAGCGGAAAGACAAAAGAAGCTGTTACACACAAAACCTTTCGTTAAATGGGGAGTGTTTGAAGTAAAGTGCCTCCCCTTAAGATCTGGGGATAAGGAGGCTTCTAGTAACCTCAGGTTTTAGGATACAGCCATATGCCACCAATCTATCCAGCACGATATTCGTTTTAAATTTCCATCTACAATTCCAGCGAGCCCCACTGTGCAGAGGCTGTGTGAGCGCGAGGGCCGAGAAATGGATGCAGCTTTCGTCCTTCTAGAATTGTAAATGTGTGCATGTGGATCCGTTGAAATAGAACATAATTTTGGGAATAAAAGCAACACTTGGTAGACATTTGTTTTTTTTAAACATAAAGGAATTATAAGAAAATGAGAACATTTATTGTTAAATACAGCCCTAACAATAAGTCCATGTAAGGCTCAACCTTTTGTTGGTTAGACACACGTCAACAAACCAATGAGTAAATACAAGCATATACATTCATGAACCGCTTCTCTTAGTATGTAGGAATAGTTCAAGGTGCCGTTGCCTGGACAGTAGACCAGGTCAGAAGTCGTAGACAAAACTCAAGCCTTTTGAGAAAATTCAAAATGTGCATAAAGTCGGCGTGAAACTCCTCTCGTCCCCCACAGGGCCCCGTGTTAATTGGCAGCTCGCAGGGGGGCGTGAACATCGAAGACGTTGCTGCCGAAAGCCCCGACGCCATTGTGAAGGAGCCCATCGACATTGTGGAGGGCATTAAGATGGAGCAGGCTGTCAAGGTACAATCTCTAGCGGGGGGAGCACGACGCCAAACCCGCTGGGGACGGCCCCACTGTGTGGCTCGTCTGCAGGAGAAATCGAATAGGAGGAGAGGGACGGGATGCTGTTTGTGTCCGCGCTGCACTTTGGGAGACGATGTCTAAATCACAAGAGGCTATATGTTGTTTCGCAGAAGGAAACAGTTTACAGGCGAGATGCGGGTCCAATCCTCTCTCCCAAATCGAGCCTCCGGTCACAGAAAATCTTTCCTTTCTGCTTGACGGGCTTCATTCCTCTCGCACGCAATAACAAAATTCTAATCAAGTTGCAGGTCTTTATAAAAAACCACCTGTATGTTATGATTGTGGAAGCTGCTTTTATATTTTTCTGCCTATTGTTGACACACAAAGAGAGAGTTATCGCCCGTTTGCGCATTTCAGCCTCTCTAAGATTTGGAAAATAAATTTAGATATTTACCTGAGGGTTTTTTTTAGACCAAAAGGCAATCTTAAAAAGTGCATATTGGATTTGATTTTCTCACAAACTCTTTATGAAGATTTGTATTGCTCTGTAACTGTTAACAGCCTTTTTAAACGGCTTTACTACATCAGACTTGTAGCCGCTTGCCGGTTTTCTTCTGCATCTAAGTGGCCAAAAGAGCTGATTTTAAGTGTTTGCTAAATTGAATGTGAATTTTTTCCACTTTGTCTTTTTCCAGTGTCCTTCTAGTCCTCACTGTCTCCTCTCCGTTCGCGTTTGATTTAGAGGTTTAGGTTTAGTAACAAACCTGTGGTTTCTGGATATTAAAACTTGTTTGTCGTCGTGAAAACCGAGACTCGACATACTTGACAAAAAAGAGAGGGGCTGATTGCACGGCTCTCCAAGTAGACGGAGGGTCATTTATGTCCTTTCACTCTCTTCCTTTATTTGTCCACCGAGACCACGTTTGTAAAGCTGCACAACAGTCTTCGAAAGAAATCAGCATGTTTTTTCTTTTGTATTTGCAGCGATGGAAAAATAAGCTACAGTCCAGCTGCACGCCACATTATGGATGCTGTAAATGTTGTGTTGCTGCAGGTAGCTCAGGAGATGGGCTTCCCCCCGGCGCTGGTGAACGAGGCTGCAGAGAACATGATCAAACTGTACAACCTCTTCATCAAGTACGACGCCTCCATGGTCGAGATCAACCCTATGGTGGAGGACGCCTCTGGAATCGGTACACACGTGCACGTGCACAATAGAGGAATCACCTCTGCAAACGTCCCCTGTGACGTCCGCAGAGATTCGTCTTCTAATGGCAAGATGTCGTGTTTGTCCCCAGTGATGTGCATGGACGCCAAGATCAACTTTGACTCCAACTCAGAGTACCGTCAGAAGATGGTGTTCGGCATGCGGGACTGGAGCCAGGAGGATCCCCGGGACCAGCAGGCTGCCAAGGCCGACCTCAACTACATCGGCCTGGATGGAACCATCGGCTGTCTGGGTCAGTGCAACGTTAAAGGATTTCCACTCGGTGGCTACGAACTAAAGTAGAGTTGATACAGTGGTGATAAAAGAGGACTCAAAGCAGTTAGAAAACATGGAAATGGCTGCCAGCGATGTGTCGTGAGGTCATGTGACATGTAAGGAGAGAGTGGTTTGAAGTCTGGTGCAGTAAAGTTGATCCCCGACAGAAACCTGCTAGAAGACTTTCCAAACCTCTCAGTAAGCCACGATGACGCACTGAACAGTTATATTATATCATTACATCAAAGTTTATTTGAGAGTTTTTATATTAGTTGATTGACGTCTGGACATTTCAAATGTGCATTTTGGAAATCGCTTGTCTTCCATTTAAAAGGGAGGCTTTTTTTTTTTTTTCAACCTGCTGTAAAATAAGATACCGATCGACAATATAGCAAACACATTTTGTTGGATTTTTCCAGTCAAAATCCAATCTGCTGTTTATTTTATCCGGCTGTTTTATCGCCTCGGCCAGCTGCTGTTGGCTCTGCTTTGTGACAGCAGAGTTTTTAGCTCTGGCTGATCCTCACTTTCACCGCTTTTAAATGACAAAACTACCGTTTAAGGATTCCCATTTTCCTCATCCAAACAGCTATTCAAAGTTTATCAGTGTGCAAACTCAATAGAATCAGGACCTTCTTTCATTTTAATACGTCAAATGGGAGCCGGACTAAACAAAGTTTATCTGTAAAGCTTGTGCTGCAGTCTGTGTTTTTCAAGTCTGATATTTCACTGAAATGACCACCAGGCTTTGTTCCTTCTAGTTAACGGTGCGGGTCTGGCCATGGCCACCATGGACATCATCAAGCTCCACGGCGGCACACCTGCCAACTTCCTGGATGTTGGAGGAGGAGCCACAGCTCATCAGGTGACCGAGGCCTTCAAGCTCATCACCTCCGACAAAAAGGTAAGAACGCACATCCTTTTAATTCCTTCTCTAATGTTCACCACACCATTACATACTGTAGCATAGCTGCATGTCAGTTAATGCGAATGTTGCGGCGGTGCTGCTCAGGTTCAGGCCATCCTGGTCAACATCTTCGGAGGGATCATGAGGTGTGACGTCATCGCCCAGGGCATCATCGTAGCTGTGCAAGAACTGGACCTCAAGATCCCCATCGTAGTGCGGTTACAAGGTAAAACACACACACACTTAGAAATCTCACGTTCGCAATAACGCTTTAAAGCACCCGCAATTATTGCTGTTAGCTGCCTGTCACAGTTCAGCCGTAGCCTTGTGTAGAGCGATGTGGAGGCGAATAGAAATGCTCCCATTGCAGCTCCGTTAACATAAATATTATGTCTATACGTCAGAATATAGGAGAAAAATAGCAGATTCACTAGTCTGTTTTTTTTTGATAATGTCCTGAAAATGAATTCAAACACGTATAAACGGAAAAGCTTCGACGACCTCCGCCATCAGCTACTTTACACTCCAGTAAACACACACACACACACACACACACACACGGACCTCACCCCCTCCAGTCAGACGGGTTAACCAGCGCCTGGCAGCTCGGAGGAACATGATTGATGCTCCCGTCTTCAAAGTCAGGCTCCTGTAAACATGCAGAGAACGGTGAACCGGGTTGAACGGTGGATTCATATTACTACCTAATTATACGCATGACATGTATATTTGAACTTTTCTTCCTTTTTGTCTCTACATAAACGTTGGATGACGTGATGACAATTTGCAGTTTCGAACACTTTTCCGTTTTTATTTTTGGAGTCAAACACTCCTCAAACTGTTTACTAGAAAATTAAAGCATGGCCGGGCTCCTTCATGCCTTTTAAAGTGTCATCAGGTCGCCCGTCTCTCTTTGGACGGAAAGGGTTTAAGGTTTGGATGTCGTTCCTGGCAGCTGTCATCCACGAGTAGAAAAACAGGGAAGGAAATTGGGCAAAGTTCAAAAACCTAAAATATAATAAGCACAACGCTTAACTCCTACCTTTTTAACAATCCCCTGAAGTCATGAATGTTTGACAGCGGTTGTGACACATGACTGAACTCCACTGTGAGAAAGAACAAGACTAAGTGACTAAATCTCTGCAACAGCCTCAACCTTTTAAAAGACTTTGACCCAAAGTCAACTGCATGCCAGCCGTCATTGCCTCCGAGCAACAATACAGGCTTCTGACTAGTTCAGTATTTCTGTTTTTGATATATTAAGTGTAATATCTTGACTTCCCTGCCATGAGACGCACTGGTGCTGCCTGAGGGCAACAAAGCTGCAGACTGTGCAGTCAGTTTGATAGTTGAATGAACAAACGGCGCAATACGTTGGGGCAAATATTTGCCTGCTTAAATCTTTCTTGAAGAACTCTCATTCAACGAAATCGTGAAATTTCTCTCTCGCCGTCTTCTCAAAGGGACCCGAGTGGACGATGCCAAAGCTCTGATCGCTGCCAGTCCGCTGAAGATCCTGGCCTGTGACGACCTGGACGAGGCCGCCAAAATGGTACAACACACTCTCACGATAAACTCTTGTTTGTGCTACAACAACAATATCTATTGTGACAAGCACACGCTACCGTGTATAGTCGGTAAGTAGATGAATAAACAGTAGCAGCCACAGTGGAAAAAAAACAAACTTTTTTTTTAAATTGAACCCCTTATTATCTGTCGACATTCTTAAATCCGATTCAGGATTCTTTGAACAGTTTATCTAAAGTGCAGCAGCACGCTCATACATATGACTCACTGTGAAAGAAGAGGACATTTGAGCCGTCTGTCTCTCTGTCTCTCAGGTTGTGAAGCTTTCTGAGATCGTCTCGCTGGCCAAGGAGGCTCAAGTGGACATCACCTTCCAGCTGCCCATCTAAGAAAGAAACCTCACCCTGCGCGACTTCCTCACCACCCAATCGTTTCCTCCGTCACACCCCAACCGGCCCCCCGAACCTCACCCCCCTCCCCGAGAGGAGTGCAAAGACGCGTAGTTCTCTTTCTGATGCCGTGGCATGATGGCAGGACTCTGTACAGGTGTCCAACAGGTAGACCAAAGGTTTCACTTTAGAATCCTTTTTCTTTTACTCACGCTGGCACCTCCACTTCCTGTCTCGACCCCACAAACCCCACTGCACTTCCGTCGATACGCACAAACACTTATATGCTTCAAACACACACACACAATAAACCGTGCTGTTTCCTTCCTTCCGTTCTTCTTGGGAAATGTTCATTGGTATTATTCAGTGTTTTCGGTTCAGTTGAATTGAATAGACGACTGATTTTTGTTCTATCGAGCGGGTTCGTATATTTCACTGAAAAGGCATCAGGACAAAGATTGTAATTCCAAACGCATTCATTAACACGCACACGCTTTTGAACCAGTGCCTTTTCAGTGTGTTAGTCTCAAAATAGGAATGTAACGGAATAAAACAACAACAACAACAACTTTTGTTCCCTTCGTGTAGAAGTATTTCATCAAACTCATCAATCAGCCGTGAACCCAAACATGCAGGCGGAGCTGCGTCTCATTCAACGATCTACCCTGCAGCATTCATCTCATGCATTTCTTCATGCTGAGCTGTTTTTCCCCTTGCAGACGGTTACCTCTTACGGAGAGAAACGTTCATCAGTTCTTATTCCCAAATTAAAACCACGACACATTTTCAGGCATCTGGAGAAACGTGTTACAACTTTGGTTCACCGAAAACGTGATATCATTCACCATTAGCTCTAGTTTCATCCATGCATGCAGACGGTTTGGGATTAATTTGTCTGAGATCTGAGATTCCGCTTCAATTCCAAAGCGATGGAGATGAAAGGACTTTAGTTTGGGCATTGAAAACCTTCCTCCACAGACGTCACTGTCCCCACTTTTACCTGAAAGAAAGAAAGAAAGAAAGAAAGAAAGAAAGAAAGAAAGAAAAGCACGTTGAGGCAGGAATCCCACGGCCCGGACAAATTAATCCCAAATTACAGGTGAAGTGAGAGTTCGAAAGACGTGTCTCTCCTTCGAAAAGGCCACGCTTGTCGATGTATAATATTACTCTTGAGTCCCGGCGGCCTCGGCTGCGGGAAAAGACTCTCGTGTGCGCCGACACATCTCAGATCTTTAAATGACTCGCATGAATTATTCAGTGTTCCTGTTGTTGGGAGGTGAACCTTCTTGTAGGAAAGCCCCCCCCTCCACACTCCTCCCCCCTCTCCCCCCCAAGGGAGGAACTTAAGAGTGGAGCCGAGCGAGCGTGAAGCCGGCGCGGTGTGATGTCCTGAGTTCGCTCCGTTGACCCAGATGAAGGAACACTTGTTTCCTCTTTCTTCCCCCCGATGAGCTGCTGCAGCGTGAGCTAGTGTGCATCCTCTCAGTGCCCCCCCCCTCCCCTCCCTCCCCTCCCTACCCCACACCCCCTGTCCTGCTCAAGTGATGCATGCGTTTATCATGTTAGCTAACGAGGGCGCACTGGACGTCTGAGGTGCGGAGCGATGCTCATCAGATGAGGTCTTCAAAGGCCTCGACGGCAGGTCTGAGGTCAGGTTCTGGCCCTTGTAGAAGTCCCTCATTTAAAATAACTGCTGCAGCGAGAGGTTGTGTATTATTTTATTTTTTTTAGGTTGTCTTTTGCTGGAGATCGTGTGTTTATGCTAATGTGTTTTACCCGACTGACTCGCGTTGATGGAAGAAGTACTTTTGCGATGGCTTCACTGTCTGTCCAGCCTGCCATCGTGCCACGCAGCGGCAGCCGCTCCCTCTCTCTCTGTTTCTGTTTGTAACGTCAGACTTTAGGCCGACTGTGACCTCTAACCTGAACGATATAATGACTGTAGTGGTTTCTGTTCCCTCCCCCTCCTCCTCCAGCGCTCCGAACACAAAGCAACAATGTGAGTTGTACGTCATTTGTTATATCTTGTAAATAACCAAACTGATGTTCTCTCTCTGTAAGATATTTATGCTCCTTCAAGGAGGCACTGCAAAGGAAGAAGAAAATAAATGCTGAGGACACCAACGCTCCTGTGGTGTGTTTCTGTTCCGTGTCTGGGTCTGAAAATATTAACTCAAACATCCAAAACTGCTTTTTCCGCTCAAACAAACTGACAACGAGATGCCGCCCACATTGTATTATAAAACTTAACGGATTCAAATTTAAACTTTTGCATACTCGCACGTATGAAAGACTCCACTGAGGGAGCGAAAAAGGTATCTTCCAAAAGTAATTTAATATATGAAAAACGGAGGTTATACTTAATCAGCTTTGGTTACAATTCAAAATTCTATCACTATGTTAGTTTGTGTTTATATGACGACGGCAGTGAATGATTGGTCGTAACGCACATAGATGTATAAAGATCTATGTTAACGCAGCTCGCTCGTTTTTACACTCAACCTTTCGTCTCATCGTTAACCCGAGAGCTCATTTGGCCGTGAGGGAAATGCAACCCAAGTAGTGTTTCATTGCACCACAGTAAAGATGTAAACGCTACAAAGTCCTTCGCTGCGTTTTTCCAAGTGAAGCCATTCAAACGCTTCCGGGGGCGTTCGATCCGGCTTCAGAAGCGTCAACGCGCATCACGTGTGGAACTCCCACCTCCAGCTGCTGAACGACATGTCTGACTGAAGGGAAACCCGAGCACTGTTTCACCGAGAGAACCCTGAAGACGCATCTGTCCTCACTTCTTGTCCCACGGATCTACACCTTTTTAAAAAAAATGTAAAAAATCGCTTGGGTCAAGAAGTGACTAATAACTTTTAACATTTCATCTGTGTGGTGTTTCGGATTCCCTTTTACTGTGTAATCTCCGCAGAGGGTTATCTGAGCGACTGTGGGGGAAGAGTCCGGTCTGTGATTCCGCCTGGAGCTCCTGAGCTTCATAACTCTCTCTTCCATCTCTCCTTCATCTCCCCGGTGCAGACGGCTACTCCTTCTCGGCGCCTCCACCTTTCGGCGCAGGCCGTGATGGAGGTCCCGCGGTGTGAATGCACGCAGGTCGGCTCTCGGCTGGCTCGGGCTGATAAGGTTCAGCCTTTTTTTGGGGGGGGGAGTCGTGCTGCTGCGGCTGCCAGTTAATTTACTCGCGGGGCGATAAGGCCGATCTGCCCCAGCGAGCTGGGGGGGGGTTTGTTGGTCAGTTTACACCATTAAGAAAAACTACATTTGTATTCAGTGCTGGAAATCCCAATAAACCTGCGTGGTCTGGAGTAAAAAGTTTACCAAAACTTGTGGATGTGGGTTTTTTATCTCTCTGTTGCCATCAGGTACCGTATATATTTAAAGAAATAAAAGTGACTTTTTAAAACATGGTGATTTTATGTATTGTAACAAAATGAGGCCTTAAAGGACCTGAAGGAATTGTATTGAAATTGATGCCCAATAACTGATGATAAATCTGTTTCTTCTCACATGAATTCTCTTCTTTCTCAACATGCAACAGTTTTCTTAAACATTCCTCCATTGGCTGTTTTTTATTCATTCTTTCTTTGGCGTTGGAGCAGCTCAGGTTTAAACAAAAAAAACGTCTTTCAAGATTAAAACCGCTGGAAAAAAACACTCCTTCTGTCTGTGGTGACTCACATCTCCGGAAGTTCACGGGAGGCTGCTGGGTTTGATCGTCACGCAGTTTGTGTCGCCATCAGCGGCGCCGTCCGTCCGTCCCTCTCTGCTCATCAGCGAGGCTCGTCCTCCCCGCAGGTGGGCGCCGACTCCCGCTGTGCTCCTTCTCTGTGCTCTACGTGTAGAGGAGAGGCAAGGGGCAGGTGTCTTTTTAAATCTAGATGATCGAGGCCGCCTGCTGATGGAGCTGTCACTCACACTCCAACCTGTCCTCCTGCAGGTACCGCGTCGACTTTTCTAACCACAATTAATGCCTCAGCTGCCAAGTAAAACCTTGTGCGCCGTTCAAACGTATTCTTAGTCTCCCAGATCTTTTTCTTGGATTATGCAACTTTCTCCCTCAATGTAATTTCACGCGCATTGAGTACAAGTGACCTGTGTGTCGAATAAATCGATTTAAATGTGATGTAACTCAATGAACCAGCTATTCATTAGAAGTAGCTAAGTAGCTAAATAAAAAATGTCACAAATAATTTCTCCCTCAGCATGTTTGCTTGTGACACACAAACACACACACACACACACACACACACACACTGTGATCTCAGCTGACAAGAAGTCAGGTGGTTTCTGCGGACGCCTGGAAACAGCTGGACCGACAGATGTCCTCCTCTGCATGTGATGTGTGAACAACCAGCAGCCTGGGGTCAGCGCACACACACACACACACACACACACAGTCCTGCATTGACAGATGGAGCCTCCTCCCTAAGGAGGCACAGATTAGCATATTAGCATCAGGGGTAATAAACTTTATGGATGTAAACCACAAGTATGATGATGTTATCAATCAACAATGAACAGTCTGGTTGTGAGATGTTCAAGTGTTCCTGGATTTATTTTGATCTTGTTGTATCTCTTTGCTGCAGTTTGAGTTATTCCCGCCGGTCCACTCGATGCTCACTTCTAATGCTTTGGGGGCTACTTTGGTTTAATTGCTTGCAAGCTTGTTTAATGTGTCAGAGTATCTGCTACTGTTTTGAATGAGCTACACAACTTGCCATCAAAATAACGCTTAATAACTGCATGAACAAACCCAACCGGCATGTGGTGACTGACTTTGTGCACGTGGCGCTGTGCGCTTTGAAGCCGTTGGAGGTAAGCTTGTGTTTGTTGTTGTTTATGTGAAAACGTTGATTGTTCCGTGTGGTTTTAGTTACCCGTCGAATCGCGAGATTCAGTAAAATCATTAATTCCTCCGTGAGCAACACATTCACCCCCCCCCCCCCACTCGTTGTTTCACTCGACCGAATTGTTGGTGAACGTGTTGTGGTTCGTCCTGGAAAGGTCATCTAATAATGTAAACTTTCCCTTTCAGCCTTCAAAGGCTTCTCGGTCATTGCTCTTTCGTCAAAATTAAAATGGGGAAAAATGAAGCATGACAATCTTTGGAATGATGACTCCCTGGGATAGGTTTCTCTACCTCAAGCTTCCATCCGTCACATGGCTGAGGACTCTCTCTGTCACACCTCCCCGGCAGACGCTCAATTTCAGCCCATTTTAAGATTCTTGCCATTTTTTTGGCAAGTTTTTGGTGTGTGTGTGTGGGGTGGGGGGGGGGGGGTCAAATTGGCTCTCCGGCACCCAGTGGCTCTCTATTCAAGTTATTACCCCCCCAAGTCAACTCCACAGGGGGGCAAAAGGGGGGGCGGTGGCTCCAAAGATTTGTCGCTGGCGCGTTTGACAAAAAAAAAAAGAAAAAATCCATGAAACTGATTTATTAACAATTTGGGGGAAGTCAGCAAAGTGCTGCTGCAGTGATCTCTCTCTCTCTCTCTCTCTCTCTCTCTCTCTCTCTCTCTCTCTCTCTCTCTCTCTCTCTCTCTCTCTCTCTCTCTCTCGGTAGTAATTATCTCTGCTGAATCTGCACTTGAGTCATGACCACCGCTGGTAGAGCGCCAACGGTTCCCATGACGACCCTCAACAAGTTACTGCTCATTGTTTGTACGTTTCCCAACGCAAAAAAAGGGTGTTTGTCCAGCTTTTCGGAAGATGTCAAACAAAACCGTTGATTTGCGTCGGATAAGTGCTAACGGAACATCTGCTAACAGAGGAGCTCATTTTAAATGAAATAAAGTCACTTTATCTGCTCTGTAGCTTGTGGATTTTTGTGGCTTGTGGAGACTCATTACAGGTTTACCACACCTTCTATTAATACATTATAATTTATTTGTTGATCATATTTTGTGGAGAAAATTCTCATAGTGGGATGTCTTCACCCCCAGAAATACGGTGTGTTTCGCTGGTTTGCTTCATCTGGACTCACTTTCATCTCGCTCCTCTGCTCAGTCTCCATGGAATGAGAAGCGTAATGGCGCCGTGTGTGTGTGTGTGTGTGTGTGTGTGTGTGTGTGTGTGTGCTTGCACATGAGATATTGGAGTGTAATAACCCAGAACGCTCCCTCGCACTTTGTTTCATTCCCTGTTACAATGTCCGGTTCTCGGCAGATTGACAGCTCGTGCTCCAGATGTGGAGTCTGGATTCCGTTTACCTGAAAGTGTGTGTGCCTTATTTCGCGGGGAGGGAATCAAGCGCTTGTTATTCTGAGAATGAGACATGGTCGACCCGCCGTGTTTCTTTGTTTCACAGACTTAAGGTGGAATATTGTGGTCGCCGGGGCCACAGCAAACATTTAGGTTGCTTTTCCAAAGTTGTTCCGTGCTACTTTTCTGTTGAAACACATATTCCTTTGATACTATTTATTTATCTAATTCTTCTTGGGGTTTTTGTAATGGTGACCTCGGTGTCAACCGTTTTTTCTTCCACAAATCTCTACGGTCACTTTATCTCTTGTACAAACATTCAATTTATTCTCTTTATTCAGACTACAGCATGAAAGGTCAGTCCTGGACATACACATCCAACACACTTTGATCTCCTTGTATGGAACACAGATAATCTCTGTCTAATAAGATCTACGCTTACAGGAAGAATGTTCCTGCCTCGCAAACCAAAAACTCACACTCCCAGAAGCCCCTGCAGCGCTTGTTGGGTGACATTAAGCTCACTTTCCATGCGCATCCTCCTCTGCGTTGACCTTTCCCCTGCTGCCGTCTCTCACGCCTCCATGCATGGATATCATATAGTGAACGCTTTGCCTGCATTTGCTTTTACCAACACCTTTATTGTAGTTCTATCATTGAGATGACATTTAATCCATATGGGATTCGTCAGATTCTAAATGTTCTTTTAGTGAGGATTAATTGGCTCGTCAGATAAACAGCCAATACCCCAGTTTGTCACCAAATACAAGAGCAGAGAAAAAGTACAATAATGTCAAGAATTTTGTTTTATTTTAGTGTAAGCTAACAATGAGTTTGGAATATGCAAAAAAAAAAGATTAAAGAATGAACCATTTTTCAATGAAACGTTTCCTCTCTCAGTAGATCATTGCCCA